TGTGGGGCAGAACCTTGGTTTGCTATGTATTTTTATTGGTTTTTATTGATTGGGGGGGGCGCTGCCCCTCCCTGCCCCCCTTGGCTTACGCCCATGCTTGTCTTGGAAATAAAACACCAGAAGTTTCACTGAGCAAACACAACTCCCTCTTTTCAGCCTAACCTCTGCTCTGGAGTCCAGCCACGGGTGCTTTCTATTTAAACAGACAATTTTCTAGATGGCAAACTCAGTGTACTCCTGAGGAAGGAAATTTATTTTTGGAGCAGCTCAGTGACACTGATGTTATAGACAAGCCAGATGGTGATGTCCATTTGACATCTAAAAATTGCATAATTATAACAAGGGAGTTCTGTTTACTTGCAATGATTGGGGTGAAAATTCACCGAGAGATGTTTACCCTTCTTATGGCCAACTGACTTTAATACAACTTAATTATATTCATTGATTGGACTTCTCTTGCTTTCACAGGAGCCCTTAAGGTGTCTTGCAATGATTCATAAATAACATATATTTGGAATATACTTGCACATGACCTTTTAAGAACGTAAGAACAGCCCTGCTGAATCAGACCAAAACACTGCCCACTTGTTCCAATATGGAGCACACCCTTCTGGCACGTCCCCCTCCCTCCACCTTTCGTTGCTAACAAAAAACAGACAAACCCAAAACATGGCAGCCTTCCCTAATACTGTGGTACCTCGGGTTAAGAGCTTAATTCGTTCCGGAGGTCTGTTCTTAACCTGAAACCGTTCTTAACCTGAGGTACCACTTTAGCTAATGGGGCCTCCCGCTGCTGCCGCACAGTGATTTCTGTTCTCATCCTAAAGTTCTTAACCCGAGGTACTACTTCCGGGTTAGCGGAGTCTGTAACCCAAAGCGTTTGTAACCCAAGATACCACTGTAGTAGAATCGCTCCAGGCTCCTGATCACTTTGATTGCCCCTTTTTTGCTCCACAGTATACTTCGGGGTATCCTTTCTGAGGGAGGGACGCGGGTGGTGCTGTGGGTTAAACCACAGAGCCTAGGGCTTGCTGATCAGAAGGTCAGCGGTTCGAATCCCCACGACGGGGTGAGCTCCCATTGCTCGGTCCCTGCTCCTGCCAACCTAGCAGTTCGAAAGCACTTCAAAGTGCAAGTAGATAAAAGGTACCACTCCAGCGGGAAGGTAAACGGCGTTTCCGTGCGCTGCTCTGGTTCGCCAGAAGCGGCTTAGTCATGCTGGCCACATGACCCGGAAGCTGTACGCCGGCTCCCTCGGCCAATAAAGAGAGATGAGCACCATAACCCCAGAGTCAGTCACGACTGGACCTAATGGTCAGGGGTCCCCTTTACCTTTACCTTTTATCCTTTCTGAGAGATGGCACCCAGAACTATACACCACAGATTTGCATAAAGGCACTTCAATATTGACAGTTTCGCTTTGGATCCCTTTCGTAACGATCCCTAATGTGGATTTTTGGCTTCCCCACCCCTCCCCACCCCACTTCTGCTGTGCACTGAATTGGTGTTTTAACTGACCTGTCCAAAATTGATCTTTTTCCTGGTAAGTCACAGCCCCCATCAATATATTTTGATGCACAAATAAATTATTTAGTTAAAAAGCTTCTCTTAAAAGTGTTTAAACCCTGGCATATTCTGTGCCAACTCCCATGGGTACCTTGTATTTCTTAATTTGTCTTAACAAGTGGATACACTTGTCGGTTCTTCCCTCCTTTTTATTATTTTTGCAAGTAACTCAACATCAAGGTCGGAGTTATTTATTACTTCAAAATGAGCTGCAGACAATAGGACGTTTCTGGATCAAGCTGTTTCAGGGTTTCTAAAACAATTTTATGTAACATACTGGCATATATTCTTGCGTCAAGCATCTGTTGCTATGATAGTAAGCCATGAACTCTGCACACGAAGTATTTGTATCGTAAATAGCATGTGTACAGAGAATAAAAATGTTCTTGCTTAGTACTTCCAAGGAACTGTATAAATACTAACTGAGCTCAAGCTATTTTTAAATTGGCCAGTTACTTTGGGGCTCCTAGCTGAAGCAAACAGATACATGTAATCTGTATCGTACTAAAAAAACCCTGACACTAGATGAGTGCAGATGTGCCGTGGCAAAAAATGTTCCATTGGTTAGGGAACTGAACTGTTTGCATTCCGTGTTCTGTAACAGAAGGGAAAGCTGCAAGTTGGGCTAGAATTAAAACTTAACTTGGGATAGGCTGAGGACTTGGGAAGAGGTTCCAGGACACAGGACTGGTCTGACTGTTAGGAAGAGTGAAGCAGGGAGCTGTGATGAGAGATCTTGGAGGACAGAGTATGCAACATGAGGGGGAGAGGAGCACTAGGGAGGTTGGTCAAGGAACTGGGACAAAAGCAGGATCCTGGAGGAATGTGGTTTTAGATTCATGAAGAGAGGAGGAGAACAAAAAGATTGTAGGATTGGGGCAAAACTGTAGAAATAGGTAGGGGTGTGACTAATGGCAGGAGGGAAGTGGAGAAGCTCAAGAGGCTTGGAGGGGAAGGGATTTTGGGTCACACAACAAAGAGAGCATGGCGTTGCTAGGACAAGACTTGACAAGGAAATTCTCCTAGCTGCGCATCCTATTGTTGCTGCAGCATTGTGACCTGACATTGCTAAAGGGTGCAGACCAAAACGTAATATGTGGGGTGGGCAAGGTGGATTTCACATACTGATTTAAACAAATCCCAAAAAATCCAATGATTTGGTCACAGACATCTTAAATCCTGTAAATTTCAGATCAAATGTCAAGTGTCCTGTTATGTACTGAGTTGAATAGGATCCAAATTGCAGCAGTCTGATTGGTCCTAGAACAATAGGATTCAGAATGCAGTAGTCTGATTGGTCCTAGAACAATAGGATTCAGACTGCAGCAGTCTGATTGGTCCACAGGAGCCACCCAATCCAGCTCCAGGTGGAAGTGAATCCGCAACCTGATTGACCTACAGGTGAATGCCGGAAATAGCCAATCATGTGGGGGCCATTGTGTAAATAATGTATATAAAGCAGACATTCTGGGGGAACTTCCATTCCTCCTCACCACTATGAGCTGAATAAAGAGCATGAAATCCACTCTTGACTCCGAGTATATTTCATGTCCAGAACCTGAGGAAATACTTTAAAAAAAGGAAAGCTGTCAACAACTAGTGAGAACATTTCTGCCCTGGTATCTGACCAAAGGAAAGCAAAGAGCAGTGGCTAAAATAGCCTCAGGGAAGAGGACATGCTGTACAATTGCTAAAGGAGGCCAAAGTGCCATCATTACCTGGATGGATTATCAGGGATCCCACAGAACCTGTGGCCCTCAAATAATTGCTGGACTCCAACCCCCATCATCCATGACCATTAGTCATGTGGGTTGGGGCTGATGGGAGCTGGAGTCCAGAAACATCTGGAGGGCCACAGGTAGTCCCATCCTTGCCATGGAAGATGTACTGAACATCTAAAGGAAGGGAAGATAAGTGCCATCCGTTAAATTGTTCTGCAAGCTTCCAGAGCACAAAATACACTTTGCCATGCACAGGAACCTGTCGTCCTGAATAAAAGCTGCCTTTGTCTCTTTCTGCCTAGGACCCTCGTACCTACGGGACCGCCTCTCCTGGTATGCCCCACGGAGGACATTAAGGTCCATATATAGCAACACCCTAGAGGTCCCGGGCCCTAAGGAAGTTAGATTAGCCTCAACCAGAGCCAGGGCCTTCTCAACACTGGCTCCGGCCTGGTGGAATGCTGTGTCTCATGAGACCAGGGCCTTGCGGGATCTGATTTCTTTCCGCAGGGCTTGTAAGACAGAGTTGTTCCACCTGGCCTTTGGCATAGAATCAGTTTGATTCCCTCCCCCTCTTTCTTTTTCCTTTCTCCTCCTGTGAAGAGGCTGCATCCTAATTTTTTAATGTTGTATCTTAATCTTTTAAATTGTATTTTAATCAACTTGTTTTTATTATTGGTTGTTAGCCGCCCTGAGCCCGGTCTTGGCTGGGGAGGGCGGGGTATAAATAAAAATTTATTATTATTATTTCCTGTTGGATTACAGTTGGATATTGTCGAAATAAGGCACACCCACACAACTGATCTATCACAGAAACACACTGCAAGTCCATAGCCAGTATCCATTAAGATGATTACGACAATGTAATGTGAAGTAATATTCAGTGGATTAATCAGTGGAAAACCAACAAGAGTGCTGTCAAGGAAATTCTGTCATTATCAGTGGACACAAGAAAAATAATTTTATGTATCTTGGCAAGATGTTATCTTTCTTTTCAAAGCCAGAAACATGGCATGGCATGACTGAGGTCCCTACTTCTTGGGGGGGGGGGGAATAGCAGCTCTCAGAAAATTCATTTCCCTTCACTTAGTTGCTGAAACTCTTGAGCTATTTTCTTTGAAACATATAAAGAATTCAGTCTCTTAGCAACACTCCTCCCACAGACGAGAAAGAAAGGATGATATCAATTCCTTCTGCACATTAAGCAAGGCAAGCTGAGCTTTGGAAAACACTTTCTTGTTAGATAGAAAAGACATGTAAATTTGAGCCAGGCAAATGCCAGCTCTGTCCTTTAAAGATGTCTTTTGGATAAAGTCACACCAGGACTTGTACATTGCTCTACTGCTATAACTACCACTAGAAGGGGCCAAACCATCATATGAGTGACATCAGTGGTAGTTCGCTATTGATTTGGTTTACTAATGGAAGAGCCAAGGAGGAACCAGCACTTTCACAGATGGGGAAGATAAGTGCTCGAGTTTGCAGCAATAATGAGGAATAGTCAGCTAGAAAGTCCTGATGAAGATCTAGCAGCTAACATGTACAGACAGAATCATCAGAACCTGCCTAATACTGTATTGTCTTCTGTTATTCCTGAATTCCTGTGTTTATAATACTGATTTACTGGGGTGTGTGGTGTGGTTTTTGTTGTTATACCTCTGTTTTTAATTATAGCATTTTATTGTTTTTGTGTTTCATTTTTGTAAATATTTTAAATACTAAGAAATTTAGAAAATATTTAAAATAAATAAACACAGCCCCGTCTTGTCCATCCTGATTGGAGCAGGTCTCCAGGGTTTCAGCCAGGGTTTTCAGCTCTACGTGAAGATTGGAGGGCGGGGGTTCAACCTAGGGTCTTTTATCTGCAAGTCATGTGGTCTACCATGGAGCTATGACCCTTCCTCAGAGTTACCTCTGCAAAGAAATACAAAAGGCCACAAAACCAGAGAGGAGGAAATAGAATGGGGAATAATTGCATCAGTAGTTTCAACAAAACAGTAAGCAGAACCATTAATATGAAAGCACAATTGTTGTACTGTATGTAGTTATTGTCCGATACTTAACCCCTTAGGCAAAATCTAACCACCTCAGAGGAACCATTCACTCTGCCAAATCAGGTGAGAAATGTTTGTGCCTAGGATGGTGTCTCTGGCAATAAGCACTGCTAGACACTTTAAAGATTTGGGACATGGGCCATACGTAAACATATTTGCATATGCCAAGTTTCTATGCAAGATGCAAATTAATAATACAAGTGTTACAGAAGGCAAGCCACCCATTACCCCATGTAATCTGTTCAATTAATCTGCATCCCACCCCAGACTACCCTAAATCTGTTCCTCATCAATTCTTCCCTCCCCCTCAATTAATTGCTCCACAAATCCTGTTCCAAATCAATTCAATTACTGCCATTCATAACCTTCGGACTTGTATCTAAATTGAATCATCTTAAATTAATCTATTCCACAAATTACTAGCCTACTCAGTAACCCAGATTGTCCCCCTAATTCAGTTTCTCTCAAATTCATTATCTATCCAAAAAGACTTGGGCCACTTCGAAAGATTCAGGGTCTGATAGGGCTTTTTTTTCAGCCGGAACTTGCCAGAACCCAGTTCTGGCACCTCTCAGGTGGACACCATTGCCATTATAAGAGAACAAGTGAGGCATTCATGGTGAGTTCCGGCACCTCTTTTTCTAGAAAAATAGCACTGGTGCCTGCTCTTCATGCTAGCAGGCCATTTGGAGTCCAAGCCCTTGCTTTCCCCTAAAACTCCAGTGGCATTGCAGCCCCTTCAAGAAATCTAGCTGTGACCAGAACTCTGGGAAATGTAAGGAACAAATGCATTCCTCAAAAATGAACATTCTCCTCCTACGCCTGTTGGGAAAACATTGGACGCAAATCACACAAAACCTGCTACCCCTAAATGCATTTGCAAGAAAAACGTTGCATTTAGCAGCCAAGGCTTTTACCCAAGTTCATGGCCCTGATTTACTGACTAAGAGACATGCCTGTACACATTCTCTATAAATAGGGAATTCTCTACAGCTACCAGTTTTAGAGATTTTCTGACTCAGTAGAGAATTTTTAACAGATTGTTTTCTTCTTCTCCTTGGCAGCTTGCTACTTACGTATAAAGCTATAGTGTCTATTTTCTGAGGCACAAAACACTTTCATGCTAAGAAACCCAGGCATAACAGCGCTTATCACTGGACACAGAATGAGATGCTGCATACATAAACGTTTTCCAAGGCAAACTTCATTAAAATTAATTGGTGCCGAGGCGAAAAACACATGCCTTCACAGTTGTGTTTTCTTCTGGCCGTCATACATTCATATTCTTTCCAGGTTTGCAGAAAATTACGCAGAGATGTAAGATACAAAACACCCTCAAACCTATATGACCGTTTGCCTGTGTTACGCCGGTCCCTTTTAATGTTTCTCACCATGGTATAGTTCGATAATTTTTGACTCTGGACTTAATGGGGCCCACTCTTTAGATGATTACGTGTTATTATTTCACTTACTTCGAAATGGGGTGAGCCAGCCCTGTTGCTTTGGGGGGGGACCCCACTTGCTCATTCTGCAGAGTGAGGCCCTGGACCTCTTCCCCATACCCTCCAACATCCCTCAGATAAAAACAGAGACATTTTCATCTGAGGAATGTTGGCAGGTATAAACACACAGAGTCATTTTTTAGGGGTTTGTGACAGAACTACAACATGCTCTCTTCCTCCTTCCCCCACCTCAGAAGTGTGTCGGAGTTGGGTGTTCGCCACGACTTTTCAGCCTCAGCCGCACCAGCTCCACACTTTGAAGGTGCCCGTTTCATTGCTCTCATCCCCTCACCAACCCGCCACCAGTGCCAGGGGGCGCAAGAGGGCAGTTTGCTGCTTCCCAGCCTCCATCCCACTCTCCTTTCCACACATGCAGCTCCCCCCGAAATCACACAACCGAACTGCCGCAGCACTGGACCTCATGCACCGCACATGCGCAAGCTAGTCCCTCCGTTGCTTTCCCCTCTCAGCCCGTTCCTATCAGTTAGGGATCGAGGATAATGTGCAGCTTCACTGCAATGCCGCAAACGCAGCCAGGAAACCGACAGACTGCACTCAGCAGCTGAACACAAGAAGGAGGAAACGTAGGTTTTCTTCTTCTTGGTGTCGTTAGCCGGCTTACATTTTGCAGGTTACAAATTGGTTATCAGCTAACAACAAAGCTGGGAGAAACTAGAAACGAGACCGCAAGACACTGAACCGGCCAGAGAAACCTTTACAATACAGTGATACCTCGGGTTAAGTACTTAATTCGTTCTGGAGGTCCGTTAACCTGAAACTGTTCTTAACCTGAGGTACCACTTTAGCTAATGGGGCCTCCCGCCGCTGCCGCGCCACATGATTTCTGTTCTCATCCTGAAGCAAAGTTCTTAACCCGAGGTACTATTTCTGGATTAGCGGAGTTTGTAACCTGAAGCGTATGTAACCCGAGGTACCACGGTAGTTAGACAGACTGGAATTGCAGGCATAGGAGTGGAGGCAAGCCCATTCTCCCTCACCTGAAGAAAGCAGCAAGAGGAAGGGTTTGTACGGCTTCAAACAGGAGGCGTGAGGGCTCTGAAGGGGCCTTAGAGTCCACCCGCCTTCTTCCCAAAGCCTAGTAAGCACTAGCTATGCTTTGGGAAGGAGCCCACAGGCCTCCTCCCAATGCCATTGCCGCCCCAGGAGCTGCTTCTGCGGCCCCCATCCGCTGCCCAGGAGAAATCGGGGCGCCCAGAGGTCAAGTCAGAAGCCATGACGGCTTTAGGAATTTTGGAGTCGTCCCAACAAAATTGGGACACTTGGATGGTATGCTGCCCCCAAATGCTGCCCTAACTTCACCACTTGTTTATTGGAAAGTACATATTGTGAAGTCAATTTACAAGTGTGCATTTGTTTGCTGAAGCAACTGCAAATATGTAGGAAGAAATAAAAACTGCAAAAAGGCCTGGACAGGTTCTCCATCCCCAACATAGGTTAGCATTTGCTTTAGAATTTCTCAAAAATAACAGAAGTAAGTTTTCTACTCAAATATAATTACAGATCTCCAGTGGAAAACTTCCCACTACGGACTCATTGTTAAAACCGTGTTTATGGGAGACAATCTTACTCGGCTACAAGCGATCGCCAAAGAAGAAGACGACGACGACAAATCCTAGTTTAATCTCTTCTCTTTTTTCTACTGTTGCCCTTTTGTTTTGCGCAAACAAAAGCTCTATAGCTGTTGCCTGGGCTAGGCACAGAAGTTCACAAACCAACTAAATAGGTGAAATGGAGCAGAGTTCATGAGTACTTAACCAGCTTAAATTTAGGGACTCAGACTTATCCTGTTTCTGGACTGCATTAGTATTTCAATCATTCCAAGAAAATCTCCTAGACTAATGCTGGCTTTTTAAACAGGGAGAAAGGCAAATCTGGTATTAGCTCTCTTTCTCAGTGTCTCAGCAGCCATAATGTTTGGCTTTCGTTGCTGTTGTTAGAGCTGTTATTTCCAGTATGAATCAGCACAAAGTTATTGTGCCATATTTCTGTTTCTCTTCACATCAGATGCACAAAATCACACCCTTACACTCAGGGAGAACTGCTGATCTGTGGTTCCATATGCAAATCTGGGATTACATTATTGGGGAAATTTAAGATTTACAGCATTTTCTGCTTGCATTTGAATAGCAGCATCAAAGCCTTTGTCTCAGAAATGGCCATTGATAGTAGAAGCGGTTTCAAAATTCATTGGGTAAGTGATATTTCAGATTGGGTTGCACAGCATGTTAATGATTCCCTTTCAATGTTAATATAGAGACGTTTGCTTTAACACAGAAGCAGAACTACACCTAAACTATTTCTGTGATTGTATGTCCTCACATCCAAGCTACAATGCAGGTAACCAGGCAACCAGTAATCAAAACAGATGTGGTCACTTGATTATTTAGGGTGTATTATTTGCTGAGAGAATCTAGGTTTTTCAGACACCTGTCATTTGAATCTCTAACATATTTGTCCTGACATGATAGGCACCATATTATCCTCTAGCTGGTTTTTGCGTTGCATTTACTAGGAAGTCAAATAAGATATAAGACAATTGTCTGTGACTCATATTACATTATAGGCACTCAAATCACATTTCAATGAATGTACAGATGGCCTAGTCATCTCATATAAACTGCTGTTATACAGATTACAAATATTGCAGATAAAAGAGGGTGTCTTTATCCAGATGTGAATATAGCTGAGCACTCACTTCTGCCAGACATGTGGGCTTTTTGCAGACTTTTCTCCTCTCCATATACTAGGCTGAAGAATTCAGCTTTACTCACACTGAAATGGGAAATTAACACATAAGCACCAGTTCTGTGTAATATAGAAAGAACCAGGGGCACCTTGGGGGAAAATAGTTTGGGGAAACAATTGGGTGGCAAGGACCATTATTCAGAGAGCTAGGATTTTGCTATATACATTAAAATCAAATAAACTGTGACTGAAAGGTGGGCGAGCGAATGGGGTGATGGGCAACATTTAGAAGAACACAATCAGTTGTGTTCCTGATTGTGCATTGGCAGCCAGGTCTCTCTACCTGTCTCTCACCTGACATCAGGTGGGCGCATGGGCTTAGTTTGGAGGAAAAGACCTCACAGGCCATATTAGGTCTATGAGCCAGAAGTTCCCCACTCCCACACTGCTCCCTGAAATCATCCCTGGAAAGCACTGAAGCATCTCTGGAAAAAGATATACCTGCAGCCATATACACAGTGCTTCTTTTCTAGAAAAAGAGGTGCAGGAACTCCCACCTTGTTTAGATGGACAACCCTAAGATGTTGAGCTCCTTTCAGGAGAACGTCAAAGGTTGTTTTTTTAGGGGCAGCTGCTTTAGGCGCATCAATGCAGCAACATAACCCCAACGCCTTACACTGCTGTCCTCTGACTCTGCCACGCCGATTGCCATGCTGCCCCGATCGCTGTTCTGTTTGCCACCTCTGACACACAACCAAGGGCACCGTGCCATCCGCAGCACACAGCTACCAGCGCCATGCCACCAGCCGCGCAACCCCAAGGAAGGAACGCAATGCTAAAGAGAAGCCGGAACGCACCACAGAGGGGCCGGAACTCAGTTCCGGCTGAAAAGAAGCCCTGCATACAGTGGTACCTCAGGTTAAGTACTTAATTCGTTACGGAGGTCCATACTTAACCTGAAACTGTTCTTAACCTGAAGCACCACTTTAGCTGATGGGGCCTCCTGCTGCCGCTGCGCCACCGCTGCATGATTTCTGTTCTCATCCTGAAGCAAAGTTCTTAACCTGAAGCACTATTTATGGGTTAGCGGAGTCTGTAACCTGAAGCATATGTAACCTGAAGCGTATGTAACCCAAGGTACCACTGTATACACAAGGTCCCATGGTTAGAGTGTGTGAGAAATTGGTGGCCCAGCAAGATATGAAGGCAACAGCAACACCATCTCAAGCCTTACTGGGCAACTCAGAATATATGCAAAATAAGGGCAATGGGGGCATTTCAAAAAATCCTGGAAAGTAGCCGGCCTACTCAAATAGTGAGAATACTGCTTAGGAACACAGCTGAAATATTCACAAGGCAGCAGGAGGCAGCTGGCCAAGGAATTTGTACAGGAAACCCCCTAAGTGAGAGATCCTTATATGGTTTTGGGAGCAAAGCCCAGTCTGATATGTGACACTTGTACTTAATTCTGTTACATAAGGCCAAAGGGAGAAGTGCCCTAGGCCTGTGGGGAGAGGTGTCCACACCCCCCCCCCCACAAGAGCAGCTGTCTGAAGAGACTGCAGCAGAAGCTATACTGAACTTACCAGCAATATTTTTCTTTTAGGAAACAGGTCAAGGTGCACCTCTTCTGACAGGCTTTCGAAATATGGGGACTGTGACTTCTATAACTTATGAATAGTTTGACACAGCTACTTTTATTGGGCATTGTATCAAAATAACTGTTGAATTTTTTGTGCTGTACACCTATTACATTGTTTTAATGCTGTAAGATGCATTTAGTAATAAACCAGCATTCCTGCAATGCTGGATTCCTGCAAACTGCTCATGTTCCCGACACTATCGGAAAACAGGGAGCTTATCCAAAAAGAGCTCTTAATCTACTTTTCCTATATTAAAATTAGACTACACTCCTGTGTATTTGAATTTGCATATGAGGAGCAATTTCAGCCTTATCCTGTTCATACCAGTAGGCTTTCCCTTTTGTATTTATCTCTGCCCTCTCATTGGTTGATGTTCTTATGTCAATTAATTGCTGACAGGGCATGTGCACAGATAGCACCCTGGGTTTTTTTGTTTTTGTTTTTAAATATCCCCATCAAGAAGTGTGGAGAGAAAAAACAGCCCCCACACACATTCAGGCAATTTTAAGATTTCTTATGCATGGTGGTAGCACATGCTACCCGTTTGCCAGTATTATGATAATTAATATAGTGCCGTCAATGTCTATAACACAAGAGGGTAGGTCCCTTGCTGGGAGGATTACAACCTGCAATTAGAAACTACAGAAGGGAAGGAAAAACATGGGTAAAAAGGAAACTTGCACGTTATTTCAGTTACATGTAGTGCTTAACCAAATCTGTGTGTTCAGTTCCTCGAAATCTTTCTTTCTCTGCAAAAGAGGCTCTCATTTCTCTGCCTCATTCTCGGGGAACTTGAGACTTTCTTTAGAATTTCAGGTGAGCGATCTTGAACTTACCATAGTGCTGCAAGGAGGAGGCTGGGGAAGGGTGTGTATTTTTCATTCCAGTCAACATTTCGCCAGCACTTAGCAGCCACTCGGAGCTGCTCATTCTTCTTGCTCTGGAAAAAAACACCATGTCTCTTCCCTGGGATTTAATTCCAGCGCCGGCATCTGGGAAAGCTGTACAATGCAGATTTTACCAGATTTGTAAAATGGAAAAGAAAAAAAAAAACCTCGGCCATCTCAAAAGTAAGGGAACAAAAATGTTGCACCTGATCCTTGAGAATTTCACTGAAGTTCTCCCCCTGGGGAGTAGGGGCTTGTGCCAGCTGTTTTAAGAAAAGGAGAGTTTTGAGGAGGCCTAGTTTCAAGGCCTAGGGCAAGGGTGGCTGATCTATGACATGCTATATGCTGCTGGACTAAACAGTGGTACCTCGGGTTACATACGCTTCAGGTTACACACTCCACTAACCCAGAAATAGTGCTTCAGGTTAAGAACTTTGATTCAGGATAAGAACAGAAATTGGGCTCTGGCGGCATGGCAGCAGCAGGAGGCCCCATTAGCTAAAGTGGTGCTTCAGGTTAAGAACAGTTTCAGGTTAAGTACAGACCTCCGGAACGAATTAAGTACTTAACCCGAGGTACCACTGTAACTCCCTGACCAGCAGCCATATTGGTCAGGGCTGATGGGAGTTGGGAGTCCTATAACAGCAAGAGGGCCGCAGATTAGCCATCTCCCTAGAAGAGCTGGCCCCAAAAATGAGCGTCAGTATAGAAAACTAGGCTTGCCATAATATGGTCAGTGTCTTGAGAGAACATATATTGGAAGCTTTCTGTAAAGACTGAGGTCTACATCTCACACAGACTTAGGCATGCTTACAACCACTAAGTCCAGCTCTGTATTGGACTTAGGCCTACATGCTCTGAAGGAAAAGCAGGATAAAAAATGTTACATTATAGAGGTTTTTTAAGGGAACAGACCCAATTCCCACATAGCTGATCTCAGCTTATTACAAATATAATAGAGGGAGGAACCATAGTCAAATTGTGATGTTCTTTTACATATACTTTGTGTAATAGGCTAAATCTTGTCTACAACACCTCCATACATCAAGGTCAAAACTTGGGAAATCAGACAAGTGAGAGAAAAGTTGAAATGAACCCATAACTCAGGAATCGGTGCTAGGGATTTTCAGAAGACCAAGGGAAGTCTGAGAGAAACAAGGTAGATCTGAGCAATCTCATTAATTAGAAAATTCAAGGGTGAGGAATTCTCGTGTGGTGACTCATCCAATAAAAACCTCGAGATTAATTTGAGCAATGAAGTAGGCACACAGCTCTTTCAACATACTGTTCGTAATTTAAGGATAATAGGTGTTCAGAACTCAGTCGCCAGACAGATAATTTTTAATACATTCAGAGCACTTTGCATCAAAAGAAAAAAGAAAAGAAAAAGTCATGCAGACTAGCTTCAGAAAGACAGGCAAAGGCACTCTCTTTATATCTCCAGCTGCATACTGCATCAATGAAGAGTGACCCCAGTGCAACCTATTTTCTGCCAACATTCATGTGGTAATAACTTTGCACTGTGAGAGGAGGGTGGTGGAGGAAAGAAATACAGCTTTTTTTTTACGTGCACACCTGAAGCAATGCAGGCTGACCCATCCCACAATCCCCATATTTAGAATTGTTGTATACATTATTTATTTTAAAATCTGAATTGTCTTTCCTTTTTACTACATCTTACGTACCTCGTAACATTGTTCTACTTTTGTCAACAAACTTTTGAGAGGGATGGGCCCATCCCTGCTTAACCCCCCCCCCCAAACTGTTAACACACCGCTCTGAAGGTTGTCACTGCCTGAACATCTGAAACAGATTTAGGGACTGTATAGCTAAGGTGAAGAGGGGTGAAGGAAGATGGAGTTTTAAAATTTCAACAGATAAACCATGCGGAACACAGTTGGCATGGGGGAATGATTCTTCTTGTGAATTAGCACAGCGTCACATTTTCTCTGTGCATATTTAAAATAAAAACATAAGCACCGCCTCCTCATAAGAAATGGTCGCTTAAAGCTGCCCTGGAACATCCTGCTGCTCAGGAAAGCGGAAAGAACAAAACTAGATTGGACTGAGCTGGTATGGTAGACAGCTTGCTTGGACATGAGAAATCACCTTCATGGCTGTGTTTCACTACTTTTGAGACATAGGCAACATACTGTTCTCTACTACAGTGGTATCTCGGGTTACAGACGCTTCAGGTTACAGACTCCGCTAACCCAGAAATAGTACCTTGGGTTAAGAACTTTGCTTCGGGATGAGAACAGAAATCGCACGGCGGTGGCAGCGGGAGGCCCCATTAGCTAAAGTGGTACCTCAGGTTAAGAACAGTTTCAGGTTAAGAACGGACCTCCGGAAAGAATTAAGTTCTTATCCCGAGGTACCACTCCACTTTATGAACTTCAGCTAATTTCTGTTCAAAGGTTTTCTACATGCTGGTATGAAGCTATTCTTTACAGTTTATACTTCTATCTCAGCATCCCAGAAAATGCCATAATACCAGGGAAAATTCATCCTAATAAACACCAAGGTGGTTTTTTTATTATTAAAAAGAAAGAAAAAAGAAAAGCAAAATTTTGTGTTAATTAGTTTCTCACCTTTATGGAGAAGACAAGCAACCTGGAATTTTTTTTAAAAAAAAAGTCTATCACAAATGTGATATATCCCAGTGTTGTGTTTATACTAGCAAAATGGCTATACAACAAAACCCTCAAGATTTGCATTGTGTGTAGACAGGAACAGAATCTCCCCTGTAGGTCCAGCAATTTCAATGTTTCTTTCACATGCCATTATTATTCTTTCAATATCTATGTTGTACTGTAACATTCCACAAATGTCAGCAATATTGTTAGAGGTGTTGCCATAAGCCCAAGTTCCTACAGGAACACTTATTGTGTGATCTATGCATCTGTGATCAAGCTATGCGCAGGATAGCAAGCTCTGAGCATGCCATATGCAGCACCTCAGAAATCTCAGCTTTCATTTGAAAATAAAAGCTTCCAGTTCTTTAAGCTGTAGAGACAGCTGGAAAACAGGGTTCAGAGAAATGTCAATGATTTATATTATTTCTTGTCTCTCACAAATTGTTTGCAGAAGCAGAATTATTACATTTATTCACAGTCTTTTCTTAGTGCAAAATTTCAATTTCAGTGCACTTACACACAACCCTGAGCTCTTTGTTTACATACATCAACTTATTAAAGTCTGATATGTTAACTCCACAACAACACATTGAAAGACTTGTGCAAGGTTAGCAGTGATTAACTGATAAGGAACTGAAGAAACAAGATCTTTCATCTTGTTGTTGTTTTTTTAATGTATTAAAGTCACATCCAATTGGAAGGAAAAAAGACATAATAAAGTATTTTCTTAGCAGGTGCGTTCCTCTATTTTTGACAGGCTTAGCATAGGCACAACTTGGTAAGACTGAAGGAAGAAAAAAATAAATACATTATACTATGAAGCAGTGATCTTATACTTTTCAGGAAAGTTCTCCTGCTTCTTAATGGGTTCAGGTGCCCCATCTCAATTTTGGCTCATGAGGAAGGATGAGAAAACTGAGGTGTACCACATAAGAGACTGGGAGAATGGCAGTAAACATACAAGGAAGAAAAGAGGGACAGATCAAATGACAGGATTGCATAGGAGAAACAGAATATGCTGCTGAAAAACTCAAGGAAAACAATGGTTTAAAGCTTTTAGTTGACACTAATGGGCAATAAAGAAAGGAAGAGTCAACAGCCAAACTTGTTTTGCTAAACTAAAACTAATCAGGATTATGTCATTACAAGGGAAGTCAATAGCTTACACCTCTAGCCTCTTTCAGGACTGCCTAGACTTGCCTACTTGGGAGCTTAGCATGGTTAAGTTCAGTTGTGTACCACAAATCCACCAAAATACAGGAATCAGTACCCAAAGGAGTCCAAAAATCCACAGCAACTAAAGGATTTTCCATGTATTTCTTCTAAGTGGACTGATCTCTCTCTCTCCCCCCCCCCTTTTCCCCCTTGCAATTCTGAGGGCTACAAACTAGTATTTTTTTAATGTAAATATAAATTTATTGCTATTATCTTCAAAATATTGACTCATCATCAGATTCCATACAGATTAGCAGAGCAGAGCAATCAGTGGCTTTGGCATATAAAATCTGGCTACTACTTCAAAAACTTTATTTCCAAAATGTAACAGTCTTACTCCCTGGTTCTCTGCTCTCAAACAATACTAACTGAATGCACATTATCACTGTGTGGGATATTTAGCTAGTGCGAAGTATGGCTGCTCTTCCCTTTCTTAATTGCTCAGTACAACATTGGAAGAAGACACTATTTGGAGCCCTCTCTGGCAACCAAGCTCATGTTAACAAAGGAACTGTTGTGCTAGTGCCAAAAATTACAAGCATTCATAAATAAAAAGGGAAATACATAAAAGCAATAAATGGGATAAACTTGGTCAAGAATCAGGATGAGCCATACTGATGGTACCCATTTCTGCCTCTTTCCAAATAAAGAGATGGTTTATCTGAAAGTTATGTGAGGTTCTCAAATAAGGCATGACAGCAATTCAGTAAGAAGAAACTAGATGTTTTTAGGGGAAACTATGTTGAAGAGAAATGATCAGTCAGAATATCTTAAAGGGCTTCATTTCCCTAATGCTGGCAAGTAGATATTCCTGCAACCCATGCTAAAACACATCTTCTTGAATGGCTTATAAGCCTTATACTAAGTAATAATTTCCAGGACTACAGGAACAGCTATCATCAGTATTCCAAGTGGTGGGTAATTACTGTTGGAAGCCACTTTTTAGTATACACAAAGAGATGGCTATCTGGTAGTTTCTAATTTACTATGCATCTAAAGCTGCATTAGTCTGAACATTTAGCAAATTAATTTCAGTAGTTTAAAGACTTAGAAAATTAATATGAAAACAAGAAGAGAACCATACTTTGTCTTCATGAGTCTTGGACTGTAGGTGTAGGGTGTAAATTAATTGTATTGTTTTTAAAAATGAAGTATCAAGAGTGTAAATAAATTGTATTTTTAAAAATGATGTATGGTTGTTCAGTACGAAGATGCCATATTCAGCAAGAAGTCTTCAGTCACCATTAACTAAGGTTTTTTAAAAGTTTTACAGAATACCAATTCTTTAACTTATCAGCAGAAGATATTTTTCAAAGTATGTCCAATAAGTCAAGAGATATCCCCATTTCCAAACGCTTAGTATTGCCTGAGTAGTTACAAAGGAAAATAAAACATTTTTGAGGACACAGTGTTCTACAGTCTCCCTGTTCATCTCATGTCCTATTTTTAGGCTAAAGTAGGTTAAGTTTTGCCCTTCTAGTATATGAATTAGTATTGTCTACTTGCAGGCAAGCAATGAAGATTATGAAAAATCTGACTTCCCCACCCCCAAACTGCTCAGACTGTGAATCCAGAAATAGGAATGTGTTTCAACCAGGGTAAAAGTAATTAGTTAAATTAAATGTTCTCCTTTATACTTGTGAACCCAATTTCCCCATACAATTTGCTTTTGATAGTGACACAGATGTGCCCATGAACAAAAAATAACTTGCATTTCTTGCCAGTTCTGAAAATTAAACAAACAGCAATGCAAGTTTCTCATTCCTTTCTTGGTGTGATGGAACAAATAAATTTTTGTCATATACACTCTAGACTAGGCAACGGCCCACTTCAAAAGCAACACTAAAACACGATATAGCATTGCAAGAATGAACCACAGTGAACTTTGGACTTGCATCCCTTTCTCTCCACTCTCCTCCTCCTTTGCATGTGAAAAAAGGAGAAAGCAAGCTTCTACCTTGTTTTAATGCATCACATTAATGCATCATAGCGTCCTGAATTGGGAAATGGCTAATTCTGAGTGGTTTGTTTGGGAAGTGGCTACCTGGTTTGTTTTAACAAATGAGAATGTAAAACTATTGTTTAATCCTGGTTCATTTGAACTAACTAGTTAGAATAAATAAACCAGTTTCCTGGTTTATTTGTGATTTATTCCAAAATGAAACTGGAAGTTTCCAGTCTTCTTCCCACAAACACTAAGGAGAAGAAAAAGAGAAAGCACAAAGACGCAGTTTGTTCTCAAAATGCTAACCCATGGTTTAGCATTATTTCTGAAGAGGCCAATAAAGTGATGATTTTAAAAAGTCAGTGTGAGTACTAGTTAATAAGTACTGTGAGGATGTGCCAACCAAATGTGATCAATCAACTGAGGGTAGTAATGTTGGAATTAAAAAAGGAATTCCACATTCATGCCAGCCTTGATGCATTGATTTGGTTCTGATTTTTCCTGCACTGTCAACTGCTACAGATTCACAGTAACCTCTGTGTTGTTGTTTTTTTTTTTTTGTGAATTGAAAAAGCACTAGGTATAGTAGTACTGGAAAACACTCGATATGTTAGATTGTGAAAATGTCAAATACACTGTATTCCATTGAAGAAAAATGAGGTGGGATTTTTTTTTTCTTGAGAACCATTTTATTTTAAGACATTTGCAGGTCTAATATGCCATAATAAGTTTCATTATGAATCAACAATAAAGTGCTGAATTATATTAATTACCTGAATCTTAATCTCATTTGTAGTCTTCACTTATGGTTTCCTTATCAAGTCTAAAAAGCCCTTTCTGCTGCAATAGCTAAGCTGTTGTGCAAGTATTATAAAAATAGATAGCTTTCAGTCGAGACTATGTACTCAACATGGCCTCTGATGTTTTCCATAAATATGGCTGAAAGGTATTAGAGAATAAAATGCATGCAAATTATCTGTAAGAGTTATTTGAAAATGAAGGGGATACTACTAAACTTCTGAAGCCCCTGCAGAGGGCTACTGATTACAACCATATAGTTAATTATACTAGTTGATGGCTAGATCTGGACTGACAAGCATCATGCCAACATGCTTTAATTTCTTTTGTACTTAAGAATCTTGAGTTGTAATTTCAGACTATGTTTGATCTAGTACTCACTGAGTTGTATGATTAAGTTTCAGGTTAAATTTGGAAAAAAAACTCTCTATGCCTAGTCACACAATCAGCTCAAGCAAGACACTAGTGTAGAGGAGAATATGGCAGTTCCTTTCCTTTCTCTCCTCGCAGCAAGACATATTTATATGACTTTCAGACTTAATTTAAAAGTGGGATTGCCAACAAGAACACATTTTACTCCCAAATTCAGCACACAACTCTAGAAAAATAAATGGAAAGCAACTGCAGAAAAAGCTGGGGGCAAAAAGTCATATGAGTTTAGACAGCTGACTGATGTCTTCAAGAAATGTCAAACTGTAAAGGGTATATTTTCAGAGAGTTCTCTAACAAACTGCAAGAAAACAGTGTCAGAACTGACAATGGCCAACTGCTGCATAGAAATATGCCAACACACAAACAGTCATGTTCAAGCCAGTGCATAGAGAGGATAAAAGCACTTATGGTAATTGCAAATGTTAACAAGTCCATACAACTTGTATAGTTCAGCAATGAACCCATTAGAAAAAAGAATAGAAATGCTCAAGCAAGAACAAAAAGATGACTTCCCAACTATATAAAATCCACACACCAGTAAGAATAAGACAACACCACGAAAATTATTCAGTTCAGTCCCAAACAACCAACAGGCAAACTAAACCAGAGTAGACAAGCCTTTGGCAGACAAATTTTAGTGAGTCCGAATATAGCATTACATTTCTAAATAATCCACAAAATATATTATATGGTATGTTTGTTTTAAATATTGGGCAACCAATTCTGCAGATCTGATTCTAATAATGCTTTAGCCAATGAGCAGGATGGACCAAGCTGAATGAATGATGGTGTATCGCTGGCATATCACAACAGTGCTTGAGAAAGCAACAATTGATGTTACTAACTCGTGCTCCCACAGTACCAAGGGCCTATTGTCAGACTGTCATCTATGGAGCAAAACAAAGTTCTCAAGTTTTTCTGGGATGTGCCCTTGGTAACCTATGCAATAATTCACAATTACACGGGCAGCAAGACACTGCAGTGTAGTATGGTTGATGGGCTGGATCAAGTTCTTTGCCATTTCCTTCTCATCCAGCAAGTCAATAGCAGTTTGTTTATGCAAGTTTGTTGCATCAAAATGTGATCCTGACTTGATAAGAAGATTCATGATGTCAGGATGGTTGTTCAGTGCAGATATGTGCAAAGGGCTGTTGTCATCAGAGTCTCTAGCATTTACATCAGCGCCACATTCCACTAGTATAGCAGTGACTTGCAAAGAAGGAAATTTACAAACTGGGTAGCGCCCCACACATGTGGTGTTCTTGTCAACAGCAAGGTGGAGTGGGCTGAAGTTATTCTTTCCTCTAGGATGTAGCTTAAGAAATCGATATATAGTTTGTTTCTTGAAATGATCTTGCTCGGGACTACAAGGAACTTTCTCCAGCAAGCAAATTAAATGCAAAATGATGGAAAGGGCTTTGTTGAGCTGTATTTGGTCAGGCGGACACTGAGTTTGCTTGATGGCACGTTCTATTTCGAGGACACTTTTGCACAGTATACCCATGAGATCATCAAATGTAACTGTTGTGCCCAGCAGGCCTTTGGCTCTGTCTTGAAGCATGAAGGAGAAGAGTTCAGCAAACGAAAGCAGACTACTCGCAGTCATAGGGCTCAGGGGGTCCAAATTGCTCTGCTGCATGTCCAAAGCGTACTTCCACAGATTGATGCATCGTTTGAAGTTTCCAGAGTCTGCATAGACAGCACCTCTGTACCGAATATAGTAGGACGTATCTGGGTGAGATGGGCCAAGAATACGTTCTCTAATTAACAAGGCCTGCATTCTCATCTCATCAGGGTCTGCAATAAGGTTTTCTAGCTCTTCGGCACTGTTCACCTCCTTGGCATAATCGTAGGCCATAATTAACGTTTGAGGCACAGGTTTGCTCAGTATGTTAGTCCTATCACTGTATCTCATATCCATAGCTCTTTTCCAGTATTTCAAAGCACCGAGCAAATCTCTCTTTTTATCCACAAAGGTGGCTCCCAGGAGTTCCAGTGCATTTATACGTTCTACTTTGCTAGTTTCAACATGTTGGGTCAAAAAGTCAACTATGTTTGTGTGACCTGTAACGCTAGCAGACAGAAGGGGAGTCATTCCATAACCATCTTTTTCCATCTTTGCACAATATTTGAGAAGCATCTTCATTATTTCCAGGCTACCAGATTCGGCACAATCATGCAATGCTGTGTTTCCTATGGAAAAAAGAAAGCAAAAAAATCATGTATGCTATGACACATTTTCAGAGAAACAATGAAGGAATTATGGCTGTACAGAATTCAAATTAGCTAGTATGCTAGTCATTAAAATAATGATAAAATTGCACATCATAAGCAGTGGACAAATAATCGACAAAGGTGGTATTTTAATCTAAGTCATGAACATGTAAGAAAAGTAACATTCCTTATTAGTCACTTAATAAATTTCCTGTTTGAATTTAAGAAAAACAATCAGCCTTGAATATGTGGCTTTTATATTTGCCAACCCAAAGCTTACAGCATTTTGCCAGAACATCCCACTGCAGCTGTTCTGCTGGAGCTAAAATTTTCCCCATGTTTTCCCAATACATATTATAGTGGTACCTCGGGTTAATAACTTAATTCATTCTGGTGGCCTTTTCTTAACCTGAAACTGTTCTTAACCTGAGGTACCACTTTAGCTAAAGGGGCCTCCTGCTGCCGCCGGTGCGCGATTTCTGTTCTCATCCTGAAGGAAATTTCTTAACCTGAGGTACTATTTCTGGGTTATAGGAGTCTGTAACCTGAGGTACCACTGTATTTAACCACTCATTCAGTGGTGTTCAAAGCATTTATAGTACCTGAGACAATGGACTTGGGAAGGAAATAAAGGAAAGCCCTGTCTGCTGGCACATTTAGATAACTTGTTTCTGTAGCCAACACTCAGGTCACAGTAAAGTGAACATGATTTTTTTTGGGGGGGGGGGGAGGGAATTCTGCAAGGATTACCTTAAACATTTTAAGAACAGGTGAGTAATGCTATTCTTTCTGCAGGAGGTAAACCGATTAAGACAGGATGGCCAACATGTGGTCCTCCAAATGTTGCTAAACTACAACTCCCATCAATTCTGACCATTAGTTATGCTGGCTGGGACTGGAAGCTGAAGTCCAACAACTTCAAAGAACCACAGGTTAACCACCCCTGGGTAAGGAGTTCTATAGGATTGGGGCAGCTAAGCCTTACTGGATCAAATAATGAAGCATAAAAGGTAAAGGTACCCCGGACCGTTAGGTCCGGTTGCGGACGACTCTGGGGTTGTGGCACTCATCTTGCTCTATAGGCCGAGGGAGCCAGCGTTTGTCCGCAGACAGTGGTCATGTGGTCAGCATGACTAAGCCGCTTCTGGTGAACCAGAGCAGCACATGGAAACGCCGTTTACCTTCGTTCCAGAGTGGTACCTATTTATCTACTTGCACGTGACGTGCTTTTGAACTGCTAGGTTGGCAGGAGCTGGGACTAAACAATGGGAGCTCACCCCATTGCGGGGATTCAAACCGCTGACCTTCTGATCGGCAAGTCCTAGGCTCAGTTGTTTAGACCACAGTGCCACCCGCGTAGTTCAAACAATTATCTATAATTTTTTGCTCTACACAAGCCTAACTTTATTACGTCACTCAGTTTCAAGGCCCTTCAGGAGCATCAAAATCTCTGAGGTCATAGCAGTGACTGTTTCCAAGTTCTGTAGCAATCCCCTCTCCACTTTAGAAAATTGTGAACAGGAGAAAGAAGATTTCTCCAATAAGTTTCACAATCAATGCAGAGTCTGATTGCTGCTTGTGGGGTTGCAGTCAGCACATATCTAGAACTGTAAAATAATTATCAAAATAAATAAATTCCTGCAGGTAAGCATCTTTCTCTGTTGTATCAAGGGGCAGATTGGAGCATTTACAAGTAAGCAGATCCTGCAACAGGAAGTATTCCATCCCACCATTTGACATGATCAGTTACGGCACAATTTTACAAATATATTTGTTTGTAGGTATCTGTTCTAGTGTGATGTCTCAAATCACAAATTGGGGAGTAAATCTGCATCCAATTAGGCAACTGAAACTACAGCTGATGTTTGTTTAATTATTTCTAATAAATTTAAAGATTGCCTTTGAAATAGTTATAGTTCAACTGCAAGTATATTCCTATTATGAGTGGCTGTACTGGTTTGCTGCTTGAAATAGCAAGATGGAACAGATATGCCAGCTTGCCCAAGGAAAAAATAGGTTCAGGTACTCCCTTGCAAATGAACAGCACAGAGATATGCTGCACAATTCTATGCATGCTTATTTAGAAAGAAGTCTGACTTTCTTTAATTGGATTTATACCACAATGTGTGTGAAAGCTTGCGCCTGAGTCACTGTACTCTTAATACTTCACTGCTTCCCTCCACTTATACTGGGTAAATTTCTTAGTAGATAGCCTTCTGAACATGTCTTACAAAATGTTTCTGTAATAAAGCTCTGTTTATGTATATAGCAAAAAACACACAAACAGGAAATTGGTTGCCTATTTGTCCCACCCCATCACTACTGTATTACTGTGAAGTCAAATTAACGGGAGAGTTTTCAAAAAAAGAATGCTGCTATGAGGAAAATGAAAAGTCATTATGTCCAAGAAATTGTTCACATGGGGCCCTGAGGCAGATCTTTGTGGACAGGCAGGGAGAGATAACTTGGAAGACAACCAAGAAGGTATTTAAAGATAGGAAGCACAAAGCATGATAGCTTAAGAAAAGGATGCAAAAAGCTGAAACTGAAATACCTAATTATTACTGACATTTGTTCCACTTACACCAATTCATATGCACATGGCTCACTGATGCTGATACTACTCAACATCCAGCTTATACATGGCTGGGTAATAATGCAGCACAGAAGCACTGTGTTGGGATCATGTCCCTACGTCCCAACTTGGGGAAGGAACTTACTGTTGATAAAACACAGCCAGTATTTCACTGAAGAATCAGATTCAGCTTCTCTCCAATAGTTCACCATTTCACAGGAATTGAATTTGTTTGCTCACTCGCCACGTAGTTTAAGATACTAGGCCAGCTCACCAAAATCTTAACTCTTAACAGGTTGGTAAAGTAACCCAGTGTACCATCATGGACAGAGTACAACTCAATGTCTACAAGAGTGTAGTCATCTTCCCTAGTATATTACTACTGGCTATAAATCTGTTAAGCTTTGAATCACAGACAATGTGCCAATTTTATTTTTAACTTTCTGAAAGCCATAATACATGGATTAATCATGTCCTGTCAGAACCACCACATTTCATTGTTTAGTTATTTAGAATAAGATGCACTGAATGCTGCCCTCTCACTTGCAGGGCAGCTTTTGCTCTAGCACAGGCATCTGCTAACATTAGAGGAGGGGATGAGATTTTCTCTAATTCACCTTTTAATGCCTGCCCAAATCTGTTCTAGAGGTTCAGGGAACCTTTTAGAACAGTATGAAAAGTGGTGTGATGGACTTCATCAGAAAAGAGAATTGGGAGAAAATTGCTTCCCCCTTTTGACATTCACAGATGCCTCTGCTGGATCAAAACCCATCCCAAGAGAGGTGGAAAACTGGATTTCACCCTTAAATAATTACCGTATATACTTGAGTATAAGCTGACTCGAATATAAGCTGATGCACCTAATTTTAGCACAAAAAACTGGGAAAACTTATTGACTTGAGTATAAGCTGGTTCACCACACCAGAAACCTGGTGGTGGCAGTGGCGGAGGAAAAACAAGCAGCCCAAAAGGGCTGCTTTCGCGCTGCTCATTCCTCCTCCGCAGCTGCCGACAGTGGCAAAGGTGGAGGAGGAGGAAGGAGCAGCCCGAAAGGGCTCCTTTCAGGCTGCTCGTCCCTCTGCCGCTCACAAGAGCAGGCATAGGAGCCATGGCTGGGAGAAGCACAGCGCAGGGCCTCTCCCAACCATGGCTCCTGTGCCTGCCCTTGCAAGAGGCGGGGGCGGGACCAGCGGTGAGAAAGGGCTCCTTTTGGGCCGGCCACCTCACTCGAGTATAAGCCATGGGGGGCTTTTTCAGCATAAAATATGTGCTGAAAAAATCGGCATATACTTGAGTATATACGGTAACTCATAACCTTATTGAAAGACTACCCTTCCACTTGTGCATATGACTGCAGCCTGAGATAACAGCTGCTAGTAAGACATACTGAACATTCAGAGGGGCAAGTAAAAGGTAAAGGTAAAGGGACCCCTGACCATTAGGTCCAGTCGTGGCCGACTCTGGGGCAAGTACTTATGTGCAAATCTGCATAGGATTGTGATGCATATATTTTAGTTTCCACTCAACTTCCTTATCCGTTCAATGAAAATATATCATCTGAAATGCTTAGCTTCCTGTAAATTTCGTATTTAACTAACGTGTTTGCCTTCTTCCTAAAAGTATCCACTAGGGAAGAAGTATAACATTTTCATAGTCCTTGAATAACGTTTAAAAGATTCCTAAATAAAATCTCTCTAAATCTATGCAGCTTAATATTTCTCCAAGTGACAATGTTGCCATGGATAGACTCCGAAGTGATAATCATAGAACACAAAAATGTGATAGGTTTATATAAGCACAACAGTATGACTAACAAAGAAGGGATTCACATGGTTCTTCTGTCTGGCTCTAGAATACGCTGGACAGGCTTCCTCAAACACATTTTAGGTTCCTTGCCAAATAACGAATATCTTACATATCTTTTCATGTAATACACACACACCACCACACTGTACTACAACTATAGTATAGGCACATAAATTGTTCCACACAAAGCTAGGAGTTTTCAAAAGGCAGGATCAAGCTCAACAACAACATAATAAACAAGCTGACTCCTCCACATACTGCCAGCACAATCTTCTAAGGATTTAGAGAAAAGAGCCAGAAATAGAAACCCGAGACAGAAACTGCTCTTACTATCACCACTGTGGAGGACATATGGTGGAAGAAAGTGCTTCTCAGGAACTGAATAAAACTGATAGCTTCAGAACAGCTAGTTACCCTTTGGTAGATTTGTCTAAAAAGCATGGCTCTCCAGACACCGTTGGACTTCAACTCCCATCAGCCTCAGCAACATTTGGAGGGCTGCCTGTTTCTCCAACCCTGCTAAAGTCTCCAGGCTACTGCTATTTGCAGCAGGGAGACTTTGGTTGCACTCCTGCCCACACTTGTCTAAGAGTAACAGAGCAATTCAAATGCCCAAATGGCCATGTTGGGAGCGAGTGTAGATGCAGCAAATGTGTCCCTCTATCCAGCTCTGCCTGGCTCCACTAGCCTGCCAGGGGAGTTTTGCCACTGGCATAGCTGCAGTTCAATATGCCCACCCAAATAGCAGAAAGATGGAAGCTAGCACTGGCACTATCACTACTACAATGGAGACCCCCAAAATGAGGCATTATAGGGATGGACTGGGTTGACACAAGATCAGAGCTGGTATGCTGCCATCACATGATGGCAGATGGGTATGATCCTGGTAGCTGGCACAGTGAAGGGGCATTTTTCCTGCCCCCTCCCACCCTGACAAGCAAAAGCAGCAGGACTGTGGTTGCAGTGGCTAGCTGAATAGCTCCAGCAAATCTTGCCACTGCTAGCCAGGGGTTAGGATTCAACTGAGCTTATTTCTGAGCTTGCTTTGTTCATAAAGTGTGCTATTCTATACATTTTATAGAATAGCACAGTTAAGGAAGAAATGTGTATTTTCTCTACATTTGCGAGCTGCTTCAAAGTACCTTTAGAAATCAGAAATCAGAATCCAGAGTGCTCCCCAGCTGGCAAGACAGGCCTTACTGCCCCTACTGCCAGGTCTTGCTTCATAAACCTACATTTATGCATGTTCTGAACAAAAAGCATCATGTAACTGACCCATTATGCATTATATGAAAAAGGACTACAAATGGTATCCAACTACCTTGTTCCATCAGCACAGTGATTTCCACTAGCACAACAGAACTTCCCGTCTCCTCTCCCTGGACACGCCTAATATCCTCCCTACATCAGTTCCAGAGGGTTGGGGGGGAACCCAGAACAATAAGGGGCACATGGAAGGAGGAGAAAAGGGAGAAGTTCCATTACGCAAGTGAAAATGCTTGCACTGACAGAATGAGTTAACTGGAGACCACCCACTGCTTTCCGAATTATAAGACTACCTTTTTAAAGGTGAAATTGATATCTTTTAAGACACCAATACTCAATCTGCATATATACTACATGAAAACAAAAACTCTGAAATATTTACTTCCTGTGTTATTTTGAAACTTCAGAGCTCACAGTACAGATGTGCACAAAATACTACTCAAAGTCCAAAACTGGCAGTCATGTTAAATTGGTTGCTACAAAAAATTATTCCCCAGTTTACCCTCTGAATATATTGATGTGGGAATTGAGATAATTACTTTTTCTATTAATAATTACAATAAAATTAAGATTTTATTTTCAATAAAATTAATCTTATGTGAACCTATGACAAAGAAAAATAGATGAAGCCACAACTTTTGGTGAATTTTTTTTTTTTTAATCTCTAGGCCAAAACTCTTATTCCACCAATTGGAAAAAAGAGCATCATCAAGGATAAACAATCCTGTAAGCTTCATTTGCCAATGAACCAGCAATGCTACTCTCCAATGTTTAGGAAAGGGCATCCATAAAAGTTTCTGTGGGTTCTCACCTGGCATAGCTTCGATTATCTAGACACTTTACTAATAGAAAGAACCCATGACCATGACACAGTTCTTTTAGTTAATGTACTAAAATAATAGGACGTGGGTGGTGCTGTGGGTTAAACCACAGAGCCTAGGACTTGCTGATCAGAAGGTTGGTGGTTCGAATCCCCGCGACGGGGTGAGCTCCCATTGCTCGGTCCCTGCTCCTGCCAACCTAGCAGTTTGAAAGCACGTCAAAGTGCAAGTAGATAAATAGGTACCACTCCGGCGGGAAGGTAAACAGTGTTTCCGTGCGCTGCTCTGGTTCGCCAGAAGCGGCTTAGTCATGCTAGCCACATGACCCGGAAGCTGTACGCCGGCTCCCTCGGCCAATAAAGCGAGATGAGCGGCGCAACCCCAGAGTCGGTCACGACTGGACCTAATGGTCAGGGGTCCCTTTACCTTTTACTTACTAAAATAATACTGAGAAATTAAAATAACAGAAAGGGGTTAAGTTCTGCTACCAAGTGTCAGTGACAGCAGTATGCTTCTTCTGCTTATAAAAATAGAATTCCTTTCACATTGCTATAAGGGCAGAACTTGTGTTTCAATTATGAGTCATTAAGCAGAGTGAAGAAAGACAACACCAGAAAGTCACAAAACAAGATCCAGCTGGTCAATAATAATAACACTTAGTATTTATATAAAGCTGTGGACTGTTCAAAGAATTTACATAATCATAGTTTGATTTATCCCCTCACTATATTGCATCCAGGAATCTAAGCAACTGTCTGGGGGGGTTCACGACAGAAACAAGTCAAAACTAGAAATTTCCTGATTTGTAGTTACACCAGTGTGCTCTCAGTTACTCAGTTACTTAGCATACAAATAATATTTGTTATTACACAGTGGAAATGATTGAACCAAAGCCCATGGATTTTCGTAAGACTAAGGCTGCTATGGACTCATTTACCTGAGAGTAATCCCCATGGAACTCAATGGGTTTTACTGCTGAGTAGACCTGTGTAGGACTGCACAGTCTCTCGGTTATATGTCCTGTTTTTTAGATTAGTGTGGTTAAGGGAGGTCAGATGCATGTGAGTCAGAGACAGGATGGGCAGAGTAGTCTTTGTGACTCTCTGAAGCAATAAACATTCCTAGCAAACTAGTAAAAATGTGAAAGAAAAGAAAATACTGTAATAAAAAAGCAATGTCATGTCTAGAACAAATGGACGAGTAAACTACAATCACGAGAATAATCCACAAAACAATTTTGCTGACCAAAAGTGTCAACATAGTAAACAAGAAGAACAAAGGCTTCAGTTGTGACACAGTGCCACTATCCCTTTATTGTAATTCTATTACAACTGTAAGGATAAGACTAATATGGGATATATCCTTACTATACCTAGCAGGCAGATAGATATATTTAGATAATGGGTGGTGATGCCTAAAGAATGCCAATGCAATTTGTATTTGTAGTATTACCTGTATTAATAGTGATTAAATTCTTCCATTCAATGATCCAAAATAATCCAGTTTCTGTATGATGTTGCTTTTTAAAAAAACAAGGAATTATCACCACATCATTGTACCTATACAACACTACCTGAGCATAATCTATGGAACAATTCCCTTTAAAAACGAAACCTAAAGGAATGTTATATACAGCATGGAAAATTTAGCAAGGACAGAATTAAGCTTGGACTTTGAACCTTTGAACTGTCAAACCAAATGAACATTCTGAACAGTTCTTTAAAATTCACTGCTGAAAATGGATACTGAACTCACCTTTGACACTTTTTCTATTTACATCAGCTCCTTTTTCAAGCAAATACTGAGCGATTTCTTTGTGCCCTTTATAACACGATATCATAAGGCATGTATGCCCGTGGCGGTTTGATACTTCCAAGTCAGCTTTGTGTTCCACAAGATACTTTACAATTTCTAGATGACCATCAAAACAGGCAGCTCTAAGAGGTGTTGAGTTTGTCAAAGTGGTATTGTTGACAGATGCTCCATGATTTAATAAAGACTGGACCACCTTCAAATGGCCAGCTGCTGATGCTGCCCATAAGGGTGGTGCACCTTCAATAGTCTCACCATCAAAATTCACAGAGCCACCAACTTCTATAGAAGCACTGCACTGTTCCAGTAGATGTTCCACCATGTCAAGATGGCCATAGCGGGCTGCCATCAAAAGGGGCGTGGCACCATTTGTTTTTTCTGACACCAGCAAGGCCACTTCTTCTTTAGTTTTATTCGCCAGTAACTTGGTGAGAAGCCGCAGCTTGCCATCCCGAGCTGCATTGAATACTGCTGTCTTAAGATCCATTTAGTCTCTTCCTCTCTCTCTGACTTGTTCTTCAGAATCACAGATAATGGGATAACTGGAACCACAGAGTTGAAGCTGCTCCCTGCACACTCTCCTCCAAGGATGTGCTGCCTCTGTGTACTGCATGAAGCTTTCACACGAGACCTCTTAAAGCAAATACTATGCTCAGCAACCTAGAAAACAAGACAAAGTTTGACAGCTAAGTGAAGACACTCAAAATACAATCATTACCCTTGCTAATACTGTCCCTCCCACTTGCCCCCAGAAGAAAAAGGCACCTGGGTCTGAACATTTACAGGCAACAAATGCTAGCTTTTGAGATGACTATGAGGGAGATAGGATCCCCGATGCAAATTATTCTTGCTACTTCTCATACCGGTTAACCGTCTATTTTGTCTGCTGAGCCCATCTGGGTTCAGACAACCTAGCTGACACGGGATTGTCACCACCTGGTGGCTACAAAAAAGAAGAAGCAAAGGCGAAGAACTTTTTAAGGCTGGGATCCGAACCTATGCCCGAAATATCACAAGACTCACAAAAGGAAAGCTTTCAAGTGCGCCCTCAGCTGGGAGGGCGCCCTCAGGAATTTCCCCGCCTGCCCTACACGGTTTGACGGCATAGATGGCCCCATCGTACCCCCACGGTCACGACCCCCACACCCGAGGCGCTTCGCCCTGCTCACGACCCCCAGCCCACCCGCAGGGGCTGCGCTCCGGGCACCGAGCCACCCAGGACGCCCTTCGCTTCTCCGCCCCCTTTGTCCTGACTTCTCCCCTGGGGAGCCTCCCGCGGCCAAAAGGAAACAGGCAGGCGGGCGGCCGACGTCGCCTAGAAAGCTCCGCTGCCGGGCAGCCGCTCCTCACCTGCGTCGCCTTCGCCTGCTAGTCCCTCGCGTTCCCTTCGCCCGCCCCGAACCGCAGCGCTGCCTGCCCGGCCGCCGAAACTCCAACCGCCCCGCTCGCCCTTCGCTGCGACCGGCAAGGCAGGAGGAGCCTCGGCAACGCCTGAGAGCCAGGCCGGGGCGGAGGCGAAGGGAGGAGGACGAGGAAGGAGCCTGTCTCTCTCTCTCTCCCTTTCCCCCTCTGGTCTCTGCAGCCAGCTACCTTCCCGCCGAAAGGCAGGCCCGGCTCCGTCTCCTCAGAGCAACCGCCGCGCCGCTCCTCACAGTCCAGCCGTCGGTGCCGCCGCCGCCGCGCCCCGCTCGCGGCGCAGCTCCTCCATGACAGGCGCTCCCAACTGCAACAAGCCAGCCTCCTCCCTCCTCCTCCCCGCCCTCCCTGCTCGAGCGAACGAACACAGAACCCGGCGCAGCCTACCCTGCTGCTGCGTCCCGCCTCGAGGCCGAGTGGAGGGGTGGCCCCTGCGCCGCCCGCCAGCCAGCCTCCTGAGGCGCGCGGCAGGGAGGGAGGGAGGGAGGCGGGACTCGCTAGGGGACAAGTTGGGCTGAGAGCGCAAGCACGAAGGCGGTTGAGGGAAGCGGTTGGGGAGGCGGGGGTGGCGCTGCCGCCGCCGCTGGGGGGGCTGCCGAGCTATTCCGGGCTGAGGAAAAGCTCGGGGAAGCCGAGCCTCGCTCAGCGCGGGGCTAAATTAGCACATAATGGAGGCGGGCGGGCGCCAAGCGAGCGCGGCCTATGGGGAGCCGGGCTCCGTGTCGCCTGGCCTGTCGCGCTGCCTCCCCTCGGCTTCCCGCCACTGGCGTGTGGGACGTGGAAGGAGGAATCTGAGGGGCTTCTTCCCTCAGACGTGTGTCGTGGGATTGAATCAGGGCAGAGAGCCGAGGAGGAGGAGAGTTAAGGGCCGCTAGTCGCCAGAATTTGTCCGCTAGCCATCAAAAGGATTTGTAGCCAAAGCTGGCCGGGGGCGGGGGGAGGTCAGGTGTTTTTCGTTTCTCCCTAATTTGTATAAGGTTCACTTTTAAAAGGTGGGGAAATGCAACTGTACAGAGGAAGCACTCTGGAAATGTTCAGGGTGTTGTTATTGTTGTTGTTGTTGTTGTTGTTGTTGTTGTTATTATTATTAAATCAGATTTCCAGCCCTTGTCCCCCCTTGTCCCTCTCCCCAGTTTTACCCTGTGAAGCAGGCTAGGCAGAGAGAAGACAGTGGCTGGCTCTTGCTCACCCAGTGAGTTTCATGGCCGAATGGGGATGTTGTTAACCCATGTCTCCTCACAAGTCCTAGTCCAGTACTCTAACCGCTGCACCACCACTGGCTTCTACACCATGTTCATTTTTTTTATTTTTTCGCATTTATTCAAAAGTTACAATACAGCTTTGTCCGTTGGCATAATATCACAGAATGATCACTCCAACGATCCTCAGTCCCACAACACTGTCATGTTAGCTCACCAAATACTCTCAATAGGAACCCAACTACCAATGTAGTTTACTAGACATTTTCAATCAATATTTCCCCTCCACAGACACCTCTGCGAGGAGGATGGCATTAAAGTACCCTGTTCTTCAGTAAAAGAGAAAAGGAAGACCCAAGTTGTGTCAAAGAGATGTCTTTGATTAATCGCCATGCTAACCAAGAAAGAGGAAAGGCACTCTGGTTATGCGTAGGGACACTGTCTTCTATGATTATTATTTTTAACAGCTAGGGTTGGTTTTTATTTTTTAGAAATTACAGGTACTTTGCATTTGGGTCTCCTGTATTTTTTTGTTTACAAACTACTTTAAGCTTTACCCACCACCAGGATAAAGTGGCAGAATTCTTGACAACAAAAGCAAACAACCCTAAAATAGAAACATTTGTGATAGTCCTGCCACAGTTTCAGAGGTGGGGGGCAGGCTGGGTGTCTCATTACAGTGCTGTAACTTGTAGATCAAAACTTGAAAGGATGAGAAGTGGCACTGAATTATGGGAAGGGGTATTTGCCTTCCTCTGGCAAGATGCAGGATTAGGGCCAGCTGGCACTGTCTGCTCCACAGTCACTTGCAAAAGATGAAGCTCTCTGGTGCAATATGAGTAGTTGACTGTAATTTATGTATTTATTACATGTATATCTCACGCCAAAGGAGCCAAGAGTGGCAAACTACAATCAGTGATAATACCATTAAAAATAAAAGCCTATTAAAAGCAACCATCACATAAAAGCTAAAGGGCAGATCATGACTTTATGCTGTTATCGGTATACAAAACCTGTTTGTTCTCAGGGAGCTAACAAAACAGCAACAGCATTCCTATGGGAGATTCCAAGCCATCTTGGATTACGTCCTACAAATACTGAATGCATTGATCTTTTCTCTGGGTGAGGATGGTTCTCTAGCTGCCTCCTTGTTTCCTCCATCATTTTGAAGTTGTGTCCCACTCTAGCCACCACACATCCCCAGTCCAGGTTTTGTATTTGTTGTAATTATTATTATTATTATTATTATTTATTACCTACCCTTCACTGTAAGGTCCAAGGGTGGGTTAGAGCATTAAAAACAACTGACAACAATAAGTTGTTTTATATCAACCTTCAGACTCTCCAATTTTCCCTATTTTCCAGGAGTAGTCCCAGATTTATAGAAGCCGTCCTGGTTTCTCATTTAATCCCAGAATGTCCGACTTTTCCCTAGGATGTCCCAATTTTCATTGGAAAAATGTTGGAGGGTATGGAATAGGACATCCCCAAAGCCATTTTTCAGCCGAAACTCAGTTCCAGCACCTCTCAGGTAGGCACCATTGTCATTCTAAGACAGGCATAGGCAAACTCGGCCCTCCAGATGTTTTGAGACTACAATTCCCATCATCCCTGACCACTTAGCTAGGGATAATGGGAGTTGTCCCAAAACATCTGGAGGGCCGAGTTTGCCTATGCCTGTTCTAAGAGAACAAGGGAGGCATTAATGGTGAGTTCTGGCACCTCTTTTTCTAGAAAAAATAGCACTGCATATTCCTATTTTCATCAGAGAAATGTTGGAGGGTATGAATAGGATGTCCCTATTTTCATCAGAGGAATGTTTATGCTCATTGGCAACTTTTTTGTTTTCCTACCAATTCTCTTTTGATTCGAAATCTGTTCCAATTGTAAAAATGGTTTTGCTTGTCCTGTGTGCTTATATGAAGGGCCTGGCTCCATCCTGGCTAACTGCTCTAGGGTGTGGAGTTAGTGACGTCTTCCTGTGCGCCTTAATCACATTTGTCATTAGATGAGCAGTTTCAGACCTAGCACTTTGCTCCTGGGCTGCAAAAGGTCATGGCCATGATCCTTACATCTCTGATGATGTCATCATCATAGGCTTAAGCTGGGTTTCATGTCCCATTTCAGCCTTCAAATGTTACAGTACAGAAATAAAAATATAATGAGCCCCACAGGGTAGGTAAGACTAATTCTTGGAATTAAATAGTTTGGTTTAACAAAGTTCACTGCTTTAGTTCAAAAACCTCTGAACTGTATCTGAAAGTAGTTTTCATAATTGCTGAGTGAATTAAGTTCAATTTCGGGTAGAACTTTGAACAATTTCTAGCTCATCCTCAAGTTCATTCACTTTTCCCTTTTTTTACTCTTTAGACTCTTCAGGCCTTTAAGCTTCCAAAATAATAATTGTTGGGGGAAATAAATACCGTATTTTCCCATGTATAAGACTAGGTTTTTTTACTTTAAAATGTCAAAAATTAGGGGGTGTCTTATACATGGATACATCTCATTTTCTTAAATCTGAGTTCCCCAAAATAGGGGGCATCTTCTACATGCGGGGGTCTTATAGATGGAAAAATACAGTAATTTACATTCCGCTTCTGAAGTATATGTTATACTTCAGCAGCTTGTAACACTCGGAAAGCTCTTATTCCCCTCTTTTTGCCAAGGATCATTTGAATGAATGAGTTGAACTATGAATGGAACAGGTTTGTTTTGTTTTTAAGTACTGTAAAGGGAAAAACATGAATTGGAATTAGTTCTTTTTTGGAGAACTAAAGCTAGTTCCTTTTTAGAATGAACTTTCTAAGCTCTGGATAAGGCCAGAGACCATTTGGTATTCTTTTCTCCACAGTGGTCAGCTAAGTACCTTTGGGAAGCCCACAAACATCAAAGCCTAAAGGCAACAGCTGCCCCCTGTAATTGGTATTCATATCAGTATCAATTGCCTCTGAGCCAACATCACAGGGCTACCTTGAGTGCTCATTGCCCTAGGGGGAGAAGATAGATAATTTTGAAAACATGTTTCCCCCTTATAGCCAGGGCTGGTGCAAGACATTACGCCACCTCTGACAGCAGGCTTGTGTCACACTTCCCTGCCGCCGCTACCCTCCTCTGCTGCTGCCACCCTCATCTCTTCTCCCAGCTTCTGTACCTTCCCTCTTGCTTCCAGCAAAGGGATGTTAGAGCAGCAGGCTCTCCTGGCCTCACTCTGAGGTGTCCTTGTAGGCAAGCTTGCCTATAGGGTGCCTGTGTCACTGCCGCTTTGTAATCTTACGTTTTGTTTTTAGTTTATGCTCTAGCATCCTAATATTTTAATATTTATTCGTGTGATATTTGTGAATTTTGCTTGAAAAGCGATTGATAAATATCTCTAATACATATGCTGATAAGGTAGAGGACCCTCCAGACATGTCTACTAGCTTAACAATAGTAAGCTGGGGTTGTTCTCTGGTATTCTACTCCTGTACAGAGTGAGATGTGAACATGCACATTACTGAATTAAGGTCACCTAGCTGCACAGAATCATGCAGTCAATAGCTTGGGAAAAGTCATTGTGGCTGAGGTTAACCCAGGCTTCCTTGACCTTGTGCCTTCTAGATTTTTTAGACCAGAACTCCCATCCCTAGCCTGCTAACTGGGGTAGATTGGATTTTCAGACCAAAACATTGGAGGACACCAGAAGAAGAGGAGAAGCATATAGCACTTTCTACATTATTAGTATTATAGTCACTGTAAAAGAAATGTTTTAGAGCTTTTTTTTAAAAAAGGCAGTGTGTCAGATGCTGAACATATTGAACAACATGCACTGTTATTTATTTAGAAGATTTATATCCTACCTTATGAATGAATGATCCTCAAGGCAGAATACAGTAGACAGATGTGTGCAAACTCACACAGCCCAGCAGCTCTTATTTTCCTGCTGATGGATGGGACCAGAGTGTACTTCCCTACAGCTCTGCAAGTGTAGAACAACTGACAGTTGGAGCTGAGTGTTCTTTCTAGCAGGGAGGGGAAAAACTGGAGCCAGTGGGTGAAGCTAGGCTTGTTTTGCCATGCTGTTCCTCCTGGGAGGAAAAGATGAAACCTCCATTGGCCCTTAGTCTCCTGTCCAATGGCAAAGACTAGAGTGTGCCTCCCTCAGCTTTGCAATTCCAAAGACTTTTAAAATAGCCTGCAGGTCAAATAATCTTAATTAAGCCAGATGGCTTAAATATTCAAGCTGTCTTTCACTACAAGACAAGATGCAAAAACTAAAATGTGATCACAACCCAAGCTGACCACAGATAAAATGGTTTCCTGTCTCCAGATATGACAATCCTGACAATGAAACAAGATTGCAGTTATGTCTAGCACAAAGTACACTTAACAGTCCAACCTTGGTGCAAAACGCAGTAGAGAGTGTTCTAACTGGGGTTGGGGTTTTTAATATCAATTGGCTCCACTGCTACACCAGTTTCATTGACTCACAGTTAATTTTTTAAACAGTTCCTCATTGAGTTGTGCAAGACTGCAGCTTCTGTATGATGGTGCTATTTCATCATGTTGGAAATGTGCAATTCTCCATCATCGACAACATTTTAAAGGGTGATTTATTGGTTGTTGCATTCATTCATTGCTTTCTGCAATGAAAGTCCCAAAGCTAACTTACAACTCCATAGAATGCACAAACTCCTAACAGATACAAAAAGAAAACAAAGTACCGTATTATAAAATGTTAGGAACCTATGATGCTATATGACTAGCAAAAACCTGAGGATAGGTGAGGAGAAAGTTTCTAGTCCTTATCACTAGAGATAAATTAGATTAAATAACAGCAAAAATACCAGTTTGCTCTTTCAGGAAGTCTTTCATTATGATTATACATTACTATGGAATTACAGGGTTTAGATGTGACTGCACTGTACATGGTCAGATGCAAATTTTCTTTTTTACTCTGCTTTTCAGCAAATGGGTGTAAAGGCAGTTCCCCTTGGGAGTCTAACAGTGTACAAACATGCTGCAGTGCAGACAAATAAAAAAGCATTGTAAGTCACTAGCGATAGCATTTTGCTGGGCCTCTCATGCAAAGCACCACCACACCCTTGAATAGACTTGCAGAGATTCCTGAATCAGCATCAAGCAAGCTGCTTCAGAATTGTTGCTTAAGCTTGCACCAGAGCTAATGGGGCACCTATCAATACCACAACAGGCCAAGATGTAAAAGAGGTGGTACTTGCTTTGCGCCTTTCTTTGTGTTACGTTTCCTCTTAAGTATATTCAGTAGCACATGTTGGGGTGGTGCTCACCTGACCTCTGGTTGGTCACATCGCTGCTGTTTACTGGGAGGTAGAAGGGGAGGGGCAAGGTCAGAGAGGTACAAATGTACCAGCAGAGCTAATGCAGTGTTCCCAGCGGTTCATTTGTACTGCACTGAGCTTTGTCACTGACTCACACCTACCCCAGGACCTCCTAGTAAGCGTCAGCAACACAACCAACTGGAGGTCAGGTGAATACCACAACCACCAAACTAAGGGCTTATCCACACACATCTTTTGCCTCTCACTTTTAGGCACAGATCCACCCTTTAAAGCTCTGTGTCTGAATGCTCTTTCTCACCTCGCCACTTTCCCCAGGAAACACTGCTCTTTAACACTGAATCAGAACAAATGGCAATTCGAGTTTCCAAAGGACTGTCATTTGCTCTGATTCAGCAGTAAAGAGCAGATTTTCACAGGGAAAGCACCAGGGCAATGCAATGCAATGCAATTAATATAATATAATATAATATAATATAATATAATATAATATCTCAGACATGGAGTTTTTAAGCATGGACCTGTGCCTAGAAATGCAACACAAAAGGAGGTTAGGATGAGCCCAGTGTATACTATGGCTGTTTAGGCCACAGGTGTGGCAGTACACCATAATTCCCCATGGTTAAAAATACTTTCCAAAGAGCAGTCTGCTCTATGTCCTTTCTAATGACAACTCCCCACAGCAGGCAAAGTTATTCTCTTGACTTCCTTATGTGTGCAGTTGCAGTTTCTTTAGCCTTTCAACTGAATTGCCAGGTTCTCTCACCCAGGGCTCATCTACAGTGGAGTTTAATGTGAATCTGAAGCTACTTGGGTCTCTGCATATTTTTGTGGCATCCACACAACACCCTCATCCAAGTGGCAGCCCACACTCTCCCTCCATCGCTGCTAAATTTGGATTTTCTGAATGAGAGCAGGAAACTGTGTAGGGAAGAGGTTAAATGCCCAATCCCTGTGTGCCACCTGTCTAGTCCTGAGAACCCTCTCCAGAATTGGCTTTTCTGCTATCAGGCCAAAGGCCGAGGCATTTGCTCGTAACATGTCATTTGGCCCTGAGGTATAAAGCAAGATGCAGCCACCTTCTCCTGGTTAGGCTATAGGTGTTGAGGATTATCAGGTAACAGGTGGTGCAGGAACTACATCCTGTCTCAAAGCATCAGCATCCTCAGGATACGCTCCTTTGTGTATAGTTATAAACTCTAGCTAGAATACAGAATACATTTTGTGGACCTTAGTATCTACAAGAAAAAGACTAATTGGAGGGAAATCCTGGAAGAGCAATTAACTTGATTAAGGAGCTAGTTGTGCTAATTTATGAGGAAAGATTAAAGGAATTAAAATACATTCAGCTTGGGTAAATGCTAAATTAAGATCGAGTGGGGGTATAGAAAATACACGTAACCGAACAAAGAAATACTTTCAGATAATGTACAGCTATTCGCTAGCACAAATAGGGAGACACTTTAAAAACTTCACTGTTTCCCCGGCTTAAAAGAGGACAGCTTTGCACACCATAATCAGTACTGGGCATTAACCCAAATTGGTCAAAGTTCAGATGACAAGGTATCACTGGGTGGAGGTAAATAAACGTTTTGGCTCCTACACACTCTTATTTCTTCAAACAGAACTGGCAGCTCCCACTCAAGAGAGTTTTATATTACAGTACTGAAAGGAAGATTCACTGGCAGGCAGACTCATACCTCTAGGTCCTTTTCCATTGCTGAAGCATTCTGGCCCCCAAATATTTCTACCTATTTGTATGTGTTTTTTCTTAGCCCTCTCCCCAACCAGTTTGCACAAGCAGGGCTGGGGATGCTATCACCCAAACGAGAGCTGTGTGTGCACCAAACATTTAGAGCACTCCCTCCCCCCCCCGAATCTTGGGAACTGTAGTTTAACCCCTTCCAGAGCTACAATTCCTCAACCAATTAACAAACAAACAACAGTTCCCAGGATTCTTTGGGGTGGGGCAATGTGCTTTAAATATGCTGTAAGTGTATGGCAGCCTTCCTCAACCTTGGGTCCCCTATCAGCCCCAGCCATCTTAGCCCAATGATCAGGGATGATGAGAGTCATAGTACAACAACATCTAGGGATCCAAGGCTGAGGATCTCCGGTGTGTTGTATGTACACAACCTAAGCAAAGAAGAATCTCGTGAGTCCTCTTTGTCATACATAAACCATGTACAAGAACAAGAACCATGGCTATCTGCTGTCCCAACATGGAATATTTGGGACCGATTTCATGGCCTGCTCAGTAAATATGAAGAAAGTCGATGACTGAGTGGTGACATTTGCTTTGTGTTTTTGCCAAGCAAACTTTACTATCTACTCATCTCTGCTCCTGTCATACCTTTGCTGACGATGGAGGTGATTGCTCAGATATTTACAAAACACTCGCTGCACGTAATGCGACAGGTTAACACAGCAAGTGGCATGGAGCCTGAAATGCTAGCAGGAGAGGTTTGCAAGCAATGATGACTCAAGTAATTGAGTCCTCTTGTACACCCTTGGGAAGGGCCAAAAACATTTCCAATTGCTCATAGCATGTGGCAACATTTGGCTCTTTAATGTTAAGCTGTTCCAGTAATCAGAAGAAACTGGGCAATGACAGCGGTGAAGGGTGTAGAATAACTGAGCGAAATGCTGTTGTTTTACACTGTAGTTACCCAATAGATAAACCGAATATATCTCTCCTAAGACATAAGTGCTGGTTGTCTGGCAGAAGGTTGATTATCCTTTGGATATTTCAATATTGCACGAATTTTAAAAATGCCAATTTAATAGCTATTTCTATGGAAGTACAAATAGGGCAGGGATATTAATATCCTTGTGGAGGAATTGTGAAAAGTTGAAATAGTCTCATTAATCCACTTCATTTTGCAGTTTTGATGCTGCACAAGGTGGAGGAGAACATTTGCTTTTCTTTCCAGGTGTGGTTGACAAAAGGCTGCTCACACACAGTCTTCTAAAATTCCAATGCTACTTTCTCGACACAACCCTGCAGGCAGAAACAGAATCATCATAACACAGTTCCACCGATACTCAGAGTCAGTCCAGAGGGATACCATGGTCAATGATATCAAAAGCCATTGAGACATCAAGGAGAAAGAGCAGGTTTGGAATCCCCCTGTCTATCAGGATGACCAAGGCTGATTTGGTCCATAGCTGTCAACTTTCAGATTTGAAAATAAGGGATCAGCAGCCTCACCTGTCCCGGGGACAGTCTACAGGATATCTAATAATCCAGGATAGCAGCGGGAAGCAGTAGGAAACGGCGCTGGGAATAAAGGAATTTTCTGCAAAAAAAGGGAAGGTTGACAGCTATGATTTGGTCTCAAACCCAGGCCTAAACCCAGACAGTCATGGATCCAGATCAGGGGTCAGCAAACTTTTTCAGCAGGGGACCAGTCCACTGTCCCTCAGACCTTGTGGGGGGCCCGGACGATATTGGGGGGGGGGATGAATGAATTCCTATGCCCCACAAATAACCCAGAGGTGCATTTTAAATAAAAGCACACATTCTACTCATGCAAAAACATGCTGATTCCTGGACTGTCTGCAGGGTGGATTTAGAAGGCAATTGTCCCGGATCCAGCCCCCAGGCCTTAGTTTGCCTACCCATGATCCAGATCGTCAATCTTATTCAGGAATGTCTGCAGTTGCTCAGCCACAATGCTCTTGATCATTCCCCGTCCCCCAAGAAGTATTTTTGACAGGGAGATTGTTGTTACAATCCATTTTTACTAATGGGGATTTTCAGAGAAAATAAAGATTGCATTCACCTTAATAAAGGGCAACACAATTATGTACAGAAGATCATTTAGGAGTGCCTGTATTAGGGGTTTGGTGGGGGGCCACATTCCCCTAAATTCCTGGGTGCCAGATCCCAGGAATTTAATTCCTGGCTGTAATAAATAAATATTCAAATAATAAAGAAATAATTTAATAAAAATTATTATTTATACCCCACCCATCTGGCTGGGTTAGAATAACTCAAGGTTGATTGAACTTTGCCAAACACAGAAAACCCCTGGATTTAGTGATGCTAAGTAGCCAAGCCAGAGCACAGAGCTAGTGGGATGAGCCATTAAAGGTAAAGGGACCCCTGACCATTAGGTCCAGTCGCAGGACTGGGGTTGTGGCGCTCATCTCACTTTACTGGCTGAGGGAGCTGGAGTACAGCTGCCGGGTCATGTGGCCAGCATGACTAAGCCGCTTCTGGCGAACCGGAGTAGCGCACGGAAACGCTGTTTACCTTCCCGCCGGAGCGGTACCTATTTATCCCCTTGCATTTTTGCCGTGCTTTCAAACTGCTAGGTTCGCAGGAGCCGAACAACAGGAGCTCACCCCGTCGTGGGGATTCGAGCTGCTGACCTTCTGATCGGCAAGCCCTAGGCTCTGTGGTTTAGCAGGGGATAAAGGTTGGTGGTGGCCCATCAAGGAAACCATCAGAGGGCAAGATTGCTGGGCAAGGGGGAGTGGGACCCCTTCTTTGCTGGGTGCTAATGGGCAGAGGCAAAGGCCAGGTTTAGGGTTTCAGCTTTGAATGACACAGGCTGGGGGTGGGGTGCCCTTGGAGTCAGTTAGCAGTGAGAAGGAGGGGAGAACTCTGTGTGAGCAGAGGATAACAGGCTGGAACTAAGAGACAAAGGAAATGGCTTTTTACTGTAGTTTGAATCTGGTTTTGCCCTTAAGCAAGAAACCAGATCCTCATATGACATGAATGCTCTGCAATCCTTCCACCTAGGTGCAGGTTGTGTATATGTGTAAATAAAACCATATATCATAAAGACACCACAGTTGCTGCTGTGCCTAATTGTCCCAAAAAGGAACACAGGTCCTGGTAAGTGCACCTGTAATTCCTGGAATCTCGCACTCCTCATGGTGTGTAACACAAGGCTTACGCAGACATACTTCCGCAACAAGGATGATTACCCCAAGCTCCTCTAGTGTGCTTTTTAAAGCAGACCTGTTTTCCACAGTGAGCTGATTCAACATGCAGTCCCATCCTTGTCTTAACACCTTGCTCAGAGAGAACAGCATAAAAAGCACGTTGAGAGCTTGTAAAACAAGAGTAACCAAATGGAGCCTCAAGTGTTTACAGTATCAGGTGGAAATTGTGATCTCATGCATTATCTACCAGGAAATGCATCGGCAATACCAGTGCATGTCATGAAACTGCACAGACTCACCTCTGTATAGGAAAGTCTCTTACCTGCAATTAGTTATCCAATGGAGCAATCCCTTAAACTTCTAACGTATGAGATTTGCAAGCTGCAAGCCCACATCCATTTCCCAGCCTTCTGTTGGCTGCTCTTTCCCACTGCTTTGAAAGTGTCATGCCACAACTGCAAAACACATCTCTTATTTATAGCCCTCTTTTTCTCTAAGCAAGGTTAAAAGGTTAAGAACAGCCTATTCGGGGTACCATTTTCATTGGGCTGGTCACATTTTCTATGGCCTCAAAGGCTCCTTCCTCCAATCAAGGAAAAACAAAATTTATCTGAACAGACACCTCCAGTGGTATGTTGGGCACTGATTGCTGCTTCTCGGAGCAAGAACAACTTGTACTGCTGATCATTTGCCAGCCAGTGTCTGTTACCCCCTTTTCCAGCAAAGCACTATTCCCTGAAGAAAAAACTTGAAACACACTCTTTTTCTTTGGTTCCCAGGAGCCTCCCGTAAGCAAATTCTTCTTGTTCTGCAATTCTGGGAAAGGTATATTTGGTCGCAGTACATGCTGAAATAAAACAACAGCAAAGCTAAAATACCTAGGCATAATATTATTTAGAGAAAGCAGGATTTCTAATTGAATTAAGAGCCTATGTGCGTACAGGCTTTATGCATGTAGACTCCAGTTTCAAACTTCATGCTGCATATCTGGACTGGAGAGCCAGTGTGGTGTAGTGGTTAAGAGGGGTAGACTCATAATCTGGTGAACTGGGTTCAATTCCCCGCTCCTCCACATGCAGCTGCTGGGTGACCTTGGGCTAGTCACACTTCTCTGAAGTCTCTCAGCCCCACTCACCTCACAGAGTGTTTGTTGTGGGGGAGGAAGGGAAAGGAGATTGTTAGCCGCTTTGAGACTCCTTCGGGTAGTGATAAAGCAGGATATCAAATCCAAACTCTTCTTGGGGGCCAGGTGTGTGACATGGCGGGGCAGGGCTGCTGAGCACTGATCCACTCCATCTGTAGATGTGTGCATCAGTGGAGTCATCTGAGCAAATCCTGTGGTCCTTCACACTTCCCACCCCTTGTTCAGCATCATTGGAGACAAGTCATTTTGTAATAAAGCTGCTAATCCAAAAATGTGTGGGTTGAGCGGATAGAAAGCAAACATGCAGCTGCATATTCCTGCATTGCAGGGGGTTGGACTAGATGATCCTAAGGTTACCTTCCAGCTCTCCAGTTCTGTGATTCTATGAATCTATGATTCTGTGCACACAGAACCATCAGTACAGCACCTCTATAGTACCAATATGTCTCTACAAGCCAGGGACACAGGTGGCGCTATGGTCTAAACCACTCAGCCTCTTGGGCTTGCCAATCAGAAGGTCGGCGGTTCAAATCCACATGACGGGGTGAGCTCCCATTGCTCTGCCCCAGCTTCTGCCAACCTAGCAGTTCGAAAGCATACCAGCACAAGTAAATAAATAGGTACTACTGCAACAGGAAAGTAAACAGTGTTTCCATATGCTCTGGTTTCCGTTACAGTGTCCCGTTATGCCAGAAGCGGTTTAGTCATGCTGGCCATGATCCGGAAAGCTGTCTGTGGGCAAACGCCAGCTCCCTTGGCCTGAAAAGCGAGATGAGCCCCACAACCCCATAGTTGTCTTTGACTGGACTTAACTGTCCAGGGGTCCTTTAGCTATTTTTTTACCTTTCAAAGCCAGCCCCTCTCCCCTAATGGGTTTCTTTTCCTCTTCCTTGAGCAAATTCAAGCTGCAATTTTTAAATTTCTACTGACACACACAGAGATTGGTGAGCATTGTCCTTGGGTTTTATATAACTGTACAAGTTTGCATGTGTGGTTCCTTTTACATCTTTTAAAGGAGAGTTGCAAAATTAGCTACAGCAGCTAAAAAAATAAATGCTCAGCATACAAAAAATTCAGTGGAATGTTTTGTATCTTATATTCCCCATATTTGCAGTGGAGATGGTTTATGCTTACGCTAGACATTGTGTACTCTCTATTTATGGACTGTGGTGGCCTTCAACTTGTATTGTATGTATGTATATAATTTGACAAGCTGCATTAGTCCTCTAGAAAAACACATTGAGAACACTTAAGCATCATGACATATAACCAGTCTGCCACGTATCAACACACCCTCTGAATTATATTTATAAACCGCTTTATAGACCAAGGCTTTCAGTGTTCTGATATGGAATAACTACTTTGCTGCTGAGATTTTTTTACTATTTTTATCATATGCTTTCCTGACTTCAGATGTGATGGAGATCACATCAGATTAGCACTTCTTTAGCAAGTGGAGGAGGAAAGGGGGTGTTAATTCTCCTAAAATAAATAGAGCAATGGAAGTATCAAAGCAACATTCCACATAGTGTTAAGCACAGCCTGGTACAAACAAAGAAAAGATTAAAAAGGACAACTACTAGCCAATGGTCTTGCACTGCAACATTGCACTTGAACTGTAGAGCCTGTGCAAGCTAACAACTGCCCAAGAGCACAGAGATAGAATTTCAGGCTTTGGCTTCTAGGGCAGCACAGTGCCATGGCCTTTGCAAACACCTGGCACCCTGGGGCAGCTGCCAGAGTGACTGAGCCCCGCTACCAGTTGACAGTGCTGACAGCAAAGAGAGCTCACTTCTCTGCCAACTATTGCATCTTTAAGTAGCCAACTCACTGAGTTTTTTAGGGTTGTGAAGAGGCTGGTTGATGCCAGTCCTTCTTCAGGGTCAACAGAACCCTCTGGGGCCAACTGTGATGAATTTGCAAGGCACTTTGAGAAGAAAGTTACTCATATTCACTCCAAACTCGATGCTATTGAAGCTGAAGGATGAAGAAGAAGAGGAGGAGTTTGGATTTGATATCCCGCCTTTCACTCCCTTTAAGGAGTCTCAAAGCGGCTAACATTCTCCTTTCCCTTCCTTCCCCACAACAAACACTCTGTGAGGTGAGTGGGGCTGAGAGACTTCAAAGAAGTGTGACTGGCCCAAGGTCACCCAGCAGCTGCATGTGGAGGAGCGGAGACGCGAACCCGGTTCCCCAGATTACGAGACTACCGCTCTCAACCACTACACCACACTGAGCGGAAATGTCCAGGACCACGCCTGTTACAATGATATGAGATTGTTGCTGCAACTCAAGTATATTGACAAGTCACCCAGTACGTATCCGAGCACAATTCAAAGTGTTGGTGCTGACCTTTAAAGCCTTAAATGGCCTCGGCCCAATATACCTGAAAGAGCGTCTCCACACCCATCGTTCAGCCGGAACACTGAGCTCCAGTTCCAAGGGCCCTCTGGCAGTTCCCTCACTGTGAGAAGTGAAGTGACAGGAACCAGGCAGAGTGCCTTCTTGGTTGTGGCACCTGCCTTGTGGAACGCCCTCCCATCAGATGTCAAGGAGATAAAGAACTATACAACTTTTAGATGACATCTGAAGGCAGCCCTGTATTGGGAAGGTTTTAATGTTTGATGTTTTATTATGTTTTTATATCATTTGGAAGCCATCCAGAGTGGCTGGGGCAACCCAGACAGGGAATCATCATCATCATCATCATCTGTTCATCCCACATTACTCTGGAGTCATGCCGATATGACTTATGAGAGCCAGCTGGGCAGCGACTGGGGGGAGTTGGTATGGGGAGTGGTAAACGCCTCTTTGTGGAAGGAGATGCCAATGGCAGAGGTGCTAGTGCCCTCTCGCAAGGGGCCACCCCTGGACCCTGAGGTATTAAAAAACAACTGTTGTTGTTTAGTCGTTTAGTCGTGTCCGACTCTTCGTGACCCCATGGACCAGAGCACGCCAGGCACTCCTGTCTTCCACTGCCTCCCGCAGTTTGGTCAGACTCATGCTGGTAGCTTCGAGAACACTGTCCAACCATCTCATCCTCTGTCGTCCCCTTCTCCTTGTGCCCTCAATCTTTCCCAACATCAGGTCTTTTCCAGGGAATCTTCTCTTCTCATGAGGTGACCAAAGTATTGGAGCCTCAGCTTCACGATCTGTCCTTCCAGTGAGCACTCAGGGCTAATTTCCTTAAGAATGGATGTGTTTGATCTTCTTGCAGTCCATGGGACTCTCAAGAGTCTCCTCCAGCACCATAATTCAAAAGCATCAATTCTTCGGCAATCAGCCTTCTGATCCCCTTCATGGATCACTGCCTTGCCGTGGCGAAGGGGCTTGAATAACTCAGAGAAGCTATGGGCTATGCCGTGCAGGGCCACCCAAGATGGACAGGTCATAGTGGAGAGTTTTGACCAAACGTGATCCACCTGGAGCAGGAACCGGCAAGCCACTCCAGTATCCCTGCCAAGAAAACTCCATGGACAAAGACAAAAAAACAACTGCTCAATAGCTAATGTCCCCTTTGGGTGTAAGGTGATGGAAAGGGTGATGACTGCTCAACTTTAGGTGTGTTAAGATGAGACTAATTACATAAATCCATTTCAATGGGGTTTTGACACCTAAATGGCTTGGTCGCTCTGACAAAGTACTATTTCAGCAGCTTTTGACACCATCAGCTATGGTATCCTCCTGGAGTGACTCTCTGAGATGGGAGTGGGAGGCAAGATGATATGATGGTTCTGCTCTTACCTGCAATACCAGGACCAGAAGTTAGCATTGGGGGATATTTTTCCAGGTCTGTCACTGTTGCACTAGGGCATCCATATGGAAAGGAGAAGGCTGTCACATAGGAGGTGGAATCTGAGCCAGTGCAGTTTTTGCCTAACAGGTTGAACCTGCTGAAATTCCCTGTTCTACCTAATTGTTCAAGCACAGGAGCCCTGCCCTTTTTTGCATCTGGTCACCCTAATTTTAACTTTTGTTTTCAACCAACCAATCACACAGGAGAATAGAGTGCCACAGAACGAGAGAAGCTATCTGCTAATGTATGTAAAGAGGGTTGTAGAAGTTAGTCCGCCAGTCATGTGATGAAAAAGCCTGGAGCAACTGGCATTAACTCTTTGGAGACCACAGTTGTTCATGCGGTTCAAGACATGTTGCAACACACCATTTTGTGGTTTGATGGGAATGAGGCCAATTGATGGAAGCGCTCTGCTGAGAAGCCTTTTTTCATTAATCCTAGCTGTATAAACACATCAAAAAAGAAAGATCTGGAATGACTGAAGGAACCAAGACAGCTGCTGAAGCATCATACTGATTTATGGTCCAGTATCTGTGCCTTGGATGTTGGAGACGAGCACCATTACTGGGCAAGGGCCAGGCAACTTTGTCATTTCCAGCTTGTTTGTTATTTGGTTTGAATGGCAGGCACAACACGAGAGACTCTGCTCTGTTGCAGTTGAAGTAGTTTACAATGCAAAAATTAAAATGTGGCCTAACAGAGAACATGGCACTTTGAGCTGAGTTTGGACATACAATAGTCTTTAGCAGGAAAGACTTAGTTCTTATCTGGTACCACAGTAAGTTTCTCAGATGCTGGAAAACCAAATACAGTCCCCCGGCAAACCTGATTTGAAGGCCAAAGACTGGCAGTAGTTTTTCAGACCGTTGCTGCTGGTTTGAGAGCAGGATCCTCTCCAACAGTATACACCAAGCTGGGCAACCTGTGACTCTCTAGATGTTGTTGAGCCACCATTCACTATCATCCCGGACAACTGGCCATGCTGGCTAGGGCTAATGGGATTTGAGAATCCCACAACTTAATATTCACAGAAGGGGAAAGAAGGATGACGACCAACTAAGGAGAAATGGCCTATGAAACTGACAGACTATGCTGAAATGGTGAAATTAACTGCCAAATTAAGAAGACGTAATGACTGAGTGCTTAAGGAGGAGTGGAGTCTATGGATTATCTATCAAATTATCACCCATATATGAAGTCACTGGCAGGATTTGAAATATAAGCAGTGGATTATTGAAAGAATTAACGATGGTGGGATTTAGAAAATTAAAACATACGTGTTGTAAAACAGCTAACAAGAAGGAGTAAAAAAATCAGGAAAGGAGGGGTGGGAAGTCAAGAAGAAACTGCATGTTGTTGTTTTAATTACATAATTACATGATGATAAGTATTGTGGAATATTTTTGGAGATTTAATAAAAATGATATGGGAAAAAAGAGAATCCCACAACATCTGGAGGACAACAAGTTCTTCATTCTTGGTGTAAACACACAAGTACACAAACATTTCTTTTTGTCCCCTTGCTGTGCCTGGTTGAACAGGTTTCTGAAACAATGCAAAACCTGTTCACTAAAGATGTAAGCAAGATGAGTGTACACACAACTGACTGCAATCCCTCTTTCAATCCATGTTCAATTCTCTCTCTAAAAATTGTCCAATTCCAGCAAAAGCTGCCTTACATTGCATTAGACCCGTGGAGCCCCAGGCTTTTGGGGGTCACAGCCCCTCTAGGTTCCATAAAATCATCCCTGGTTCCAGCTACTCTATAAAAAGTGTTATTCAGAGTAGCAGTGTGCATGACCCATGAAGGAGGATTATAGGTAAAGGGACCCCTGACCATTAGGTCCAGTTGTGGCCGACTCTGGGGTTGCGGCGCTCATCTCCCTTTATTGGCCGAGGGAGCCGGCGGACAGCTTCCGGGTCGTGGCCAGCTTGACTAAGATGCTTCTGGCGAAACAGAGAAGCACACGGAAACGCCGTTTACCTTCCCGCCGGAGCGGTACCTATTTATCTACTTGCACTTTGGCGTGCTTTCGAACTGCTAGGTTGGCAGGAGCAGGGACTAAGCAACAGGAGCTTAACCTGTCGCGGGGCCGACCTTCTGATCGGCAAGTCCTAGTCTCTGTGGTTTAACTCACAGCGCCACCTGTGTCCCTCGAAGGAGGATTACAACACAACAGAATTCAAGACGGTAACAAATAACTGCACATTTATTCAAAATCCAATGAAAAGTATTTAGTTCAATTAGTGCAACAGGGATAACAGCTTCTCAAAGTCTGATAGTCATTTACACCTCCAGAGCCACCCTGTCTCATAGCACACACTCCAGGTAACCGCTCCCCCACCCTGGGGATGGTACTGCCCACTTTGAGAACCATGGAGTTTAGACCATTGGACCATCTAGCCCAGTATTGTCAAATCTCACTGGTAGTGTCCCTCCCAGGCAGAGCTACTTCCGGCTCTATGAAAGATCATTTAACTGGAGATGCCAAGGATCTGTTTCTGTAACCCCTGATCTATGAACACTCTCTGAAAAGCTTCCATGAAGTCAGCTCTTATAGCTAGGGAGCATTTTTCTGCCATGAGACACAGTTAAGTGTTAGGATGATTAACACTCAGTGGGGATCATTTGAAAAACAGCAGTTCTTTGGGGCGTAAGGGGCTTTTGCAGAAATTGCCTTAATAGGTTTGCCACTCAAGCAGTTTTTGCACCTCTTCCTTCTTCTTTTCATACTGCCATATGGCTTGCTGTTGCCTATATCTCGAGTCCTGGAAAATGTTCTTCACTTGCTGGGCAAATCCAGGGCTATCTTCCTGTAGCGTGTTAATGGTCTGGAGAATGAAAGGAGTCCTCTCTCTTGGGAGGGGGTTATTCCGCGGCCTCATTGGGATGACGGTGTATCCTTTGTGCGGTATGGTCAATGCACTGAACAGACACGTGCAGAACTGGAACTCGCACCAAAGCTCACTTAAGAAGTTTTCAGTCAGCAAGATGATTATCCAAGCAGAGCCATTCATTGCATCGTTTAAATTTTCAAAGAGATGCCTCCCACCAGGCATTTCGGCAAATATTATTCCTGGTTTAATGCAGAATTCATTCTGTAGCAAGTCCTGGACTCTGGCAGCTTCCTCGACATCTTCCTCAGCATGAAGAACCACAAACCTGTAAAAAACATCCCCAGGATCTTCGTCACTGCTGTGAATTTCTTCAGTATTGGTCTCACCACTGGTTTCTTCACCCAGTGACAGTTCAAACGTTTTGGGCTTTTGCTTAAAGCCTTCTTGTCCTGGACTCGCACGGCTGTCCTTCACGCTGTTTCTTGGAGAAAAAGGAAATGTTCTTTTGGAGTTACCATTTCCCATTGCAGCAAAACACCCGGATCTAAAGACGATGAAGTATCCCAATTTTTCCAGTCTATAGAATAAATGAAAAAGAAGTTCAGAGGGGAAAATATCTCAGTCTTTTAACATGGCACAAGATTCATTCAAAGCTATTCCTGAAATCACAAGGGATCTAGGGCAGCAGTGGTGGGGGAAGCAGAAGTTTTTCAAGGCAAGACTGGAAAGTACATTACAGAGAAAGCATGTGAAGCAGCAGAAAGGAGGAGGAAAAAGGGGATTTAGGAACTTCTCATATAGATACACAGAACAGACAGTTGACTGAAGAGCTCTGGAGAAACTATAATACACACACTTCTGGACTGTGACATGATAATAAGTCTATAAAAGGCTTAGGGAAGTTTTTAATGTTTGATCTTTTATTGTGTTTTTAATATTCTGTTGGGAGCTGGCCAGAGTAGCTGGGGAAACCCAGCCAGATGGGTGGGGTATAAATAATTTATTATTTATTATTATTACAACATAATACAGGATATTAGTTAGTTTCTGGTGCTATTTAGACAGGGTATTTCTCCCAAAAAAAGACAGAACACATGTACATAACTATTAATAAACTTTTTAGTTTTTTGCAGGCCTTTGGGGTTGTTTTATGTTATGATTTGTATTATTTAAAATTGGTTTTCTTATGGGGTGGGTGTTTTTCTAACTGAATTTTTTTTTATTAATGTTGTAAGCTGCTGAGAATGAAACAGCACAATTTCAAAAAAAAATTATATTTCACAAACCTGGAAAGGCCCCTATTTTAGATGCCTTTATACTTCCCCATTTTTAGTTACTTTAGCATTTCTATTTGATGTGAAAGGGAAACGGGTATCTAACACTTCAGGTGGTTAAAGCTCTGCACATCAGCAAATGGCTGCTGAAATATTCCCCCTGCAGCGGTTTCCAAGCAGTGGCCAAAGGGTTAACCAACAGGGCACACTGTGTAGCAGGTCCTTGCCAAGTGCACACCAAAAAAAGCACTCCCAGGAATGTAGGCATCCTTTGCTCTCAGAAGCTGCTTACTTGAATCTACAACAGGAAGCCATTCTTTCAGACTACATAGCACATGCTAAAGAGTCTTTGTCCCTGTCAGTGGTGTGAGTGCGCTGAATATATGATGCATGTGAGCTCATCAACTCCCCCAAATAAGCAAACCGCAGGTGTGCTCACTATGTTGAACATAAAAGAAAAACCAAGAATATTCTGAAACTACTGTGCCAAAAAAACCCCACAGGCCAGGATCCAGAGAGCCTAGGGTGCAACTGGAAAGGATTTGTTAAGAAGGGACCCTGAGGGTCATCCAGTCTAATGCCTGTGATGCAGGAATCTCAACATGTGGTCTCCCATCCAATTTGAAACCATACAGGACCCTGCTTAGCTTTGCAAATGTGCTAGCAGTTTTATTGCTGCAAGTACCGCTCATGTATGGGGGGGGGGTTGTCACTTGTTTCCCTAACTCAGAGCTTCCCAAACTATGTGTCATGACATGTTAGTGTGTTGGCTACAGTGTGTCACGCAAACACTCTTATAAGTGTATATTCTTATTATCTTAATGCACATATAATTGTCAATAACCTTATATATTCTATGTAAACTCATTCCAAATATCATTGTATTTATCCAAGGGTAAGAGCAAGGGTGCCAACTTGAATAAAATATTGGGGGAGCCCAGGTAAGCCCCGCCCCATATAATCAATAATGGAAACGCCTATCAACTCGGTTTGCTAGTAAAACTAAGTTACTGTGTCGCGAAAGGATGCATGTTTAAAAAGTGTGTCACCAACATGAAAAGTCTGGAAAGCTCTGTCCTAACTGGTTATATTTATGTATACTGCACTGCCACTTGCATGGGTGTAGCCAAGGGCAGGGCAGCTGCCCACCCCCATCAAGTAAAACAATAGAAATACTTAACTAACTGACCAATCACATCGGTTCTGCCCCCCCAACAAAAGTCCCACCCCCCTAACCAAGTCCTGTCCCCCCCCCCCCCAACAAAAATCCTGGCTACACCCATGGCCACCGGGGATACCTCCCTGACTCTTAGGTCAGCTTAAGGTGGTGGTGAGAATGAGGGACAGCAAGCAGGCACATTCATAGATATGGGTATCAATGGCTGCATTTACCTTTGGGTCCCATGGCCCTGAATACCAGTTGCTGAGGAATACAAACAGGAGAATGTTAATGCACACATGTGCTACCGATAGGCTTCCCATAGCCATCAGGTCGCTTATTGTGAGAACAGAATGCTGACTGTGGTGTAATATATAGCAGGGCTTTTCTGTTCTCAAGGAGGGGTTGAAATTTAAATGGTAAAGCCATCGCTTTGATAACAACCCTTGCTGAAGAAGCCTGGAATGAGCAGCGAAAAACGAGTTGTGCGTACAAGATCGATTATCTGATGAGTATGTTACCTTTCTGTACAAAATGCTCATCCGACCTGGCTCAGACTTTGGCTGTTTTATTTTTTGGGGAACAGCACCACCTTATGGCACAGGTACACTGGAAGTGCTGTATTAATATGCACTTTAATATGCACATGTGAAACCGTAGCCAAAAGCTGGCCTGAGCTCAGTCTGTTTTCCTATGGCAGTTAGTACTGTGCAGAGAATATATCTTGATATAGAACAGGTTGGAATTCCCCATCAGTGATTCCCACATTTTACTTAACACACAACTAGGATTAAAAGGCTACCAGGCAGACATAAACCAGGCAGCTCTGATTTTAGGAGCTGGAATGAGGTTGTTTTTTCACAGTTTCTGTTCCCTCCAGCCTGAATGTTTCAGCTCTACATCCAACAGGTCTAATGTTTGTAATGAATCTGCTCTGTGAGTCTAGCCAATATTCCAGAATACAATGAATCCACCTAGAAGGAGAAGACTTAGAAACAATTTGGCTGAATGCTGAAATGGCTGAGCTCTCCAGTCATCTTTGGTCTTAGCAAACAACCATTGGCACCATCTATTATTTTTAAGGTTCTCAGCGGACAGAGACACAACAGCAGAGACAGGCAGAGGACTAAGTGTGGCCTGTCCATCTGGAGTCATTGTCTTTCCCAGGAACACTTCCTGCACTCCTGGTAGTGAATGCAACCAGGCATGTAGAAAACTGTTGATATGCCCTGACCCTATGAACCCTATAAACATGAAATAATCAACACAGGAGTAGAATCAGCAGAAAGGACATGCATAATAGAGGAACTCAGCTGCAAACATAAGACATAAAAAAATTCCATTCAAGAACCTGCATACTATTTCCTCAATCTGCTTCATTCAACAGCTCACTTTTTAGCTCAGTTGGTTAGAGCGTGGTGCTGATAATGCCAAGGTTGCAGGTTCGATCCCCGTATGGGACAGCTGCATATTCCTGCATTGAATGGGGTTGGACTAGATGATCCTCAGAGCCCCTTCCAACTCTACAATTCTATGATGCTATAGACATACCAGTGTGAGCTTCGCTGTGACTTTCAGGTGAAGTTCAATGCAGGAAACCAGCCACAGTTTTAAAGGCAAGAAGGAATAGAAACAGTCTCATTTATTTATAGCAGACAAAGATAGCGAAAGGCAGTGACACCTGGCAATTGAGCATCAGCTTGAGATCTCATAGGGCCCTCTACCTAATTAACTTCCTGGCTAAAAACTGCTAAATAAACTCACTCAAATTACCTTGCAGATGGCAAATGTTCTTAATAGCTGATCCACAAACCAATAGATACAAGGTGGTTAAGAAAGGAATGGTTAGAGGAAAGACATAATCCAGCCCGGGGAAAACCAACAAGAGTTAAGTTGCAACACTTTATGAACAATTTACTTTTCCCCATTACTTCTTGTATGCTCTCAATGAAAAACAAAACCTGGCACACCTAAACCCCTGTGTTATATTGTGTTTTAAGTTCTAAAACATGTTCTAGTCACACTGGTCCAACCTCCCTCTCCTGACCCCCAAATCAGAACATGTGAAACAATAGTTTTTATTTAGATCAATTTGAATTGAAGAGTGCAGTATGCAGCCCTTTGGGTGATACAGAACTCTTCCTCAAACTAGATGTTTGAAAAAGGAAGGTAAACCAAAGGAAGAGATGTTTTGATGACAAGGGTTGCTATTGTGCCTGTTTGAAGAGGATTTTTTACTCACATACAAACTCTGTATAAACCCCAAATCTACTGTACTAACATTAAACAGAAGCACAAAAACCCCAAGAGAAAAAATATCCAGCTACAACCACACTTCCTTTTTTTAAAAAAGCAAAAGAACTCAATTTTCTCTTATCCCTACCCACTAAAAAAACTCTACAGTAAGCAAGTCTTACACTGCCTCTTAAATATAGTCAGGCAATGGGGAAATCCAAGTCGCAACTAGAAACTCATGTTCTTTGCAGGCAAAACTTTTTTTTTTTTACTTAACTAGTAGAACAGTTTTACCATGTTGAAAAACATTTTTTCAGCTTTTACTTCTATGAAATGAATCCTACAAACTTCTTGGCTGATTTATATTATGCACAGGGTTTTTAAAAGAAAATGGGTGGTGTGTCCAACTAAATCATACTCAAAGCTGACCCGCTGAGATAAATTAAGTCAACTGATTCCAGTGGGTCTACTTTTGAGTATGATTCATCTGGACACCACACCATATGGTTCTTCAGAAATCTGAGACAGAAACAAGAAGTTCGATTTCCAGACAGTCCAAATCCAGGGGCATCCAACATCAAAGGGAAGACAGCAGCAGATTGCGATCCACCTCCTCTCTTACTTCCAGCATTTTCAACTTGATACCATCACGTTCCCTTTTCGAAGCCATTTACACAGGCTGGAAGATTGTTAGGAAATAAGCCCCTTTCCCTCCCGCTCCCAGAATTATGTGGGTACAGTGGTACCCCGCAAGACGAACGCCTCGCAAGACGGAAAACCCGCTAGACGAAAGGGTTTTCCGTTTTGGAGGCGCTCATAAACGAATTTCCCTATGGGCTTGCTTCGCAAGACGACAGCCCATAGGAAATCTCAGGGACAGCGGGGAAGCGCAGCGCGTCTTCCCCACTGTCCTCGGACCTCCTCCGAAGCCTGGCGGCGGGGCGGGGACACCTCCTCCCGCCGCCGCCGGGCTCGGGAGGCTCCTCCGAGCCGGGCGGGGGGAGGGAACACCTGCCGCCGCCGCCCGGCTCGGGACGGTGCTCCGAGCCGGGCGGGGGGAGGGAACACCTGCCGCCGCCGCCCGGCTCGGGACGGTGCTCCGAGCCGGGCGGGGGGAGGAAGACCTCCCCGCCGCCCGGCTCGGAACGGTGCTCCGAGCCGGGCGGTGGGGAGGAAGACCTCCCCGCCGCCCGGCTCGGGACGGTGCTCCGAGCCGGGCGGGGGGAGGGAAGACCTCCCCGCCGCCCGGCTCGGAGCGGTGCTCCGAGCCGGGCGGTGGGGAGGGAAGACCTCCCCGCCGCCCGGCTCGGAACGGTGCTCCGAGCCGGGCGGTGGGGAGGGAAGACCTCCCCGCCGCCCGGCCCGGAACGGTGCTCCGGGCCGGGCGGTGGGGAGGGAACACCTCCGCCGCCGCCCGGCTCGGAACGGTGCTCCGAGCCGGGCGGGGGGAGGGAAGACCTTCTGAAGGCAGGCGGGGGCGAAAGTCTTTGCTCCCCCTGCCTGCCTGTCCCGGAGGGCTTTTGAAGGCGGGGGAGCAAGACTTCGCCCCGCCCGCCTTCAGAAGAGGTCCAGGACCTCTTCTGAAGGCTGGCGGGGGCAAAGTCTTTGTCCCCCTGCCTGCCTTCCCAGGGGCTTTAAATTGCCCCGGACAGCGGAGAAGTCCTCCGCTGTCCCGGGTGATTTTAAAATGCCGCCCGCCAGCATTTTAAGATCGCCGGACAGCGGAGAAGTCCTCCGCTGTCCCGGGATTTTTAAAATGCTGGGGGTGGGAAGAAAAGCCCTTGCCCCCCCCCCAGCCTTCAGAAGAGGTCCGGGGACAGACTGTCCCCGGACCTGGTCTGAAGGCGGTTTCCCTAGGAACGCATTAATTGATTTTCAATGCATTCCTATGGGAAACCGTGCATCGCAAGACGAAAAACTCGCAAGACGAAGAGACTTGCGGAACGAATTAATTTCGTCTTGCGAGGCACCACTGTACTGATTTAGGCTGCTCTGACCTCTAGCTATCAATCAGGCCTTTGGTTGATTTGATTTACATCCTATGACCTTTTAAAACGTGGTGTGTGTTTTTGGGGGGGGGGGGGCATTATCGGGTTGTTGTTTTATATTTTGATTTTATTCTGTGAACCGCCCTGAGACCTCCAGGTATAGGGCGGTATATAAATTCTAATTCTAATAATAGCCTCTCAGCCTTTACAGGAGTGTTGAACAAATAAAATAACTGGGGAGGTGGGGGGGGAGAGCTCTGAGAGAAGCATCCAGTATAATAATAATTGTTTAAATAATTTGTTATTTATACCCCACCCACCTGGCTGGCTTTTCCCAGACAGAATGTTAAAAACAGGATAAAACATCAAACATTAAAAACTTACCTAAATAGGGCTGCTTTCAGATGTCTTCTAAAATTCAGACAGTTGTTTATTTCTTTGACATCTGATCTATCAATCCAGTAACTAGATTTTTGCAGCAGCATCTCTTTTAAGATGCCACAATACGCTTTTCTTTCTCTTCCCCTACGCTGCAAAATACTGAAGACACGCGAAAGCCCATTGAAAAGAGGGGGGGAGCCGTCTGGCTGCCAAAGGGGCTTCACGTCGGACAAGGGGCGAGGGAGAGGAACGGGGGTCGCCACTCCTGGAGCTTCACCTGCAGCATCTTGTTGAGAAGCAGCACTTACCTATCGAGCAGGTGAGCCTGGTCCTTCTCCCCGCGGCGGAGGCGTCCGGGAACGTCCAGCTTCTCTCCCCCTGCGGAAGTTGTGGCCGGGAGGCGTTGTGTCTCAGCGCCTTTTACGTCCGGCCGCTGCTGAGAAAAGGGGAAGCATGACATGGACGGGGCGGGCCCAGAGCTTGAACCAGTCGGCTTTTTCTACAAAAGAAGCAAGACGGAGCTTGCCACCCCCTCTGCCAGCTTCCCATCCGGAGGGAGCTGGCCAAAGAAAGGAGCAATCGTGTCCCTCGGGTGGATCCGTCGACATCTTAGACTGATGTAAACATAAGGACAGTATCAGGACTGTGTAACATACAGTGGTATCTGCTTGTGCGTGTGTATTACTCCAGTCATACACACACAAACTCTCTCTCTCTCTCTGTGTGTGTGTGTGTGTGTGTGTGTGTGTGTGTGTGTGTGTGTGTCTTACGCATAGAAGCCAACTCCTAGGGGCCAAGGTCCTTTCACCCTCCCCCAATAAAATATTTGACGGGGCGTCCGTCCCCCCCAAAGGTTGATAGGCATTTCCTGGGCTTACCCTTGCTCTTACCCTTGGATACATACAATGATATTTGGAATGAGTTTACACAGAATATATAAGGTTATTAAGATAACAAGATTATACACGTGTGTATATTAATGTATGGTGACGTATTTTTCTTTTTCCTCCATTCTCACTTTTTCTTTTTTCCTCTTTTTTATAAATGAAATTCCCTTAATAAAACAACAACAACAACAACAACATGTTATACAGATGCCATTTTATCCAAATTCACAGTTGAATCCTGCAATCCACAGCACCCCACTAGGTAAGAAACCCCATTAAACACTGTGGGGCTTACTTCTGAGTGAACATACACAGGATTGTACCATAGGTCAGCATCTGTCTTAAGGATTATGCAAACAAACAGATAGTGTCACATTTCAGGGATAAGAATAGGCAGAGTTATCCTAGAAGCAAGTACATTGGTACCTCGGGTTACATACGCTTCAGGTTACAGACTCCGCTAATCCAGAAATAGTAGATCGGGTTAAGAACTTTGCTTCAGGATGAGAACAGAAATTGTGCTCTGGCGGTGTGGCAGCAGCAGGAGGCCCCATTACCTAAACTGGTGCTTCAGGTTAAGAACAGTTTCAGGTTAAGAACGGACCTCCGGAACGAATTAAGTACTTAACCTGAGCTACCACTGTATACTGCTGTTAGGATATCTGATCCTAAGGGGTCCGGATCCAGTCACCTGCCCCAGTGGTTTGGCCTTATCCAGTATGTGTTCAGCCCTAGAGAGGAGAGGGAAACATCAACAAGGGATTCTTTAGCACCAAGGCAACTGCAGTATAGAATTGCTTTTCCCCACCCCGATCTCAACCACAGTGTTCAAAGCAGCTTCCGATGAAATAAAACACACAGTGGTTAAAATCACAAATATGTGTCACAAAGGCATACTTTAAAGCTGTTTATAAACCAGCAATGCAACTTGATGGCCTTAAATGACCAGTCCCCAAAGTTGAATCAGCAACAGAACTGTATGTTTCGGTACTTCCGGGTTTTGGCGGTCTGCAACCCGAAAAAACACAACCTGAAGTGTCTGTAACCCGAGGTATGACTGTATATAAAAACATAATAAAACTATATAGGGCTGCCTTTAGATGTCTTCTAAAGGTTGTATAGTTACTTATCTTCTTGGCTCGAGGGTCGCATAACTCCATACCCTCCAACATTTCTCTGATGGAAATAGGGTCGTCCTAAGGAAAAGCAGAACATTCTAGGATCAAATCAGAAACCGGGACGGTTTCTGTTAAATCCGGGACTGTCCCTGGAAAATAGGGAAGCTTGGAGATTCTGCCATACACGGTGGTTCACTAGGGACTCAATAAAGCTCACAGACGCTGCTTGCCTGGGATTGTGAAACGGAGGGAAATGTATGACAAGCTCCCACCCATGATTGGTAAGGCTGTGTTATCAAAGTTGCATTATGTAGAACCAGTAAAAGCCACTTTCAGCACAATCATTATAGGCCACATTCACACCACACCTTTAAAGCACTATAAAACCACACTCATGGCTTCCTCCAAAGGATTCTGGGAGCCGTAGTTTGTTAAGGGTGTTGAGAATTAATAGGAAACGCCCTATTTCCCCACAGAACCACAATTCCCAGTGGCTGTGTGAAGAGGGATTTGATTGGTAAACCTCTCTGAGAATTGTAGCTCTGTGAAGGGAATAGGGGTTTCCTAACTCAGGTGTAAATGTATGGTGTGGCTGTCACCTGCTCAAAATTAAATCCTATGGAATTCAAGGGGACCTACTCCCCAGTTAAGTATTGCAGCCTAAATTGTTCAAATACAAGATGTGGGGATGCAGGATTAGACCAGTGTGTCACTGTACTTAGCATTTGGTTTCAGGCAATACAGTACAAGCAGATTAGTTCATGTGAAAGGCAAGGTGTTGATATTTATTCCCTATCCTTACTCTTCAGCAACTGATAGATAGAAGTTTATTTCTGTTATGACACATACTGGTTCAATGACTTTCCATGTATTGATTTATCTATTTATTACCATTATACCACAAGCAGTTGAAGTTCTCAAGCAGATGTTTCTGTTGTGACACCCGCTCCCTGCCCCATCCTCAGTTGCAACAGCACATTTATTTTACATAAAAACTATTTTCAGACTCTGTTGTGTCACATTATTTCCAGAAGGCAATGCATGGAGTTTCCCTCGCATCAAATATTTGCTAAATATACAATTTCCCACTTCCTCTTGTGCTTCTGGGTCTCTTCCCCTTTCTTTGTGGTCTCGGCGTCTTCTTGTAACCCTCTGGCCAGAGCTTGTTGTTTTTCTTAATTCAACCACTAAACAGCACGTAGTTGATGGTAGTGATAATAGTAGTAGTAGTAGTAGTAGTAGTAGGCTCTGACTCAAGCCATCATTATAACATGAATAATACATACATTAAAGGAATATTTCTGTTGTGGTAAAATAGCGTGAGGGAAAGCCATTGGAAATGAAAGCTGTCAACTGATGGTGAAATCAGTTCATTTTTAGTTCTAGGAAGGAAAGATAGGAAGTGCAGGAATGGATGACAAAGAGGAGTTTTCAAAGGTGTACCAAGAGCAGTAAACCCAACACTTTTTGAGTCTTAGTCAGGTGCAACTGATCCCACCACTGCAGATGACTGCCAAAATGCTCTTGCATGCTATCTGATAGGATATACAGTGTATGTTTTTAAATATAAGTTGTTTAGAGACCTTTTAGGGATCAAGTAAGTCTCCTAGATTATTGTAATGTTGTCTACATTGGGCTGCTGTTGAAGATGACTTGGAAACTTCAATTGGCTTCAAACACAGCAGCCAGATTACTGGTAGGGTTCCCCTGTTCTAAAACAGATGCATTGGCTGCCAGTTCATTTCGGGGCACAATTTCAGGTGCTCAGACTGGTGTTTAAAGCCCTAAATGACTTACGCTCCAAATACCTATGACACTGCCTCCTTCTCTACAGACCTTCTTGGGTACTAAGATCAAGAGGACCCTCTTGGTAGCTCTGCCACTCTCATTTCAGTGGTGGCAGCCCTTAGTTTGTGGAATTTCGTCCCCTATACAGTAGTACTTTGGTTCTTGAACTTTATCTGTTCTGGGAGTCCATTTGACTCCCAAAACAGTTCGAAAACCAAGGCGCGGCTTCCGATTGGCTGCAGGAGCTTCCTGCACTCAATTGGAAGCCACATTGGACGTTCAGCTTCCGAAAAACATTTGCAAACCGGAACACTTCTGGGTTTGCGGCGTTCGGGAGCTGATTTGTTCAACAACTAAGCCATTCGGGAACCAAGGTACCACTGTACAATACTTTCCCATGTATTTCCCATACAGCAGAGATCTTCAACATTTTTGAGCCCACGGCTCCCTTGAGCAACTACTTTCTTTCTGAGGCACTCCTGTGGGACTCAGGAGCCAGTTATGTCACCCCTTGCCTACAGAGCCGGCAGCCCCTCATGCTTTATGGAGTGTTCCCTCAGCTTCCTCTCTCTCCCCTCCCCTTGGGAGCCCTCTGGGCAGTAGCTACCATTGTCCCTGGTCTCTAAGCTGCCCCTCCCACACAAAAGAGAGGTGCCTCCCCACACCGCTCCCCAGTGGCCTGGGAAGAGGATGCCCCCATCCTTAGTGACCTAACAGAGACTGGACAAACGTGAGGCCTTCACCTTACCTCGGGAGGCAGCTGCGGGTGCTGCCGGGCTCTCCTTTAGCACTGGGCACTCACCTCCCAGGCAGGCCTTGCACACAGCAAGCACAAGGCCGGCCGGCACAGTGCCTGCCTGCCTGCCCAGCCTCCCACTTGTCTATCCATTCCCAACAGCAAGGGCTGACAGACTGGCTGGCTGGGTTCCCTTGCCTGCTTGCTTGCTTACTCCAAGGCCACCTCAGCTCCTGGCAACCAGCACGCCTTGGCCAGCCTCAGAGGCAACTTTCGCTCGTGGGGCTTGTAGCCAGGGCTGCTGTAACAAAAGGCTGTGCAAGCCTTTGGGAGGCAGAGACACGGGAAGGCATCAGAAGGGAGGGAAGGAAAGAGGGACAGAGGCCAGTGTTGCCCATGGCAACCCTGACCATGGTTCAAGGCACCCCAGGGTGCCATGGCACTCTGGTTGAAAACCACTGCCATAGAGGGAAGGACTCTTGGAGCCTTCAGTGAGCTGCCGTGACTAACTGGCTGGACATTTTGACAATCAAGTTGGCCAACTACAGAGTGACCTTGCCCCTGCTGTTGCTGCAGTTCCAAGTGATGGGTTGCAAGATCGGAGTGCTTCTGGCTGTATACCTGATCACATGTCTTGACCTCGTTCCCTCTTTGCTTATATTTAGCAGAGCAGATTTGACTGGTTGGGTCCAGACTAACCAGCTAAACCAGTTGAGGACAGCTGATGGGTCTCAAAGCTTAGGGACTTCTCCTACATCCAAAGACAGGCTCTGGTCAACTGAGCGGATGAGGCCAATAGTGGGTCCAATGGTTAAGAAAGCAGTTTCTGCACCTGCTTGTAGTAGGAAGTGAGGGGCAGATAGGGTTCATCAACCTGGCCAGGTAGCTTATCTAGGAGAAGAAAAACTCTTATGCTAAACCTCCACTAGACAAATTTGGAGTGGAGTCTCCAATAGGGTTGGATGGTGCCTTGTACACCTTTTTCTGGCAACTCCTGCAGCCAAACCGGCACACAACGTATTGCTGTGCTTTCCTTTGGACCACATCAGTGAGGCTGAAAGGGAGGTCTTATCATCTAGACACACCAGGACTTCCATACACACTGGCCAGGCTTGTGCCCCGGGGAGGTCACTTTGGTGCTGCTCATGCAGTGATTTGACTTACCGTAACTCCTGGAGGCGTACTCCGTGGTATCACAAGATGAATGGATGCCAACAAGTGGCTTCAAGATAGGATGTGTTACAGTAATCCAATGTGGGGCTCACCTTGAATTTGCTCTGGAAACTGCAGCACAACTGCTGCTGAATTATTATAAGAGCATCTGCAACTGTATTAGGCAGCAGTCATGTGTAGACTCAGACCACATGGTTACATCAGAGAGCAGGAGATAGCAGACTTATAAATACTATAGTATTTTTAGATGACTACTGGTTATCCAAATTCACCTATCTCGTGCATGTTAACAAGGTGGTTGTAAATGGCTCATTTCTAAACCAATTAATTGGGGCTGAAAAGCTCTCAGCTGGCCTGCTTACAAGGGTATCATACTGTGCTTTCAACAGATAAATTTTTGTAAGATTCCACCCAATTTACAGCCAGATCTTGCGAGCGTTACTTTTAACAGTCTTTGCTTGTTCCACTGTGTGGGTTTCTTACATATGCTTCACTAACACGCAGTGGAAGCTGCAGCAATTGCTGGATTTCAGCATGAGTCAGCGTTCTATTATGATAACTGTATTCAGGATGCCTGTCTTCAGAAATAGAGTATTGTAGAGTTTTGATGCAAGAAATAGACAAGTACAGTCAAGAAATTTATTTTACTCAAGCTCAAGTGGGAGACAAAACACTGTACACCAAGTTATTTCTGCAGGACTTTAACCAGTACAGCGCTGAGATCTTCCTTGCTACTAATACACAATCAATGTTGTATCTAAAAAGCTACACCCACACACTATGTGGTAGTGAAGTAGACATTTCAAACAGCTTCAGTAACTAACCAAACTAAGAAGCTTAAAAAACTGGATGTTGAACCACTCAGTGTTAAGATCACATCCACACCTCCCTTTAATACCACATCAGCATTTAAACTCAAGACAATAAGTCTTTGTTGTTACAGAGCATTAAAAGACAGGAGATTTTGTCATGTATTTTTCCAAGATTTATATCTTAACATCTACAATGGTAAAGTAGAGGGAGTCAACATTACATAAGAGGGCAATTCGACACAGATAAGATTTTTGTGCTTGTAAGCTTTTGAGCTTAGTGGTATTCATATGCTTACAAACACTGGGAATCACGTATCTTTATCCTTTCTAACAAACCTTATTCTCCAATAGAAAATATAAATACATGGAAGCAAATTCTGGTGAAATCAATTAGGCTTACTTTCAAATAGATGTGTTGTATGACTGGGGTAATAATGTTACTTATACTTTGATTGCACATTTTACTGTTGTTTCAAGCAACCTTGCACACATACAGGGGTATGCAAGGTGTTCTCTATTAGGCATACACAAAGGATACCAGCTATTTGGCAACCAACTCCCATGAACCTCAATACAGCCCTCTAACCCCAAAGTGGTAGAAGCAAGGACAAGGCGACACATTACTGTATTACACCCAGAAGAAAGAGTTTTTCAAAAAAACGTTATTTAGATTTTTTAATAGGCAAATGTAATAAGCTTTCACAGGTGTCATACAATCATGTCCAGCATTGTGCATATGTTGCTTGATAAGCCACTTATTTTAGGTTACAATTCTCAAACCATTTAGGCCAACGTGGTCTCATGGGACTGCCCAAGTAGTAAAGAGATTACAAGACTGGCTTTGAGTCGCAAGATATTAAACCCAGTGCACTTTAGTTTACTCTTCTTGTTTCCAAATGGCACTGACAGACTACAGATTATTTGTGACGCAGCCTATTCTCTTTCAGATCTTCAAAAAAAATGAAGCAGCTCCACAAGCTCAAAGACTCAGCTTCCAGAATTACAAGAAAGTCTCCTCATTTGTTTAATTTAAAAAGATAAATTCAAAAAAGAACAACCCACACAGCTTTTTCCATTGTACAGAGAACTGGTTGCCCTGGAATTCTCAGCCTAAAATTTAGTACTGTAAAAGAAGACACACATTCTCCCCCCCGCCCCCCCCAAAATGGTTCTGCAAGAAAATGAGACCAGTTTCCATAGCAAATCACAACAGTGCAGTACAAGGCTCTGAGACAATATTTAACCACATTTGTTTTTCTTTATATTCCCCCACTTTTCAAACTTGAAAAAAATCTGATTGCCACGCATTTTTAATATGGACAATCTTCTAAATCATCATTCAAAGAATTTTCTTGAAAGCGCTGTGCTCCTACCAAATAGTCTCAAAGGCTGTTTTTTATTTTTATTTTAAAAAGCAACCTTAATTTAGATGTCTCAGCACATATCAGCAGAAGGAGAAAACCAATATATCACACATTAAAAGCTATTTTCTCCCACAGCTTTTAGGGAGCATGTGTTTTGCAACTTTAAGAAGGGCAAAGGTACTTAAAAATGTTCCCCATGTTTCATTGCTTTGTAACTAGAAATTATTTGAAGAACAGTATATATACATATATATTTTTACAAACAGTGGGTTTTACAAACTCATGTTCTCAACATGAGTTATGATCCAACACGAGTTGTGGTGGTTCTTTTGTCTGAGAAGAAGCTTTTGAGAAGAAATACCTGCCCAATGCTAACTACAAGAAGAATGATGGCTTCTCCTACTGACCAATAAGCTACCCGTGTGTTTAAGTCTTCTGCTCTGCTGCGGCCTTGTGCTTCTCTCAACCGAAAATGAGTCTGGGAATCGATGACAGATTTTAGAGCTTCATGAATCGAAACACATGCTGACTCCATCTAGATACAGAAAGAAAGAGGACTGATGAGTACTCTTTATTGAAAAAGGTATACAGGATTTTGCATTTTCAGCTCATTAAGCTTCATTTTATTTTATAACTATTTTTATTAAGATTTTAATTATACATCTCAAAATAAACATTTTACATACTGTTAAATATCCCAGCGACTTCCCTCCTTCTCCTTCCATGGTTCATTTTGTTTGTCTTTCGTTCCTGCATATTTTACTACGGTATAACCATTTTAATCAGTTCTCCATTTTTACATCACTCAAAATTAATTACACTGTTGATTTTATCTTAATGCTGCCAGCGTTTTCAGCTATTAAGCTATCAACTACTGCTGATCCGATTACATATCCACATTTGAATATGTAGGTTTTGATTTTATGTGAAGACAGAAAGCCTTCAGAAATAAAGACATCATATTTGTATCATATAGGCTGGCTGACTACTTTGTGCACAGTAAATATTTCTTGAGTAGCACTAGGGTATGTTGATATGGTGCAGCAACTTCTTTCCTACCTCAGTGGTCCAACTCCTCACCCTCTTGCTGGGACAAAAAACAGCAACTATTTAGTAGTGGAGCAGTTGAATAACTAAGGCTGCAGAATCCTAAAACTACTTACCTGGAAATAAGAGCCATTAAATTCAAAAGGACTTATTTTTGAGTAGCTTTGGCTTAGGAATGCATTGTAAAGCTATGACAAATGCCCAAGTCTTCCAAAGGCAGCAAAACTCAAAATTCTAATTGGTGGTATGAGAATTAAAGTCTAACTTTATATTTATATTTATATTTATACTCAGTTGTGTAACTACCTGAGTAAGTGCAGTAACTCTGTTTTCGCTAGGAAACAGAGGCGGATCATCTCCAATCTGGAAGTCGAAGTACACTGTTTTGTGTGTAAAGGTAGAAAACTCATTGCTGAAACAAAACTTGTACGTCCCATTTCTGGATGCGGTAAAGGTGAAGCTATCGTATTGTTTCTTCATCTCTTTGTATAGCACAGTGCCAACTGGATCTTCTAAGCGGCAGTCAACATCATAGTGCCCTCCAGTGATCACCTATGGAACAAAGAAAACTGGTACTTGGAATAGTCAGCCATATCACCCTTCCTAGCAAAATATCCTTCCATAAGAAAGGGGAAACCCATAGCATTAGGTACAATTATTAAAGGCAGTTCAACTCCAGCATGGGAAGAGTATTAACCTATAAAGAGAGCCAAGAAAAGGGACCACTTATAACACTAATTCCCCACATTAGCTATGTGTGGAAGACACCAGTGAGATGGTACCTATTTTACTGCTTTAACACGATCTCCTAAACCTTCTTTATTTGAAACATTCTCTCAGTAAAGTCAATTTGATATATGGGAATAACGGTCTAAAATTGCTCAACCCAAACAGCGGTGGGGGGATTTGCAGAAGCACAACACTGTACTACCTTGCTGAGTGGAAGGAATGAGGAAGTAGGTAGCATGACAATCTAAAGTTGTCAAATAGGTCAGTGTTCTGTGGCTTCACAGAACTGGCGTTGCCAGATTGCATAATAAGGAATGCTCCCTTTGTTTCCATTTAACGATGAGATGATTCACTATTCAGGCTGGGTAGCAAAGAAATGTATTGCTTGACATTTTAGGTCGCACCTGGTGAACATCTTTAACAGAAAACACTATTTGACACACTACCCCTGGGTTTCATTCTCATGTGCAAGATGGAAACAAAAATCTGAAACACTAGTGGGGGCAGTGGGGTTTAAGGTTAAGTATCCCTCCCCTAACTACTGATCTCTGCTGTCCACTGCTCCATCTCATTGCCAGTTTACAGAGAAGTGGTAGCTGGAGTAATGTAGCAATCTGGCTTTAGGTTTTATATTCCAAATTTTTTGCTTCTTAAAAAAGAAAACAGGAATAATAATACATGTTGAACTTCCTTGATTCTTTCAAAGTTTCTGCCTTGGCAGCACACAAAGAAATAACTTATGGTAGCAATCTTTCCCATTAGTTTTCAGAAAGTAGTCAAAAGTGTGAAACACACCAGAACGCATACATTCTTATTGGATTACACCCAACAATTAATGCATTTTACTGGGCCATATGAGTAACAATTGGTTGTATATATTTTTCTGTCCTGTAAGTTATACTGCATTCCTTTAACCTAACTCAAACTTATTTAATATTACTCTCTTTTCTATGCACAGCATAGTGCAAGTATTGAAGGACACTAGATCTGATGGTTTGAAAGCCAAAAAATTGCTACCGTTTACTTTTGAACAGATGCAGCTGCACCAGAGAGATCCAAGGAGTCACTGTGTGATTCTCCAACTGAAAACTGCAACAGGCAGTTGGTGTTATATGCCCTTTACTCATGCAAGCATTTAAATAAACTTGGACCTCTCTTTTCTCTCATGAGGACCACAACTTCACTTTGAAACATCTCAACATGTTATCTTTAGACAATATCTGACTATTTTAATTACGTCTCCCACTTTTTAAATTTCAATTGCTTAATAGTTACCTTTCAGGGCCGAGCACTCACAAATTAACATACACAGAGAAATAAAACAGAACCTTAGGCACAATATAAAACAGTGAGTGGATACAGACAGACACACGAGATATACTGAAACATCACATTTCTCTTAAGGAAAGATATCAGTACACATTTATATTATCCTTTGAAGATTAAATGCAAGAACTGAAATAACCAAACCAAAGTTAACTGGAAAAGTATTCCTGAACCACCTGTTGGCATTCTACAAGCAGCAGCAGAAAGGGAACAATTCCCTATTTGTGCCCCACCCCACCCCGCATTTGAGGAACACAGAATTGTAGAATTGGAAGGGTCCCCAAGGCTTATCTAGTCCAACTCCCTGCAATGCAGGAACCTAAACATAAAAAGCTGCAAAAAAGAAGACAAGAAGGTAGATCTCCCTGCTCCACGTTGGCTTTTCAGTATCTGCTTTATGGGGTAATTTTAAATCACAATATTGCCTGCCTAGGTAAAGGTAAAGGGACCCCTGACCATTAGGTCCAGTCATGACCGACTCTGGGGTTGTGGCGCTCATCTTGCTTTATTGGCCGAGGGAGCCGGCGTACAGCTTCCGGGTCATGTGGCCAGCATGACTAAGCCGCTTCTGGCGAACCAGAGCAGTGCACAGAAATGCCGTTTACCTTCCTGCTGGAGTGGTACCTATTTATCTACTTGCACTTTGATGTGCTTTCGAACTGCTAGGTTGGCAGAAGCAGGGACCGAGCAACGGGAGCTCACCCCGTCGCGGGTATTCAAACCGCCAACTTTCTGATCGGCAAGCCCTAGGCTCTGTGGTTTAACCCACAGCGCCACACGCGCCTGCCTCTAATTACACCACAGCACTTACAGTGGTACCTCAGGTTACAGACGCTTCAGGTTACAGACTCCGCTAACCCAGAAATAGTGCTTCAGGTTAAGCACTTTGCTTCAGGATGAGAACAGAAATTGTGCTCCGGTGGCGTGGCGGCAGCAGGAAGCCCCATTAGCTAAAGTGGTGCTTCAGGTTAAGAACAGTTTCAGGTTAAGAACGGACCTCCAGAACGAGTTAAGTACTTAACCTGAGGTACCACTGTATTCTAGAATAACCCAAAGGCAGGCAACTAAAAGACAGCTCTCACAAGAGACAAGGGCCTGTCTGGCGTGCGAGACGCCCTTACCTGGAACTCCAGGGTACACTTGGTGCCCTGCACGATCTCCTCATAGAAGCACTGCTTGGCGTTATCTGGCAACTCGAAGGTGATCTCCGAGGCGCGGACAGACCAGCCCAGGTTGAGCAGCAGCAGCAGCAGCAGCGCCGCAGCCGGCAACCTCAGGGAGGCTCCGGGGCCCTGCCAGCTCCTCAGCAACATCTCTCGGCCGCAAGCGCTGAAGGGTGAACTGAAAAGCGAGAAGCGAGAAAGGAAAGTGAGACCAAAGCGTCGGCCGAGGCCTAGCGAAGGTGGGCGTCGCACCCCAACCTCACCTGCGAAGGGAGCCGGATGTAAGCCGGTTCCCACCTGCGGCGTGGCCGAAGGAAAAAAAAAGGAGGGGAACGAAGCGGAGCCGGCGACCCGGAAGTGACCTGGCTCCGGCAGCGCAAACTTCCGGGTGAGTTGTCAATTGTAGACGTGGTGTTCTTTGAAGGGAGAAGGCGGAGGGGGGCGGGGAGTGGTCGGGGGCGGGGACTAAGCAAAGAGGCGGGCGGGGCTTGAGGGAGCTAGGAGAGCTAGGACGAGTCCACGCCAGCCGCGGGACGTTCTTATTGGCGCTTCCCAGGCGAGGCGCTGATTGGATGTTGCCGGGTGACGGCTATTAGGGCGCGTGAGGGAGTTTTCTGGGAAGCGGGAAAGAGGCGGCGGCGGTCTGTGCTCAGTTGAGGTGGAGAAAGAGGCGCCGAAGGGCGGCGTGTGGAAGTCGCTCCCCTCACTCTGGATGTGTGTAAATGCTTTTTCCTTCACTGGCAGATACGCCTAAGCACATATAACCAGTGCGTAAGTCCCATTGAACTCACTGGGTGTTTGTTGATTTATGTATGTACTTAAAATAATTTTATTTTACCTCCGCGTTCATTCGTTTACTGCATTTATACACCTTTTTCTCCAAGGAGCTCACGGTGACATACATGGTTCATTAAAAAACACACAACCCAGTGCACTAATGATAATAGCAATGAAAAATTAAATCCTTTAAACTAAATTCAGTTAGCCAACCCTTGCAATAAAATAGGGTCACTACCCCTCACTATTCAAATCGCTGATGTGAGGATAAAACACTAGATAAAAAAATAATTTCCCCCGTTCTAAAAAAAAAACCCCAACCCCGTAGGTTTTTATTAGATTGCAATTGCTGACACATAAGCGTCCTTGAGGAAGATGAAAAGTGATACTCTTATTTCCTCTGAATACCCAAGGGACTAATTTTGAAGTTGCTGCCACCTCTTGGGAAAAAGCCACAGTGTTTATAAGCATCCTGTCTAGTTTTACAACGGTCTCTGATTTCTGAAGCATTGAGAACAAATCAACAGACCTTAAAAACACTTGAGGAAACTCTTGATTCAAAAGCTTACTGCATTGTTACTCTGCTGCTCATGATTTAATAATACGAGGAGCACAGACTGCTTGTTGCTTGGTTAGGTTATCCAGACATTTTTTCTGCTAAGCATCTCTCTTAAAGAATAAGCAGATGATCCATTTTTTATCTACAAACGGTAAGAATTTAGTGTGATGAAGTAACTCACTTGGTTAACCTGCAAGTATAGTTAATTTCCAATTAAAAAACCATACCACTGGGCTTTGCCAATTAATTTAAATCACCTGGGGGGCAGGAAAACCCTTACTGAATAAAGCAGTCATATACTCTATACCTGAGCAGGGGAGGGAGGTGAAATTCCACCAGGATGGCCACCATATTCTACGTGTGCTCAGCTTGGTACAGAAGGAGGGAAATACAAAACATAGGAAAGTGGTATGAAATAGCAGACACTGCCCCAGCAACCCTCAATAGACTGTGAATGCTGAACAATCGGATGTACTGCCTACAAAAGAGGCCAGTGAATCCACAACAAGGACATGCCCTCAGCATTGTTGCATGTACAGTGATGCCAGACCACTCTCAAGTCATCACTCCCAGGCACAGCCAGCAATGCCCATAGTATAGCAAGTCTCCAGCTATCCTTGCGGGTAGAGATTTGAATCCCTTATGCTCCTCACAAGAACTATCTGGAATGAAGGAGAGGCCATGTAATACAACATATGCATAAGCTCCCTGGGCAGAGTACCTGCAGAGTGCATATAAATCATCCCTGGGGTTCTGATCCCACCCAGGGAGGGAAAGACTTTGGGAGGGGGGTTGCACCTTCAAAGGGAAAGGGCCAGGTGAAGAATCAACAATGAGAAATACAGATATGCACCGAGTTGAGAAGCAGGAGATGGGAATTCAGGACCCGCCAGGGGAAAAGGGGGAAGTGTGCCTGCTTCCTCTTGCTCCCAGCCCAAAAACTACTCAAAGATGCCATGATCACGTTAAGGAGCCCTGGCCAGGTGGAACACCTTACATTTTGCATGCAGAGGATCTCTGGTTTGAATCCAGCATACAACTCCGGGAAGCCTTCATGGACCAATAGCCTGACTCTTGCAAGGCCCAGTCCTTTTGACTCTCTCTCCTGGTGGTAACTTGCATAACCAACCTTCTCCCTCATCTGTTTTGCCCAATAAGCCAGCCTTGCCAGGCAGCATCTCAATAATTTTCGTTATCATTTCTCCACCGCTTCCTCCTCCCCTCCTTCCGTTTGACTGCCTCAAACACCCTGGTAACATCACACTCCAGGGTACTTGAGAGAGCAGACAATGGAGTGTTCCACCGGTGTATCTGTCATGGTGACAAAATATCTCGTGTTCTGTCAGTGTAGTGGGGCGTCTGCCAAATCCTATGGCCCCATAGCCAACAGTTGTTGAGTATAGAGTATTTCATAGAATTATAGAATTGCAGAGTTGGAAGGGACCACAAGGGTCATCTAGTCTTTCCCTGAATCATTAATTTAATCAGCTTTCCAGTTTTTTATTTTTTAAAAATTTCTATAAGAATTGCAAATCACAAAGTTCAGTAAAAGTCCTACCCTGCTAATTCAATAAAAAATATGTGAGGGAGGGAGGGGGTTGTTGGTTTGTGTTAGTTTTTATTTTATTATGTGTTTTGTATTCTCATTTTGTATTTTTATGTTGTGAGCTGCCTTGTGATCTTCGGATGAAGGGAGGTATACATATTTAGCAAACAAACAAACAAACAATAAAAGACATACTTTAATGCTGAAAAGAATGCTCTTAACTCTCCAGGCCTATACTATTTCCAGTAGGGAATATATGGGGGGTGCTTTAAATGTATGGTTTGTATGTAACCAAAGTCTCAGTGCAATAGACATACATGTCTATTTAGACTTAAGTTCCATTTATTTCATTGAGACTTTTTCCCAGGCAAGTGAGTACTGGACTGCAGTCTCAGGTACACCGATAAGGTTTTCCAAAAGTTGCTGACCTTTGTAAAATAAGCCACCATCTTGGAGTCACTTAACAAGGTGGTCAGAAAAAGCACACATGAAATATTGAAAAGTAAACTTCTCAGTTGAAGCCATAATTTCTGTAATTCACTAGAGGGAGCTGTTGAATCAGAATACAGCGGTACCTCCCGTTAGGAAATTAATTCGTTCACAAGGTCCGTTCTTAAGCTGAAACCGCTCATAATGACGCCTGCTGCTGCTGCGCTGCCGGCACGCGATTTCCGCTCGCATCCTGGGCAAATTTCGCAACCGGGAGCATCTACTTCGGGGTTAGCGGAGCTCATAACCCAAAGCGTTTGCAAGGAGGACAGTACGTAACACGAGGTTCCACTGTAGTTTTCCAAAGTCTAGTTCCTTATAAATATTGAAAATAAAACATACTCTTTTAAAATTCTGGTTATACTCAAATAATGTTTTTGTGAGCTAAGGTGGGATAATATCCTAGTAAGAACATCTCTCAGAAAATAGACACCACAGGAAGGTGTAAAATTCCAGGGAATAAAAAAGTTATTCCTATCAGGTAGCTATGTCACAGGTAATTATGATGGTATAAAACATTTTGGCAGCCCCAACCACCAAGAAGGGATTGTTAGCACAATAAGGGACATTTACGTATTGGACAAATACTCCTTTGTTGCACTTGCATATCTACAGATTTTGAAGATTTGTATCCATGTTCCTCAAATCAGTGGAAGTAGATCTGGTGGAAGAAGGCATAATACAACCTGTCGAGTTCCTTTTAAAAATTATTCTGTCTACTTTGGTGATAAAAAGCAGGAAAAGCTATAGGGTTTTTTTCTTTTCAAGCTCTGGAGGCAGGGAGGGGGGAAAGCCTGGTTGTAGCAGACGCTGGCTACGTAAGCACTGATTTGTGACAATAATATGTGTTCATTTGTATGAATAACCTTGTTGAGTCACTTGAGGAAGTTTTTGTATACACACTTCAAGAGGAACTTAGTGATCTAGAATTAAGACTCAGATACATTCCATTCTGGAAATAAACAGAGTAGGATGGTATTTTGCTTTTGATGTTCCCTGAGCTTGAAATGAATGAACAGCCTGCATGATCATACACAAGTGTGGACTAGAACTGTTTGTTCCTTGTAATGAGAAATATTGTGTGGATGTTAGTAGGGGACTTAGCTCCAAATAAGTTTTTGTAATTAATTTTCTATATTTGATTGCCTTTTGTTGAATCTGTTTGGATTAATGTTTACAATTGGGTATCTTGTAATGGATACAATTGGGTATCTTGAATAGCCTTCTATCTTTTTTTCAAGCTAGTATGAATGTGATTGCTGTCTGTTGCATCTTTTCAAAGCATTCTGACAAATGCCATAGTCCTTAGAAAGGAGGAAGTTTTAAGGGAATTACCTGGATTTTAAATTCTGGTAAACTAATGACTGTCTCTATATTTGAGGCCTAAAACCCTACTGGAAACAGCCTGTGCTTGGACATACTGTATTTTTTGCCCTATAGGGTGCACCGGCCCTCAGGGCACACCTAGTTTGGGGGAGGGGAATAAAGAAAAAAAAATTATTTCCCCCCCAGGTGTGGGGCTGGAATCCGCAGGGCTGGCTGCTATTTCGCCCCCCAGGCGCGGGCTTCGGGCAGATATCCGCAAGCCTGGGGAGACCGGCAGGAGTTCTCTGAGGGAGGGAGTTCCCTAGGGAGGGACCGGCGGGAGTTCCCTAGGGAGGGAGTTCCCTCCCTAGGCTTGCGGATAGCTTCCTGAAGCCTGGAGAGCGAGAGGGGTCGGAACTCCCGCCGGTCTCCCCAGGCTTGCGGATATATGCCCGAAGCCCGGGGGCGCTCCACTGCGCTCCCCGGGTTTCGGGCTGCAGGCTGCTGTCCGCAAGCCTTGGGAGCCCGGCGGGAACTCCCGCGGGCTCCCAAGGCTTGCAGATAGCTTCCTGAAGCCTGGAGAGCGAGAGGGGTCGGTGTGCACCGACCCCTCTTGCTCTCCAGGCTTCAGCGAAAGCCTGCATTCGCTCCATAGGACGCACACACATTTCCCCTTTATTTTTGGAGGGGAAAAAGTGTGTCCTATAGGGCGAAAAATACAGTAGTTTGAATGTGCCATTTACTTTGAGCATTAGTCTTTCACTCACAAGAAGACAATCCCTTCCTCTTTTTGAATTCTGTTGGATAAGGAACGATAACAAGTATGGAAAGATTTCAGCATGTTGAATATTCCATCAACCAGGCTTTTCAGCTTGCCAGAAGGAATGAACTCCACTCTGCTTCTCCTCTGTTAGAGGAATTTTAAGGTCTTATTTATATAAAATAAATGTTCATTACTGTACAAGGCAAACACATACATACATACATACATACATACATAAATAAATAAATAAATAAATAAAGCACATGTCTGGAAACAGTACAGGAAAACAGTCCTAAAGCCATTTTGAATCTTTAAGTCACCTCAAATATTTCTCTGCAAGGAGGAACGAAATGGAAAAGCCTCCCCATTGTCTCTTTGTTCACAAATCCTGTCTTAAGGGTGTCTCTGTGTGAATAGGGTGAGCCTGTGACCTGGATTCAGGAATTAAGTACCGGTAGTTATCATCACAATTTGTTGATGTTTGTTGTTGTTTAGTCGTTTAGTCATGTCCGACTCTTCGTGACCCCATGGACCAGAGCATGCCAGGTACTCCTGTCTTTCACCGCCTCCTGCAATTTGGTAAAACTCAGTTTGGTTGGTAGCTTCGAGAACACTGTCCAACCATCTCGTCCACCGTCATCCCCTTCTCCTTGGGCCCTCAATCTTTCCCAGCATCAGGGTCTTTTCCAGGGAGTCTTCTCTTCTCATGAGGTGGCCAAAGTATTGGAGCTTCAGCTTCAGGATCTGTCCTTCCAGTGAGCACTCAGGGCTGATTTCCTTCAGAATGGATAGGTTTGATCTTCTTGCAGTCCATGGGACTCTCAAGAGTCTTCTCCAGCACCATAACTCAAAAGCATCAATTCTACGACGATCAGCCTTATTTATGGTCCAGCTCTCACTTCCATACCTCAGAGAGACATTCAGTGAAACAAAGTATGTACTATTTTCTGAAGTATGTGACGATCTCCTAGCCAGACAAACATCAGAGCTCAGGCAATGTGAGAACTTGCATGGCTACTCTTATGTTTTATGCTTTTTGTTGTTGAATTTTTCTGGCTTTTTCTTTCAAATACCATGTAAACTCAAATTTTCTTAAATACGGGCTGATTTATTTTTTTATTATTAAAAGTATGTGCCTGCAGTCTTTCCACTCACCTTCTTGTGCTTCTGCTCTGTTAATGCACAATGAAGAGGTTTGAACTACCCCAAAATATGGAGGGGAGGGATTGCGTGTAAAAGGATACTTAGTAAGGCATTATAGAAATTCTAGACGGTGAAAGCTGATATATTTTGGGAGTCCTCCTGCCTTCATTCTATTGCTAATCTGTCACGTTAAGATTTAGGTTATTATTCTAAACTGATTATTCTAAAACCTTTGTTTAAGATAGTTTTCAAAACAACCCAAAGTGGTTTAGTTTATATTCCCTCATCTTCAAGTATTGTGATCATGTGTATAAGATGGTTTTTACTATTTTTCTATATGAATCAATGAGTTAATTAATTTACTTTTTTTCATTCATCACTTCGTTGTAAACAAAATCTGCCCTTTTTCCCTTATGGGATATCCAAGAGCCGTATAGAGTCCTTAAGTGGGTTCCCTATTGGTAGGAGAAAATAACAGAGGCCAACCAGAGAATATTGAGAAGCAAAGCAGCTAGTAAGCCTGATCTTAATTAAAACAGTTGCAACAGGGTGCTCCCCCCACATGCAGGAGAGAGGAGGAGGACCCAGAACAAAGGTGTGCCAGCTCTTATATAGACTTTTGAAATTGCCCACCCTCAAACTCAAGACCACCCCAATACATCATACATACATCACAGAAAGAGGTGGTTTCCAGCAAAATCCTGTCTGGCAGAAAACCTGTCAATGGTCACGGATTGGATCACCCGGGCAGCCTGGCCATTCTTTTGTAATGATAAATACTTAATTCCTGAGCCAGGTCACAGGCTCACTCTATTCACACCTTAAATGTGCCTTTAAGCCAGGATTTGTGAGCGCAAAGACAGTGGGGAGGTTTTTTTCATTTCATTTCCTTGCAGAGAAACATTGGTCAGTTTGGGAGAGTCAAAATGGTTTCAGGACTGTCTTCCTGTACTGTTTCAGACATGTGGTATATATATTTATGTACGTGTTTTCCTTGTACATTCAATTTATATATTTGAGACCTTAAATTCTTATAACAACTTTGTGTTATTAATATGTATAGAATTTCAGTTACATGAGTCTAGTATAAGGGATAGATGACTCAAAGTTTCTGATAATAAACCACCTTATCTTATGTTGCTTTGTCTTCTACTAGCCTAGCTCTTGTCTGAGAAACCTCTGTAGATAATTGACCAAACAAACATGACTGGTGATTTTCTATCTTATTTTCTGAATTTCCAGTCTTTTGAGCTTGAACATCTGCAATGTTCAGAGCCACTCTTACAAGGAAAAATTAATCTACCTACATTTTCTGATATGATTTTTAGTTATGAAAACACAGTTTTAAAAAACCCTAAAGATAATCCAAATCCTTGAATGTCTGCCTAAATGCAGAACTTGTGTGTCAATTTTTTAGCTAGGCATGGATAGTTAAGAATTTCAGCTTTGTTTTTCCTCTTTCTGTCAAAAGATGTTTTGTTTCTGCTCTGTATACTTTCCAAGGCACACACAACAGAAGCATACACAAAAGCTCCATTCATGCTGGTGTTTTTTTAGCTACTAAGCAATGTCCCCTTTCTATGTAGCTGATGAACCTTGCAGCAGTGTGGCATTGACCCTCAGGAAACCTTGAGAAATTGAAGCCACATTTTTTATATCTGCATAATCACCTCTCACTTCCAGACAGTAAGAGGCACATACATATTAGCTGGCTTGCTAGCTGCTGCTGAAACACCATTCTACTTGTTCTTTCCTTTTACTACTGTAAGATTCACTCAACCCAATCCAAATTTGTCAGATTTCAATTTGATTCCTAATCCATCAGTTGTTATAAATGGTGAGGGGGGAGAATAATAAAGGACTAATATTTGGCTCATTGTTAAAGTATCCTTTAAATATTAATATATGGAGAGACTTGGCACCAGGACCAGCTCTGTCATTAGGCAGAGTGAGGTAGTCAGCTCAGGCAGCTGATTTAGGGTGCAGAATGCTGAAGCCTGGTTGCTGTGGGAGGCAATGAGAAGGGATATATGACCACCATAAACCACAACACTCACTGTTGCTGAGCTACTGATTCAGGATTTTGTTATGAGGATATAAAGTCCTTAGCAACTTGGGACTCAATTCTGATAAGGAGTACCTTCCCAGATTTTAAAAAAGAGGAAAAACTAATTCACATTTAAAGAGCTATATAATAAAAGCTAGAAAAATATGTTTTACTCCAGGAATCTTAAGAAACTCAAAGTAAAAACTGGCCCAGAGTTTGTACTAGTATGTCTGACCACCAGGAATTGCTTAATTTGCAAATGGGTCACTGAAATATTGCCAATCTCACATTGGCAGCAGGATGTTTTTTACTTAGTGGATTTCCTTTGGTAAGGGGAAATTTGGGTTATATATAGGCTGGCATTTTGATACCATAGGTGGTGTATGGGGACTGCAAAAAATTGTATGTATGGTGGACATTAATCCCACAACGGACACCCATCTGGAAGGGTCACAGCTTTCCATAGCCAGGTCTTTCTGGGTCAACTGCGGGATTTGAGCTGCCCGACTCTTGTGCAAACTGATTTGGGGAGCTGACCGCTGTGCTGTAAGCACAGCTGTTGCTAAGCTTTGTTTGCTATACTTGATCAAATGATTGCCCATATTTGCACTATGAGCTTAGGCACGTATTAACACCAGGACAGTTACTGTGTCTAGTCACATCTTTTTGTTGGACTGACGCAAAACTTGTGCTTGCATTACTGTATAATCAAGCAGGACCACTCTGTTCTGAAGCCAAATCTTCCTCTGTCCATCAGGGTAGATGAACATCTGTGCTCTTTTAAAAAAAAATCTAAGGCTTTTTTTTGTTTTGTTTTTTAAATCTGTTGTGACCCTAGAAACAACCTGGTTTAAAATTATATCTGATGAGTCTATCCTCAGGCCCTTAAAATTTAATCTATGACCCTTTTATCAAGTAGACTGCTTTCTTAAGCAAAAGAACAAAAACAGGAAAAAAATAATCTTCAGGTATTCTGGCACAAAGATAATGATTATATCCAAATATGCAGTTGTACTCAAGGGGACGCGGGTGGCACTGGTCTAAACCACAGAGCCTAGGGCTTGCCAGTCAGAAGGTCGGCAGTTCGAATACCCACAATGGGGTGAGCTCCCATTGCTCGGTCTCTGCTCCTGCCAGCCTAGCAGTTCGAAAGCACGAAGTGCAAGTAGATAAATAGGTACCACTCCGGCGGGAAAGTAAACGGTGTTTCCATGCACTGCTCTGGTTCGCCAGAAGCAGCTTAGTCATGCTGGCCACAGTACCCGGAAGCTGTACACCGGCTCCCTCGGCCAGTAAAGCGAGATGAGAGCCGCAACCCCAAAGTCGTCCGCAACTGGACCTAACGATCAGAGGTCCCTTTACCCTTTTATGCAATAATACTACTGCAGGCGTGTCCAACAGGTAGATCGTGATCTACCGGTAGATCACTGGATGTCTGCGGTAGATCACTGGTAGATCATTGGCTCTTCCCAAAGAAGCTGAACAACTGTGATTCCCCTAGAAAAAGCTCAACATTTTACCTCCTCCCTGAAAAAACTCAAGAACTTTGACCTGAACCCCCAAAAAGGCGGTAGATCACTGCCAGTTTTTAACTCTGTGAGTAGATCACAGTCTCTTGGGAGTTGGCCACCCCTGTACTACTCGAAAGCCGCTTCTGCTCATGGCAGGATTGGTTCTGACCTAGAAAAAGAAGAATCCCACCCCCCCTCAGGCCCTTCTAATAGCCCACTCCAGCCTGTATATATTTCCCTTATTCTCCTTGTTTCTCATTCTGTAATACTACCCCTAAGCATGGTGGTGCTATTTTGAGAAACTTTAGCAGTTTTGTAAGAGTCCATGGAATAACACTATATTCTCCACTTCCACTCACGTTTCTTTGTATCTAAACCATTGCATTAAATGTTTTGGAAATTATTAGTATTTGGGCTCTGTCAACTAAAACAGCATGAACATTTGCTTTCCATATCGTGGAAAAGTATTTTTCTGCCCAGTTATCTAGCCTTTGCTTCTGAAAAGTTCTCTGTGCTTAGGCTCAGTGCTACATATAATTACAGGCAGTAAGTTCAACTGACCTGGGAGGGACTTCCTTCCAAGTAAATAGGCATAGGATTGTATTATTGTGTTATCTCTCTTAAAGGGAACGATCCTGCTTAGGCCAGACTGCATGTGATGCTACAACATACACAAAGCCTCTTATGTGTAGGTAAAAAAGAAGTGTTTATTCAGGCAAGCAGTGGTAAAGGCTTGGCAGAAGACACACCATTCAGGAGTCATGATTCAGAAGTTCAGGAATTAGGCAGGATGTTCAGGACTGGATGGAAGCAGTGAAGATGTCCCAATGGAGACAGAGCCCATGAAAGTAAATGCAACTTAGAAAATTCATTAAGTGCTCCCCCCTTTGTTTACTAAAAAGATGCAGGGGCCAGTTTTCATTAGGACTGCAGCAAATAGGGAGGTTAATTTAACATTTTCCTCCCCAACAGCAACCCCAGTTAAAATCCGCTCCCTGCTATTAACCTGAGCAGTGGAGAACTCCCACTGACACCTGCCAGGGAAAGGATGACAATGCCAAAGGGCTCTCCCAGACAACCTGTTTATTGAGCATTCACTTTGATTTGCTTGCACAAAGCTTACATAGAGATTAGACTATGTCTAGTCTTTATGGAGCATTTGTTCTGGTTTGTTTGTGGGATGATTATACAACAATCTGCATTCATCCTGATTTCTTTGCAGAGTGCTTATAATCTTTCTATTATTCATTGTTACTACACATTTCAGTGCATTTATAAGTCATTTTCCTAACTGCAAAAAGTTAATTTCTTTTTTTAAAGTGAATGTTTAGGGTGACAAAGCAATTTAATCCACTTTAATTGTGTGAACTTAAATTTCCCGTTATGCATTTGACTCATTCCCACAAAATATTGACAACCCCAAAAGTCTTGTGGCACCTAACAGGAACAAATTCACTATGGCATAAGCTTTTGTGGACTAGAGCCCATTTAATGAGATGTGATCTTGCAGCTAATGAAGTAGATTTTAAATTGTGAACACTCACATCACAATAAATTTGTGTATTTTGTAAGGTACCACAAGATACATCATTGGTTTTACTGCAACAAACTAATACAGCTACAGTACCATGAAAACAGCATAATAAAATACATGTAATAAAACACATATAATGCATAAAATATACATGCAAATATGGCATACCATATATTTCAGGTCACAAGGCTAAACTCCTAGGTTTTCCTGAGTTGGGAAGCTTTTACTGCAAACTTAGCTAAACATAACAGGCTTAGCTACACTAGACATCAGATGTTTTATTTTATCAACGTCACTGTGAGTGGTGGTTGGCTCTTGAATTTTCTTTAAATATTTTGCCTTTGGAATTTTGTAAAACTTGCAATATAACATATAATGAATGATGACCCCTACTATCTGGTATACACAGATCCAGAAGCACTGTCTTTCAGGAATTTTCTTGTAACACCCACCTAAGAAGTTGGTTTTGATAGTCTGAAATAGAAGTTTATAAAATAATGCATGGTGTTGAGAAAACAGACAATGATTTTTTTTGGTCCCTCATAATACTAGAGCTTGGAGCTTTATGAAGTTGAATGTTGGAAAATTCAGGACAAAACAAAGAAAGTCACTCAGGATATAGTTACAGAGGAGGCAGTGATGGCCACTAACTTGGATGGATTTAAAAGAGAATTAAGACAAATTCATGGAGGTTGTGGCTATTACAGTGGTGCCCCGCAAGACGAATGCCTCGCAAGACGGAAAACCCGCTAGACGAAAGGGTTTTCCGTTTTGGAGGTGCTTCGCAAAACGAATTTCCTATGTGCTTGCTTCGCAAGACGAAAATGTCTTGCGAGTTCCTGCGGGGTTTTTTTCCTTTCCCCCCCCTTTTTCCCAAGCCGCTAAACCGCTTATCAGCTGATGGCTAAGCCGCTTATCAGCTGATATTTAAGCCGCTTAACAGCTGATGCTAAGCCGCTTATCAGCTGATCTTTAAGCCGCTTAACAGCTGATGGCTAAGCCGCTTATCAGCTGATCTTTAAGCCGCTTATCAGCTGATCTTTAAGCCGCTTAACAGCTGATGCTAAGCCGCTTATCAGCTGATCGTTAAGCCACTTATCAGCTGATCTTTAAGCCGGCTAAGCCGCTAATACTGTAGCGCTAAGCCGCTAAACCTCTAATGGGCTTGCTTCGCAAGACGAAGAAACCCGCAAGACGAAGAGACTCGCGGAACGGATTCTTTTCGTCTTGCGAGGCACCACTGTAGTGGCTACTAGCCAACTACCACTGGCATGTTACCACAGAGGTTTGACGATAATGGAAAGCAAAAGGTTGAAATAGGTTCCCAACTCCTGTTTAAAGCTTTATATCATGGGTAGGCAAACTAAGGCCCAAGGGCCGGATCCAGCCCAATCGCCTTCTAAATCCAGCCCGCAGACGGTCCGGGAATGAGCGTGTTTTTACATGAGTAGAATGTGTCCTTTTATTTAAAATGCATCTCTGAGTTATTTGTGGAGCCTGCCTGGTGTTTTTACATGAGTAGAGTGTGTGCTTTTATTTAAAATGCATCTCTGGGTTATTTGTGGGGCATAGGAATTCGTTCATCCCACACACAAACACCCCAAAAAATATAGTCCAGCCCCCCACAAGGTCTGAGGGACAGTGGACCGGCCCCCTGCTGAAAAAGTTTGCTGACCCCTGCCTTGGATAGGCTCTGTGAAACATATATCAGAGGCTTCTTCCTTTTCTTCTTTTATGCCCCACTGTAACTCTGAGGATCGACAAAAGAGTGTCCTCTCTAGTCTAGTTGCAACAAACAGCAGTGGTGAACCTCTTCACATCGTAGGTAGGGGTTCACATCCATTTCACCCAAGGGTTCCCCACACATGGGAATTTAGCATATCAGCAAGAGTGATTCTAATCCAACCTTCTCCCTGACAGGGTAGCTTTCTATGTCTAGGTTCCCCACCCTCCTGCATAAGGCAGTATTCTGTCATGTGAACCTACAACTAGTCTATGGTGGTACAGTCCAGATCTTGGTTTTACTAAGTCATTTGAAAATTTTCATACCACGTTTTCAATGTATATGCCTTAACCATGGCAGCTTACATCATTTCATTACACACACACAATCTCAAAGCAACACAGTAGTACCTCAGGTTACAAACACTTCAGGTTACAGACTCCGCTAACCCAGAAGTAGGTTAAGAACTTAACCTCAGGATGAGAACATAAATCGCATGGCGGCAGCAGGAGGCCCCATTAGCTATAGTGGTTCCTCAGGTTAAGAATGGTTTCAGGTTAAGAACAGACCTCTGGAACGAATTAAGTTCGTAACCAGAGGTACCACTGTATAAAAATGCAGAGAAGCTAAGCCGAAAAGAACTAAGTACACCATATAAAAACAAACATAACATTCCAGGCCTGAAAGCCCTTAGAAAGTTTAAGACTACTAGCATAACCTTTTAATCTTATAATTGAATAGATGGTGCCTTCTTTTGCCATGTGACAGCAACGAAAGCTGCATTTCTATGCTGATAACTTGAAAAATGACTCCCGTGTGAACAGATCTACCATTAAACATTATAGCAAGATAAGCTTATGGAAAACCAATTCCCATAGCTTGTTTCTACTAGGGGCAATGCAGTATTCTACAATAGCAATAGTTACCCTGAAGATAGTCATATGAAGCCTCCAATTTGTTATCACTTGCATCTTTATACAGAAGTTGAAAAACTGGCTTGGCCCAGGATCTGTTAGCCATTTTAAAAAACAAAAAAAACCCTTGGAGGTAAAACTATTATGTAAACTTTGAATAAAGAGTACTCTTGTTACTTTCCTTAGTAACTCTTGTTTCCATAATGCCATATAGAACATAACTGAGGGAGTTGAAACTTCTGAGCCCTACTGTGGTTCTGTTTACTGCATCAGGGCAGGACTATTTCTGGAGATTTTACTGCACTAGATAAGGCAGGAAAGATACAACCCTCCAAGGTCAGTTATCATATTGACTCTGGAAAACTATGGATTCTCTTTGTACAACACTCTCTATAGTCTCTCACAAACATCATAGCATGATTCAGCACACCAAGTAGTTACCAGCCACAAACAGTGAAAGCAAGAGCATAATGTCTTAAGATGCTCCAGTCATTAGGAGTCAGTGTGATATAGCAGAAGGTCATTTTAGAACTGAGGAGACTCGCGTCCTAATCTTTACTCAGCTACAAAACTCTGTGACCTTGTGCCAGTCATACCCTCTCAGCCTAACCAACCACATAAGGTTGCTGTGAGTATGAAATGTGAGAGGGAAGAACCATGTATGCCACAATGAGCTCATTGGAGGATGTGTGAAATATAAATTTAGATTGAAAATTAATAATATATGTATTAATAATAAATGTCCTGCTTGGCCCTGACGGCTGTCAGATCTTTCCAAAATAAGGTCGCCTGTATTGCCTGGTCAGTTTGTTGGGTCACACATCCAGAAGGGAACCCCTTATTGTTGGACAGGGGATCTACAGAGCAAGCCCTTTTACCTCAAGTCAGAAGGTTTTTAGAGAATGATTTGCTGAGGATTTCTTCCAGGTCCCTGCTGACCTAGACATGTGTGTGTATTTATCTTAGTAAAGCCTGCTGGGTCACATCACAAGAAAGTTAGACCCAAAAGGTTCTTCTCCTGCAACATCACATTTATACAATTGTATTGCATTTCATAATACATATGTCACAACGTCACCCCACAATGAACTCCGTGCCTCACAGATCCAAAGAGACCAACAGCCAATCTTAACTAATACTAGCACAAATCTATTTATTATCATGTTGAAAAGAGCGTACATTGGTGTCAGATGAAGGTCGTTTTTAAGCCTCTGATCCCAACTGTGTGCCATACTATTCCCATGTTATAATAAGAATCCAATATTCATTTCAACCCTAACCGATTGATTGAAAAGATATCATGCTACTTATGCATGCGTGCCCCTTCTCTCCAATTTGGCAGTCGTTGAGTCTAGAGTTCAAGGCAAGCTATCAGCTCCTGCCCCAAGGGATCAGTGGTAGCTTACACAGTCACTAGTTGTTTGCTGTTCTCCTCCCCACACCCCAGCATCCCTATTGCTTCATGGTTTGTTTCCAAGAGCAAACAGAGTCAAAGCAGCCACACACACACACACACACACACACACACAGTCGCAGTCTCAAACATATTCTGCAAGTTATATAACAGAATAAGCTTTTCCTTAGTGAAAGTTACCTGTGAGCTGGACTTCCTTTGGGTGCCTTTGAATCCAAAGCATGCTATGAAATGGTAGGCTGGACGCAACCATATCCTTTGAATTCCTATTTGGCTTTCTTCCTGATAGTTCTGTTGACATCTCTTAAGAGTCCCTTGACTGTGCTAATTGGATTCTTGAGGTCATTTCCAACATTCTATATGCGATCTGCATAAAAATTAATCTGTTGCTCCCTGTACAGAAATTTAAACCACTTTCTGATTATCTGTTCTGCCCCATGAGAGATTTGACATTATCACCAAAAGATTCCTTCCTTTATTAATAAGTGTTATTAAAGTGTACTGTATTGACTCTAGCATTTTAGCTCTAATCTATGCATTTAATGTACTAAGCCAAGTCAATATGTTAGATAGAATGCTATATTCTGTCTTTTTAAATTGTTAACATACGCCTGAATTTGTGTTCCATTTTCCTAAATAAATCTTACTGTTCCTAATATTAACAGTTTTTGTGCCCCACCCCACCACAGAATGAAGATGCAAGACATTGAGTTTGAGGGGACAACTTTATTAATGTAAAAAAGGTATGTGCAGTGAGGAATTTTTTGTAATTGGCATCTGTCTGTCTCGAGAGACAATGGAGTGTGCCTCCAGGAGTGAAGCCAAACCACTGTGTTAGCAGCATCAAAGTGACCTCCCAGGGACGCAAGCTTGGGCAGTGTGTATGGAGGTCCTGAGCTGCCCAGATGACAAGACCCATCTTGGCTCAAAGCCCCTCATTAAAATGTACTGATCAGAGCCTTCCTTTACCCACGTCTCTAAAATGGCTGGTTGAAGGGGTTGCCCTAGAGGAGCACCTCTCCTCTCCCCTGGTGTCAAGCATTCAGAAGGAAGAACCTCATGGGGTTCAAGGTTTGGTCTGTCATGTTTCTCCTTGAGCAATAGCTGTGGGAATCCCTCTCCACTGAGGTGCATCTGATCCCATCATTATATAGCTTTCATCACATTCTGAAGATGCACCTCATCCCTTTGACCCACCCTTTTCTGCTGATGATTGATGGTAAATTGTTTTAACGGATTTTAATATTGTATTTCTGGATTTTTGTAACCCACCCTGTAACCTTATGGTTAAGTGCAGGAAAGATATTTAACCAATAAATAATAGATTGGGAAAACATCCCTTCACTATGTGAGTGCCCTTGAGCGCTCACCAGGGAAGTCACTCTAAACTTCTCCCTCCCTGCTCACACTACTTGTCACAAGGCATGACCCTCTCCACCCTACCTGCTGACCACAAGGTCAAGCAAGCAGCACTGCAGTTCCCTGCCCCAAGGAACCTACCATATCCCACAATAGTGAGCTTAGGCTGCAGTGCTTGATCACATTGTAATGAATGCTCTGTTTTCCTGAATAAATCTTACTATTTCTAATTCACCTTTTTTCCCCTTGGTGTGAGTATTCAGTACTTCTTGCTTAGCTATAAAGTATATATATATGTGACTTCAATACATTCAAATTTTGAATCAATATAGAGAGACAGCACAATTAGCTACCTGTGTTGACTAGGAAAGATGTGTATTGATATAAGTTAGTTTTATATTTATATCTGACTCTCTTGGATCCCTAAAATCTTATTTCATGCTGAATAAAAGAATTAAAAATTGTTAGTTATCAGTCACAAATATACAAGAGAATAAATGATTCCTTCACTGCAGGGGGTTGGACTAGATGACCCTTCATATCCCTCCCAGTTCTACAATTCTATAAGTAAAAGTCACCCCAAAGTAATTTAGATAGTGGCAAGGATTAGAAAAACAATTTCTGGAACCCTCCCATTGATATTTCTACTTCAGTAAGGGAGACATATGCAAAAATGTACCAGGATTGACAGTACAATGTTCTCAGGCTAAGCAAAGAATTTCCTTTGCCACTAAAGCAAGTCAAATCTTGCTGTGCTGTTACTGTTTGGTTTTCAGGTTTTGTTCAGACATTTGTTCAGTCAAAGTTATATGTGATACAGGAACACATGCCAACAAGTGAAATCTGGTTTTTTCCCTTAGCCAATGAACAAACCTAAGATCCTGACACAAAACACATGTTTGCAATTTAATACGGCACTCAAACAAAGGCTTCTTCAGCCAAGGACTTTGCTTTGCTCTTAATCAAGTTATGAACCTCTTTTGTAAATACTTGTAATGAAATACTTTACATAGACCCTGAAAACAGAGAAAGCCAGTTAGACATTCCAGCCCTGTTCCTATACAGAGGTAGATAGTTACAAGTGCTTTTTATTGATCAGAATAAACAGGGAAATATTTTTGCCTCTTTGTATCTTTCACCTACCCACTCTTCAAAAGTGTCGTATTACATATCCGCTTACTTTCAAAGTACTTGACCAAAATTTTAAAATCCACACAGTGAGCTGAAAAATGTAAAAATCTCATTTGATCACATTCTGAATGATGCAGTTATATTTTTATCATTTTCTGACAAATTGCTGAAGCAAGAATGCCCTTGTGGTTAAAGCATCATATGTGGAATCTTTACCTAATTAAAATGGATACAAAAAAAGTAAGTTGGGTGGAACTGTTTAAGAAAATATAAATATTGAAAGGGAAAATATTATTTCCTATATTTCCAAAGTTCAGGGGAAAGTATATGTATTTATGTAGCCTTACTACCCATGTTAGGGACGCAGGTGGCGCTGTGGGTTAAACCACAGAGCCTAGGACTTGCCGATCTGAAGGTCGGCGGCTTGAATCCCCACGATGGGGTGAGCTCCCATTGCTCGGTCTCTGCTCCTGCCAAAAGCATGTCAAAGTTCAAGTAGATCAATAGGTACCAGCGTTTCCGTGCGCTGCTCTGGTTCGCCAGAAGCGGCTTAGTCATGCTGGCCACATGACCTGGAAGCTGTACGCCAGCTCCCTCGGCCAATAAAGCGAGATGAGCGCTGCAACCCCAGAGTCGGTCACGACTGGACCTAATGGTCAGGGGTCCCTTTACCTTTACCACGCATGTTAAAGTAAGTTTACAACAAAAAATTGAGGGAAAGTTAATGGATAAAATCCAGTGATATCCATATCGGTCAGCTTGATAAAAACTAGTTGCTTTTACTTCCATCAGACCATTTATGTGTGCACTGGAAAAGTAGTTTAACTACATTCTCCTGTGAGTCACTGATCACCCTTCCAGTTCAACAAGATGTGTATCATTTTTGTAAAAACTGACTGCAGAGAGTACTATTCACACACTGACAGGATTATCCCACAGTTCTCCTTATCACTTTAGGAAAAACTTAATCTTTTCAGAACACTTTTGGTTTGATAACCCTTTGATCAGTGAACTGCTAGGCCCATACTCACCAATGTAACTTTACAGAACCCGTATAATCCTTTACGCAATCTAGAATTCCAAATCTCCTCTTGCCTCTCTCTCAATTGCAGGATCTTGCTAAAAATTAACAGCACAATCCTAAGCATCAATACTCTCAGCAGCATCAATACTCTCAGCAGTAAGTCCTGTTGAATATATTGGCGTGGCCCTCCATACCTCTCTAGATGGCACTTTAAAATGTAAGAGCCTGCTGGATGAAGCCAGTGACCCATCTAGACCAGCATCCTGTCCTCACAGTGGCCAAGCAGATGCTTATGAGAAGCCCACAAGCAGGATTTGAGCACAATAGCATTATTCCCTCCTACTGTTTCCAGCAGTAGTATTCAGAAACATACTGGAGGCAGGGCACAGTCATTGTGCCTAGTAGCTATAGATAGCCTCTATGAATATGTCCAATCCTCTTTTAAAGCCATCCAAGTTGGTGGCCATTGCTACATCTTACTGAAGCAAATTCCATGCTCTTTGAGTGCCCTTGCCTGGCTGGAATCTGCCCCTGAACTCCAATGATGCCTCTTGCTTGCCTGGATGAAAGAAGAAAAGTGGTGCATCGGTATGTGTAGAAACCAGCCTACTGTGCAAAGGGTAAAATTAATGTCCACTTTTCCCTTTGGTATGTGGCTACCGATAGGTTGCTAAGAAGGGGATTGTAGCCCTTGGGGGCTGAGAAAGGTTCTCCATCCCTAGTGTGCATAGTCCTCTTATGACTTGCAACAACTGCTGGAGGCCCATTGCTGCAAAAATTTACAAAGGTCACCGTAGCAGTTAATATCTTTGTTTGCAAATCATATCATAAAGTCACTTAGCGGGTTGCTTTAGTGGCATATTAGTCACATAATCAAGCTCCTGTTGGCATGACTGTTCTGTAAATATGAAAGTATTTCATTTTCCATTTCCATAGCAGCTGGCATTAATCTGACTTAGAATGATTTATACTTTAAGGCAGGGGTGGAGCCCATCTGGCCTGCCAGTTGTTGTTGGACTAAACTTCCACCATCCCTGATTGGCTATAATAGCTGGGGCTGATGGGTGTTGTAGTCCAACAATGCCTGGAGGATTGTATTTTAGCTACCACCACCCCTTTATGGGTTATGGGTTGGTGGCGTAATGGGTCCTTGCTGCCAGCTTTCAATTTCATTCAAACTCAGAATGTTATAACTTAGATTGCTCAAGACAGGAAAGTGCCAAACAATGTAATAAAGCATTTCAACATGTAATTCCAGAAGCAGATTGCATGTTTTAACCTTGGTAAAGCTGCACCCCAGCAGAGCAAACAACTTTCTCCCAGGCTTGGGAGAGGCTACAAAAATAAGCGAAATGAATTAGCAAATGAACAGGGTGTACTTTTAGCTTAAAGAGGAGAAAAACACATTGCTAGGCTCCAGATTTCAGCTCCCCAAGCCAATGCCAAGGACAAAAGGCACAAGTAGAGGTGAAGAACAAATGTTTACTGTGAAGAGTACCTCCTTACCCATTCTGCACTTGCTGACTAATGGCATAAATTCATTCTCCACCCACCTGCACACATGCCACTTTTGAGAAAATGGAAGCAGATAAAAGAAGAGCAAACAAGAAGCAGTCAAACAGTGTAGCCTCTGTCTCATCACCAGCTGTCTCCACTGGAAAGTTAGCGTTAGACCATTTTTTTCCCAGCTGCAAAAATGAATAGCTGTGATGGCAGTATTGGTTATTCAAAAACAAGGCTGGGGAAGCTTTGACACAGCAGATGTTGCTGAACAATTCCTATCACCCCTAGCAAGCATAGTCTATGGCCAAGAAAGATGGGTCCCACACCTGATCAAAAGGGTATACCATGCTTATTCTAGTCCCAAGCATGTCACGCCATTAAAACAAAAAAGTAATGCAGCATAGGAGGAGACTCTTGAGAGTCCCATGGACTGCAAGAAGATCAAACCTATCCATTCTTAAGGAAATCAGCCCTGAATGCTCACTGGAAGGATAGATCCTGAAGCTGAGGCTCCAATACTTTGGCCACCTCATGAGAAGAGAAGACACCCTGGAAAAGACCCTGATGTTGGGAAAGATGGAGGGCACAAGGAGAAGGGGACAACAGAGGACGAGATGGTTGGACAGTGTTCTCAAAGCTACCAGCATGAGTTTGACCAAACTGCGGGAGGCAGTGGAAGACAGGAGTGTCTGGCGTGCTCTGGTCCATGGGGTCACGAAGAGTCGGACACGACTAAACAACAACAAATGCAGCATAGCTGGAATGAATGGCTGATTCTTAACACACCATGTTTGACAGCTGGACAAATCAGTCGAGAAGTCTGACATAACACTTATATCCCTTCAGCACATTCCTAAAATGTTCAGGAATAGCTGATCACAAATGGCAGAGTAATATTGTCTGCAGGGTATGTGATCTATGTTCCTACTGTAGCAGGTACCTTTCCACAAGTTTCCCAAAGCTGATCAAATTTCTGTTTTTCACAAACAGCCTATTCAGTCTGATTTGTAATGTAATCGTGGAGCTTAGACTGCATCTGATGCAGACAAATGCTCTTTTTTTAAACACAGAACTGGAAGCATGTATTATAAGTAAGAAAAGATACTTATCCAACTGATGCTCTTAAGCATTTATCTGTATTTGAAAATAGCATGTTCTAGGAGAGAAAAAAAGGCAGGAATGTGTCATCGCTCCCAAAAATTCAACAACACCTTTCCCCCATAGGAATACCAGATCTAGGACCTGCAGAAAGCAGGCTATGGCAGACGCTTGGCTCTGACTTAAAATTTTTACATGCTTACATAAAGAACTCTTTGTTACTTCACACAGTCCTTAATCCTTTCAAACAGGCAAACAAAAAGGGTTTGGAGAGAGAGCGCTTTTGGGGCTAATTTTCACCTGTAAGTAAGAAGCATGGTGTAATAAAAATAAAACTAATCAGATGCAGAGCAAGAGAGGAAAGCCCCCTCCGCAGCAGAAATCCAACACATGGTCAGGCAGTGGGACTGCACCTCCAGACTCCATCTCCAACATTGCATATTGCTTCACTAACCCAACCCAAATGGTGGAGCTCTGGCACACCAGTGAGTTGCTGTATATTCACCTTTTGCATGATGGGGCCTTAACACAGCATCTGGAAGCCATGAAAGGGTTTGTTTAACAGACAGATGAGCAGCCATCAATTATGCTAAATTATGCTACAGGACAAAAATGAGAAAGTGTGCCCGTATTCAGTTTTATTCAGGTTTTGGGGCAAGTTATGATACAAATCGCTTTAAAAACTAAAAATTAATCCCATTCAACATCATTAACGTTTAACAGATATTAACAAACATTTTCTCCAGGACATAAGTGTTGGTACAAGACATTATTGCTCCTATTTTATTCTTTCGTTTTAAAAAAAAATCAGATCTTACACATAAGATTTTAAGATGCACAAACAATTTTTAAAAGTTCCAACAGATCATTGAACCCTGGTTAAAATGAAGCTGCTAACAGTATACAGTACACAGTACAGATGACACCAAGAAGTTACATTACTAGTAAAAATGGCATACATTCAAACGGGTAGGGCTGTTAAGAAAGTCAAGTCATACTTAAAAGCCCAAATGCTGATGTTTGTGTACACAGTCTCAAAAGTAGAAATGGTGGGGAAAGGACCCTGGTTTTATGGTAGGTTGCGAGAGTCATTTGAACTCTGCAGCAATACATGGCACTACGCCCTTTAGTGTTCAAGAGGACAGGAATCATGAATGATAACTACTTGACCAAATAGCTGTTCTACTGTTGTCCTACATAGAGATTATTCAGACACAGCTTGGCACTGGCATCAATCATACAATCCTTCTGCTCCGGTTCAAATAATAAACCATCCAGCCGCACAACTGTGCTTTTCAGTTGTTCTCTTGTGAAACTGATGTTGCCTAGAAAGAAGAGAGAGAATCTTTGTTGTCTAGATTTTTCAGTTATTTCAAGTAAAGAAGTCTCTGAGGTACAAAATCTAAAAACATGTGAGCCGAATAGAGGGTAACTAAATTCTGCCATGGCTCCCACTTGATAGTTTTTTGCTGTTTGGCTCTGTGCTCCAACACCAAGCCCTTTTCATACCTGGGTGTGTTTGGAATTTACTTATATTTCTTATGCCCAAAGACTTTTGGGGATGTTACTGAAGGTTGAAATCATCACTATGGTGTAACAGTCATTTGCAGCAAGCAGAGCAGTGAAGGATCTCAGCAAAGCAGAGGAAAAAGACTAGAGGCTAAAACACTTGGCAGATATAAAAGTCCTAATACAGGCCTCCGAGGAATAGTATAGGGGGCAGCCTCATGAAGTGGCTGCTGTAAAAGACACTATAGGAAAGCCTTCATTAAAAGTTGCTTGAAAAATATCCACATGCTCTCATTTCATTCTACTACACATGTTCATAAACGTTACATGGAACAGCCCTTTCAAAACTGAAGATAAAATTACCTCATTTTTTAATATTCCCATAGGGCAAAGCCCTGCCCAAGGAGAGCTACAGTGTCTGGGATAATAATTCTGGCATAAACATTTAACAAAAGGCTAGTTTTCTATGTTCAGAGAGCTTTTGGGGTTGCTGTTTTTTCCCCTTGAAATTTTAATAGTTTTAAAAATATTACTCTTCTGGCAGTCTGACACTGTGGGAAGAGCTGTAGCTGAACATTTAAATCAAATCTTAGTTTGCTGTGTATTTTTAATGGGAAATTGCAGAACATATTTAGCTATGTTTTAACTCTTAGGCAAATATACAAATGCTCCATCCTGGAGTTCGTAGCCCTGCAAGTCTTTTTTTGCAGTGGCATAATGAGGCCTGACGGCGTCTGGGGCGCGCATGCAGTGCCATAGGGGTGGGGCACCAGCTAGGAAAGGGACTACAACAGCTTGGGCGTGCTGTGAGTCCAGCCCCGCACTGCTTTTAAGAGCGCCATGCTGGGCTTGTGCGCCAGCTTGGGCTCCGGTGTACTGCCCTCAAAGGTAAATGCTGCTCAGGGCAATTTACTCCCAGTGCACCCCTAGCTATGCCCAGTGGCGTAGCGTGGGGGGTGCAGGGGTGGCCGGCCGCACCGGGCGCAACATCTGGGGGTTAGGGGGCGCAAATCCACGGGTTAGGGGGCGCAAATCCACGGGTTAGGGGGTGCAAATTACTTGCCTTGCCCCGGGTGCTGACAACCTACGCTACACCACTGGCTATGCCACTGGTTTATTGATTCCCAAGTTGGCTTCTTTGCAGCATCCCCTTTCCTTCCAGAACAACATGGCAGTTCATGGCCCTCTGCTCTGGTCCCTGCTCCAGCACATTTGCAACTCATCAGAAATCCAATGAATGTATTATTTTTATGTTGTGAAACACCCTGTAATCTTTGGATGAAGGGTGGTATACAAATTTAATAAATAATAATAATAATAAATTAACATATTGGGCCTCCAGCAAGGGGTTCATTTATTAGCATGATGTGCCTCAGCCAAGAGCTGCCTTCTTTCCATAGAAAGGTTGCAGTGATCAGCTAAATGGTACAGGCAAGGTGCAAATCCTTATACTTACATATGGGGTCCTTTCTCCAAACTGACTATAAAATGTCATTTTAACTTTTTGCTTGTGTCCCGTTCTTTGGTCAAAAGTGTAGCAAGATTCAAAGGGTGGGCTGTACAAATGGAGACTAACAGCAGTTTCCGTATGGCTTGGGTTCTCCACACGGTGTAAGCCAATGCAGTCTAACGAAAGAAAACACAAGAGCACTGGGTTAGATCATTTATCCAACAATTTTACCCTCAATTTTAGGATCTTTTAAAATAAAATAAAGTAAAATGCCTAGCTTCTTTAAAAATCTAGGTGAATTTTGCATAGTTATAGTCTGATAAACGCCAACAGGATGTCTCCATTAATGTTAGTGAGATCTCAAGTGCTGTGAATTTAATCATCTGCCACCAGTACAAATGCAGTATTCTCTTTTAAAGATGCTGTAAAAATTCTAGGGAAAATAAATGAAATAGAGAAGACCATTATTTTTCCAAGAACTTGGGTTGGAAAAGATGCTATATTTTAAATCAAGTTTGGAAATTCTCAGGGCCCCACCAGGCTTCTTTAACTAGCCATCAGGCTTCTCTAGGCCTCACCTTCACCAGCCATATTCTACATTTGAGTTCTTTCGCCAAGCTGAAATGTGTCCAACTCTTGCTCGTGGGGATAGAGGTAGAGAGATGTGTGTAACAACACTGACTTTTGCATGGTGCTGGAATGTAGCTCATTGTGCAATGGGTCACATTCATTGGTCTGCTCACTTTTGCCTCTAGTCCTGCCTCTCACTGGAATGCTTCACATGGAACGTTGTGCAGAGGAGCAAAGGGCCCTCTTACTCAAAAGATTCCCCAAACTGTATTTTAAGCAGATAGTAAGGACATTAGCCCTATGATGAAGGAAATAGTTCTTCTGGGGTGAAGTCTTTATTCTTCCAGTAATTGGTTGTGCCTTTTCTAAGTATAACTAGCCATTTTAATGCCTTATGTAAAAATATCAAGTTATTTACCATTGTGATGTCCTAAACAGGTCTTTCAAATATGGTACCATATTTTGATATCCAAAAAAATCCACAAAACCTGGCAATCTTCAGGTGCTACCTTAGCATCAGTAAACATATTGTTGCTTTATAAAATCTGAACACATGAGCTGGCTTGATGCAAAACTTATAGTTGAATTAATATTGTATAAAGGAAGCCAAATTGCCACCTACCCATCTTTGAGCTGTAAGTTGTGGACATCCATTTGTTGTAAAGTCTCATAAGCAACACACTCCCATACATGTGATTACGCCCCCCTTTTTGCTTGGCATACCTTTCTGTGTAGCAACTATTTTAGTTTGAAGATGTTCAGAAAGAAGAGACAATGCCTTTCGGCAATGTTCAAAGTTGCTTGTGTGCATACATCATTTGTTTTTGATTTCATTCCAAATCAAAGTGTTTGGACATGAAAACAACAGAGAGGAAAAAACATAGCTGAGATTTTAGTTCCTTGTAAGAGGTATTGAACTGAAGTTGTTTCCCCAGGGAAATGCAGAGAGGACATTTTTCTCATCTGACATACAAGAATAAACCACAACTGAAAATAACCAAAATCAACTAAGGCCAATGTGGCATGTGCCATCTTGACATTATCCTGGCAAAGATGGCTTCTGTAAGATGGAAGGATCAAATCATGTTCTACCATTATTTATTATTATTAGTTACATTCATACTCCACATTTTTATTTTAAAAAAGCCCAAGGCAGCTAACAGTTATGGAATCCCCAATGCAAAAATAAATAGTCCACTCCATGTAAGCTCAGACATTCTAATCCTCAAAGTAAAAAAAATGAATCCCACCTGAAATGAAAGCATGGAGAATCTGGGTGGTAAGCATGATAAATTGGCCAAGTTTCACAAAATTCTGAACAGAACTGAGATACAATACTTTGAATATTTTGCCTTGAAGTGCAGCCCTCACTCAGTTCTGATGCTCCTTTTGCAACCCAAACATATTTTCACTTCCTTCTCTTGTCTGTTAAGTTTATGTCAAAAATTCCCAAATATTACAAGAGTCTGCCTCTCCATGACTTGGGTGAAAATCCACTGTGTATGATTAAAGTTGTGAGGTGTTAAAGTCCCCATTTTAATCCATGGTGAGTGCAGAACAAGCAACTAATGCGATGGATGCTATCCATTGGTTCTAAAACAGGTACTGTACAGGTCCCTGCCAGTGCTGTTGACAGCCATGCCAGAAAATGGTTGGAAGGATGTGGCTGGGGAGTAGACTGAAGACAATGTTGCAGTCAGCCCCAGGTGACGATTCTGTTCCAAAAATTGTCCATGAAGCTTTAGTATTTCTTCCTTATCACAGCCCTTTTTTTGCCTACAGACACTACCTTGGGGGTCTCTGTTTTTTTGTGATCAAGACACTTGCTACAGTGCTTAAATCTGATTTGGGGGGGGGGGTGAGGGGAGCTCTACCTATCATCTCAGTTTTCAGAACCACCACAAAGGTTGGTGGGATATAATGGAAGGTCCTAAAAACAGATTAGGATAAATAACTTTTTTGGAAATGCTGCATGCAACCATGGTGCTTGTAGCAGCATTTAAAATCCATTCCATGGCATCTATTACAATAGGTCTCTGTGTTTAAAAGGAGTACCAGTGAAGGTCAGCAACACTATGCACAGGAATCTTATGCCTAATTTGTAAACTCTAAATTCTGCACACAGTAGTTCAGATATAAGGAAGAAACGAAGTGGGCTATCAGCAGAGGAAAGATTAGACTTATTCTATAACATGAAATGTCCCCATGTGTCCTATTCTTTTATCCAAGAAATGAAAAAAAACACCTTACCTTCCAAGATTTGAAACATCTAGCCAAGAAGTTATAAGGTTTTTTGGGTATCTACGATGAACCAAAACGAAAGGGCTTACCATTAATATAAGCACACTGGTTTTCCTTCAAAACCCTTTCAGATTTCTTCAGCAGCTCTCCAGTCCCCTTTTTGCCAGGCCACTCAAACAGCGTCTCTTTTAGATTTCCTTGAAGCATTTTCATAAAGCAGTGTGAATCTGTGTGATCATGGATACTGCTGTATATGTACACAAACACAAAAAATACCATTATGAAGTTAGCAGGGCTGTTGTACTTTTACATATACAGCTGACTCTCAACTTGCATAAGGGTTGTGTTCTGCGGATAGCACGTGAAGCCAAAATTGCATATGATCAAAACAATCCTGGAACTGCCCCCATGCAAGCATCCTTTTCTGAACCCCGCAGGCTTACCACGCAAAAAAAGAGCTTTTAAGCTTTCTGACTTGCATTTAATTTGTGCAGTGTCAGCTGGTTGGCCACTAAGCACATAAAGCTGCAATCGAGTAAGTTAAATGTGTGCAAGTTGCAAGTTGACTGTAGTATAAACATAATGTACCATAAAATGATTATGGCTGCAACCCTAACCCCATTTATTTGGGAGTAAGCTCCATTGAAGTCAAAAGGGCTTACTGTGCTGTACATCTAATACAAGAGAAATATTGTTATTGCCCACATCATTTTATAGTGGTCTTGAAAGTGGGATGAAAGTGAAAAAAGAGTCAGATTTAAAGAGAAATATTAGAATTTCTGCAAATATGAACAGAGAGACTGCAATGCTAGAGGATTTTGAGGAAACTGCGATGTCATTGACAAAATTTGCTAATAATCTGTTCTTTGGCAATGGCTGGGTATATCTAGATAGGAATTCAATTAAACAATAGGACCATAACTCAAAGGCATTACCTGGGAAAGGACTTGGGCTGCAATGAAGGAGCTACTTGACCAGCATCTACACAATGTGTATGAATGAGAAGTGAAGGGGAAATGGTGCCTCAGTGAAAAGGCACTAATTTGTATGAATTGAGGGCAAGAGAGGTGAATGTTGCTGGCTAGTACTATGCTACTCGTCGACAGCAACCACCACTAGAACTGGCAGTCTCTATGTTGCTTGTGGGTAGCAAGAGTGCAGACACAGCCTGCCTGTTACTTACACAACCTTTTGCCTGGAAGCTCTCTTATAGTTGTCCATTGAATTGAATTCCATTTAAGATAAAAACCGATGCTATATTTATGTTTGGCTTTCGGACCCAACCCTCTAACAAAAAAGCACCACTACCTCCAGAGATGAAACTTCTCATTTCAGATACACATAATAATTTTCTTTTACATCATGAACTCGATTCAAAACAGTCACTCATGTTTTCCATTGGAAAATATGTGGCAGTGTTCTTTCTCTGTTACTGGCTATATTCTGGAGCAGGGGGGGAAACGCCACGTTGTCACTCCCCCATTCAGATTTAATTGACTCCTTGACTAACTGGTGCTGCTTGTGCAACAAATTAAAACAAGCTGTGGTTTCTTATTTTTAAGCAGCTGCTCATCTGTCTCGCAAACCACAATGCACTTGGCAGAAACTTGGGAGTGCAATTCTGGAGAAAAACCACAGATAACCAACAGCCCAGTTTGGGCACAATGCTAGCTAAATGAACCTTGAACTCAAGCATTCCTCCTTCGGCGTGGCCACTAGCAGAAGATTAAGAGCACTCACTTCCTAGTTTAAGCTAACCAATTTTGACTTACATCTAGCCTTTGAACTCAGTTGAAACTGTGGTTTGTTGCAATAATCTAGAATAATAAACTATGGTTTGACCCAGGCTTGTTTCAGTATATCAATTTTAACTGGCCACAGTTTGCCCTTGTCAGATGCAATTATAAAATGAGGTTAACCTGAAAATTATTCTGTAGGTTCATTCCTGTAGCAGTAAACTGTGGCCCAACATTACATTCAAACTGAGTCATTAGCTTGCAGTGTTGAAAAAAGTAATGCTCCTATGTCAGGTTTGCACAGTTTGTGACCTGCCACCAAGCTCAATACAGCCCAACAGTCACATACGGTTGCCTGCAGCAGCCCGTTGTTTTTTCTGTGGTCACAGAAAGGCAGCAAAAGCAGGTTATTTATTCGGCCTCTAGTAGGCTACCATACATGGGTAGGTTGTCTGTTTAGTTTGAATGGTCACAAGTGGGACAGGGTGAGGCAGCCCTAGATAAATCTGCATAACAATGTGCCAGATGTGCTTCCACTCCTTATTAGGGGAGGTTGAAACTCTTGTTCATTATTGGTTTTAACTTCAGTAATCTTTGTGCAGACTTGCACCAGATCAAGTCATAACAAGATTTATTAAGAGAACTAAGAACTTGTTTATTTTTGGTGGGGTTCACCTAATGAGTCTCATCAGCACAAAAAGTTCTACTTGTGTAATGGGGTTCCCCCTTTTCCACCCATGTCCTCCCAAATTGGCTTAGGGTATGTATGTGTGTGCGTGTGCTCCAGGATCAAACCAAGCACAGGGATCACAGGTAATAATGTAAGGTCCACAGCGACCTAGGAGTTAAAGGCAGGTAACAGTATTGTTAATAAAGACACCCCACCCCTTGAAGGATCATTGGACACTAGATTAAAAGTGAACTAATAATAATAATAAATAATAATAATACGCGATGATAAGAAACTTATTCCCAAAATAATTTCCTGAACTTCCTAGCATCCAAAAGTATATTCTCTGCCAGCTTATCTTGCTGGACAGCTCACTGTGGTACCAAAAGAATCCTATAGTTCAGCTCTTTCTCACTGTCCATAACTGTAGTTGTATGAAGACAAACATCCCCTCCCCAGGTATCTTTTACTGCCCTCAGCATCTTCTCTCTGATGAATCTAGGTAGCTAGAGGTTAACTCAAATCTTGGAATCTGAGCTACTTTTTCTTTGCTATTTAGGGGTGCGTGTATACACCTGCACATATTTTCAGAAGAAAGATAGCAGCCAGAAAAGTGTCACCCTTCCCCACCTACTGAATCCCCTTGCCAGCAGTTTTTTCCTTCCTGATGCAGCAAAAACACATCTGGGAATCCCAACTGGAAGGAAAAGCAGTGGGATGGGAGAAGGGTTAAGCAAACACCACCTGTAGCTTTCCTAGTGCAAATTACATTTTTGTGAAAACGGAACTCCTCACTTCCACAATCCTCAGAGTCTTAAATCATCGCATCACAAGACAGCATTTTACCCAAACGGAAAAAGGGCATTTCAGGATTCAATGCAACAGCTGCAGAGGCCATTGAACCCCAAAGTTTGGCATATTGGGTAGCATGCAATTTTAGTCAGTGTAGAGCCATTGAAATGAATGAACATGACTAACTTTGGTCCATTAATTTTGATAGGTCTACTCTGAATAAAACTTAATTGAATGCCACCCATTGTGTTCTGGGAATTGTCAAGGGTACATTGACCAGATCTTACTGATTTACAAAATTGGGGTTCTGAGGGGGAACTCTCTCATTTGACAAACTCTGCTTTAGACTAGAGGCAGAGACGGCACAATGCCCCTTTAGTAAAACACTGGGGCTATCATACATAGAGCAATGAAAAACCTACTACCATTGTAAGAAAGCACAAAGAAGGAAGTCACCAAGTGGTTCTACAACAGTTTGCTCTGACAAAGAAGCATCACATTCCTCATGCTTAAGAGATGTCTGATAATTGTCTGTTTTGCAGAGGCAAGAGAAAAAGGGCGTATATATCTAGTACATAGAGAGAAATGGTTCTCAGAACAATAACATATGGCCTTTTTTTTAAAGGGACTTTGGGAAATCTGGTACCTCTGGCTTGCAGATGAGGCTGGATCTGCACAGTGTTGATTGGCCAGCCCTTGTGTCAATGACATATTCACCTGCCCCACCCTTCCCTGAGCAGGATCACACACAGAACTTGGGTTACTCACAAAGCCATATTCACCTTTTCACATGGTCTTTTAAAGTGTTTTTAAAAAGTGTAAGGAACCCAGAGATTAAATGCTGATTAACTGAAACAATCAAATATGCAAAAATGGATCCTTAAGAGCTGGTGTACTGCTTTGGTTTAATTTTAAATAGTTGGATTTAAAAAAAAAAAATTAATGTAGAGAACCACCCAAAGCTTTTGGAAAGGTTAGAGTTAATGGAATTTTATAATATACCGTATATATAAGGCTACAATACATTTTTTGTGGCACAGATGCAATGTATTATATAACAATCATCATCATCATCATCACCATTTTATACCCTACCCATCTGGCTGAGCTTCCCCAGCGACTCAGAATATTAAAAAACACGACAAAACATCAAACATTAAAAACTTCCCTAAACAGGGCTGCCTTCAGATGTTTTCTGAAAGTCAGATAGTTGTTTATTTCCTTGACATCTGATGGGAGGGTGTTCCACAGGGCGAGCGCTACTACCGAGAAGGCCCTCTGCCTATATAGCTTTATATTATGGGGAAAATATATAGAGCCACAAACCTGCCATGGCCTTCACCCCAGCATAAGATCATCAAATTGAATTTTCCATTTCCTTTATCCACAAGATTTCTTGTGTACCTGAAAGAAGAAGATGCAGGGTTTTAGTTTAAGAGCCATCACTGAGAAGCAGAAACAGATGTTAAGAGCACCACTCTCTTGAACAGTATATACAAATTAAAAAAATTAATGGTTGCTAATTTCCAGCCTGCTCCCCTACCCCAACCATCTAGTAATATTTTCTGATTGAGCTGTATGACAGTTCTACTCACTGCATTGTTTTGAACAATTAGTGCCTACTGCATACAAATTATCTTGATAATACTCTGCTACCTTACTGCGTAGTTCTAAGGTTTATTGAGATAATATATCTGATAATATAGGTGAAGTGCTTGTATTTCTCCCAAGTTTTATCTTTTAAGAAAAAAAACCACACATACACATAAGCACACTCTTGCACTTGTCCATATATTCTGACCTACTTTCTTTCAGTCAGTGGCATCCTAAAACTGCAATGTATTTATACCTTTATCACATAAGGGTAATAAAAATATATCACAGTGGTTTACAATGCTGAGTGAGTTGTATCCTTTGCAGGATCTTTCTCATAAAAAGGAGAGTGAACAGAATCAAATGAAAAGTCAACAATAATTAACTTTTGTGTAAAATACAAATTATTAAAAACTAGGTTGTAAGTCTTAAGCAACAAATTTCAGGAATTCAATTCCGGTGATTACGGACTTGGTACTTTATAAATCTATGTTAGATATTTGCATCTGTCTGTCTCAACAAGCCATTTAAGTTATTAGTACATTATATATACACATACAAGTCGAACCATTGGTCCTTACCTAGGTCAGTACTATCTATAGTGACTGGCAGTCGCTTTCCAGTGTTTAAGGCAAGAATCCTTCCCAGCCCTGCGTGCAGAAGTCAGGAATGGAACCCAGAATCTTGCTTATGCAACTCATGTTCTTGGCTTCCACTACTGAGCTACAGCCCCCTTTTCTCTCTGTTGACTGGATTGCAAGGAACCATGCAATTTTTGCATGTACCTAAGGGAATCTGAACATGTCTTTCTCAAGGAGCAGATCCTCATTCCCTTACTTTTAGGATTCCAAAGGTTTGTGACATGGCATAGTGGTCCACCATTCAAAGGAAATGAATAAAGAAACCCCACTGGCCTTATGGGATAGCTAAAGTAGTTCTGAATCCCAGCCATCATGGAAGCACAGAAGTCAATCAGGCCCACAGTTGTGTGATCAGTGGGTCTTGGAAATCGGTAAGACTGAATAAACAAAAATTTGGATTGTGGTGTAAACCCCATTAATTGCAGATCTGGTTGAAGCCCAAATATCTGGGTTTCATTTATCCTATTGCTATAGTTCAAGAATGCTGAAAAAGACTAGATTATGGTGTGGAGACTAAATTAAGGTGTGGAGTGGTGGTTAACATTTGGTAAGCATTGGAAAGCCAAGAAGACATAGGGGGTTGGGATCTCCAGGCTACTCTGTAAATGAAATTCAGCAACACAACTTATAAATGGAAAAGCACAACATAACCCAAATACTTCTTGGGTGAGGTAATTTCTGCAATGAGATTGTAACTACAGAAGCTTTGTAACAACAAGGAAGTTACTGATTTCTTTTACAGCTTGTTATCAAATGGTCCCAACCATTTAAGCTACTTTTCTGCACAAGATATATATGCAAATCCAAAGTGTGTGGGGTGTGTGAGAGACTCTCCTCATGATAAAAAGCCAACTTTACAGGGAATTCTGCCAAGCAAGAACAGAACAAACTAGTTTCACAATGCCAACAGCAAGTGTTGCACAATAATCGAAGATTAGAAATGGTATGAAAAAGACTAAAGGATACAGCAAAGGGGGACGGGGGCGGCGCGCGGCAGACTGAGCTATTGCACCTGATTTATAATTAAATCAAAGCCTGACTTTTAATACGGTGCAGTAGACACACCCTGTTTTCACTTTTAAAGGTCAGGTGTGTGCACGCAAGTTTGAATCGGTACACAATCCAGTGGAGGCAAGTTTGCAGACGAGGGTTCCAAGGGGACCTTTCCAACAGTGGAACGCCAGAAGGCTGGGAAGCCAGAAAGCCCCTGATTTGCTGCCAGTACCTTGTCCCAAAAATATCTGTTAGAGAACACAATAACCTGACACAGATCAGGAAAAACAAAAAAACCTGGCTTGATGTCAGCCATTCGTTTTCCTCCTCGTTAACATTTCGAAAGCAGTTTATTTGCAAAAAGCGACCAAGAAGGCACATCAATTCGCGCAGTAATAGCCTGCTGCTTAAGTCATTTGCGGGCCACAGCCCTATGAACTAGACATTGTCCTCCAAGACTGCCAACGCCCCTCCATCGATTCTTATAAAAGTACAAAAAAAAAAAAAAAATACAAGTTCCAGCCTCCCCGGGAGGCTCGGGCTGCTATTTACCTCGAGCCAGCTCTCATTGGCCCAACCCTTCAGGGGTGTTGCTCAAAAGCGGCTCTGATTGGCCACCGGGTCCCCGCCCTCCCTCTGCCTCTAAACCTTCAATGCGTGGCACTTGGGAGAAGCCGGGAGAAAGCAGTCAAAAGGAGTGGGCGGGGCTGCGGGCGCCGTGGATGCGCCGCTCTCGCGCCCCAGTGGGGTCACCCAGCAGCCCCCAAAGAGAACCCCAGCCTGCACTCAGAGGGTGAAACACGCCATGGGAAGGGGCCTTCAAACAAGGCAGATCATAGGTCTATCTAGCTTAATATTATCTACCTTTCCGGGGTTTCAGGCAGGGGACCCTCGTAGATCTGGGCTATGGCAGCCTGGTTGTGAGATATTTCCCCTACAAGGGAGGCTTTCCTGTGAGTAATTCTCATGTCTTCAGGGCCATAGATCACAGAATCAGAGTTGGAAGGGACCTAAAGGGTCCTCTAGTCTAACCCTTTGCAATGCAGGAATCCCACCCACAGCCATTCCTGGGTGGGCTTGAAACACCAACCATCTGGTTGACAGCCACACACTCACAAAAAAGGCTTAGCTGAAATTTATCTGCTGTGTTTAATATTCATTGTGAATTGTTTTTACTTTTTTATTGTTAGCCACTTTGCTAATATTCAGCCTTCAGGGCTGGTGTAAAGCCCAATAGGCAAGTATGCCAGACTGCTACAGACCATCCAGTATGTTTTGCAGCACATAATGGATTGAACTTAAGTCTCCCTCCTAACCCCCTTCCCAAATACGATACTCTGAACTAAAAGCAGAAGTGGAATCTGCATCTTAGAGCCCCTGCCATCCTCTTGATTTGATTATCAGCCTCCCTAATGAATTGGCTATTCATGTGCCTTTTCTGTTGCTGCTGCTTACAAAGAAACACTGAAGATGACTTATTGTCACCTACATAAGTTAATCATTTAGAGGGAAAGTGTGCCAAAGAACAGGAACCAGAAGAGAGGAGGCTTGATATGGGATTAAGAAATACCTGTTTTAACTTCTGCTAAAAATGCATTTGCAGAGAAACTGGCATTTAAGCTAATTATAAATGTATTATCAACACACACACACTTTTCTGTAGGGAGAGTATCAGAATAGGACCCCAGTGCCATCCAGTGGATCATTGTATGGTTTATGGTCTCTTCAGTGAGGCAGAAGCTGGAAATAACAGGTCACGGGATAAGGTTCAGTTTGTGCCGTACACACTATACAACACACATGATAATCTGGATGAACTGAAGAACCCACTTTTATGTTTCCACTAATCACTATGAATAGCTCCATAAAAAAGATGCTTTAGTTTCAGTATTAAGGGTTAATCAACAGTCATGCTGATTTATTCAAACAAACTGCTGTGCATGCAGCCATTTGAGTGAAGCAAGTTCTGAAGTTGCTTTGGTGATTTTCACCACATTGGGAGAGCCTGAACACCATGAAGTGACCATATATATGTATACTGCAGGAGTACCTATACTCAAAATGGTTAAGGGATAAACAATGCAATTATGATTATAGGGGCACATCTGATGTGCATGTAATGTCTTGGGCAAGTTTTAGAGGAAAATAGCCAGTGATTGCTCATACCTGGATTTCTGGTCAGGTATAGTTAAGCATGTGCAGTACAATTATGTACTCACTATAGTAGCAGCAGCATGCATCATCATTAATGAAAACCACCAGCTGGTGATGCATGCTGCTTCTGCTTATGTTATATATAATTATGTATTAATAATAGATGTGGATTGTTTTAAAACTTTAAAATGCCATATAAATGATATATCCTATTGTTCATTGCCACTTGACAGGAAGTAACAGACAACTAGCCTACCAAGTGGCTGGAGGCACTTTTGGTCATCCAAGTTCATCCTCCATCACACTCAAATTAGTATGGTCAAATTGTGGTTCAGTGGCCAGTTATTAAAAAATAAAAATTATAACCTGCATTTCTTTCTTCAAGGGGAAAAACGCCAGAAAAATAAGGTGGACTTTGCACCATTTGCAAAACCCTGCTTAAAAGTGACAATTCACTTTTGGCAGTGAACCTCAGACTGCAAAAAAAAGGCTAGCTGCCTTAATCCATGCTCTTGATTAAGGCTAAAATTTAATGTTTGAATAGTTGTACTAGTGCTGATGGAGAGGGAATTACTGTATGACTAGGAGTTCGCACAGCTGCAATATTTTTTGTGACTCTGATGCATTGACAATTCCCAGAGAGGGGCTTGCTGGTGCTTCATGCAGTCCATATGGAAAGGAAATGTAGATGCGAATCACCAACTATTTAACAGCTACCAATGGCTGAATTTAGCCTTGTTCAATACTACAGATTATGAAACAGGCCTCTGAGAAAAACAATTAGTGATGATTATCCAGTAATTAAGGGAGGCACAGGACTTTTGTGACACAAGATTTGGAACAGTATTCAGTAGACATCTCATTAGTGCCTTCACCTCACCCCCGCTCCTGGCACATGTTTTAGGCCAGGAGTACAGTAGGTAATATGATGCCCTTGAGAAGTTGTTGTTGGGACTACAGCTCCATCAGCATTTTCAATAGTCAGTAATAATGGAAGTTGTGGTCTACCACCACCTGGAGGGCACATTAACTCTACCTTTATTAGGCTGCCTCTAGATTTTCACCACCAGGCATATTGCTTTGTTCTGGAGTGCCATTTCAAATGGACTGGAATGCCCAAGAAAGAAGAGGAAAACAACTTTGGAAAAGCCCTAATGTTGCAAGATAAACCAGTCAAAGTTTAACATCTAACAGGCTAGTCGTGGAAAAAAACACCAAAAAAACACACAAGCTACAAAATGAAGCCCAAACTAGCAAGAAAGGTTGTGACCCAAAAGCCTGGTGTTAATCTTGTCACCTTGACCCACTCCTGGGGTGCTTTGAACTAGACTTGGGCACGTCGCTGTACTTGCAGCTGAAGGGATGGCTGCCAGTTAGTCCACCTGGGAGGCCTGCCAAAAAGTTTTCTGTAGGCATTTTCATTCCAGCTGTTTCTAAGGTCTTGTCTTTAAAGTGCCAACCACCTCCAAGCTGCGCAGCTTCCCACTTCTCAAAAGGGAGATTTGAGCAACTCAAACCGCTGGCCTGAATGCAAGCTGCTAAAAAAAAAAAAAAAAGGAGCCACTATCTGCACAACACATATGTTAGCTATTAGCAACAAATTACATATGTAGCAAACGCTAAAAGATACACGGAAAGGAATCTGAGCAAGATATTTGGATTTGCAACACCTACGAACATCAAGCGTGCAAACAAAGTAGAAGTGCGCCTGGAGAGTAGATTGCTATTTAATTTCTAAAAGATCCGCACTCATTTTGTACCAAACTTAATGAAATGCTCCAAGAAAATCACGTCCGTTTGGCATTTCAAGCAAAGCGGCTCTCATTTTAAAAGCACATATCGACCGCTTTTCGTTCCCAGGAGAATAGCTTATCCTACAGTAATAAACCAGACAGCTTGTCACCCGCTTGCTTGTTCAGGCGAACTAATCCCCTTGATTCCCACTGAGTTTACCTGAACTGGTCAAACTGAGCATATTTGAGCCACTCCTCCGGATTGCTCTCGTAAGTTTCCATTAAGGTTTGCACTTCTGCCACATTGACTTTGTCGCCGGAGAACAACCGATGCAGGATCTGGATCAGCTCATCCAGCGTCTGCGCCTTCCACAATTCCGTCTGCCCGGGATGATCCATGATGCGCTTTTGCGGAGCCTGCTTCGAGTTGCACAATGGAAGCGCCCAGTCTCTCCCGCGTCGCTTCGCAGCCGGTGCCTTGGCTTGCCGCTATTTATCCCCTGGAGTTAGATGGGAACGTACCAAGTGCTCAAGGACAGGGAGCGCGCAAGGGAGGCACCGCGAAACGGCTTCGGCTAGCCCTAGGCTTTTAGAACACGCTGAAAAAGGGACACCCCCGCCGTGGCCGGGACCTATCACAGGCTGATATTTCAAAAGCCCTCGTCGCCTGGGCGAGATGGGGCGTCTGGGCTCCCCCCACTTTCGGGTCGTTTGCCCGCCTCGCTTCTTAAGGGGCCTCGACTGGCGCGCCGCCGTAGCCTTACAGCACAAAGACGCTGTTCTTCGTGCTTAAAAGGGAGAAGGAATATTCAACTGAGGAAGCCAAGAGTGATTTTCCCCCCTGGCAACGTTTGGATATTCTAATCTAATCTTTTAACTCAGCAGCTCAATGGCTGAAGGCACTAGCTTTGCAAGGCACTCTTTTAAATTACAGTCGTCTCCGCTTTTCATGGCGCAATAACCAACCAGGTGTGTTTTGGGGAACTAGGCTATGTTTATAAATTGAAATACGTAGGCACTGACAATTGCACATTACCAATTTAGTTAGCCACCCCTGCAAAAACCTTTTGTCTTGTAGGAAAATTCAGAATGGTAAAAGGTGGCTTCTCACCCAAGGACAGCAGGTTTAGGATCAAAGTACTGTAGCTCATTCCCCATGAGTGAATATGGAAGAGAAGTTTTCAATTTTTAGCAAGGTATATAAGGGACTTGATTGAGCAGGCAGGTGACTTAAGAGAAAGCAATCTACAGTGACATTTAACTCCAAAAGCTTTGGAAAGAACACTGCATATTTCTGCCTGTTTCGTAGGACAGAAAGGCTACTTTTATTTCTCTATCATTTTTCATTCTTAAGATTATTCAAAATTAACACTAGAATACCATTGTAAGGGCCTATTAAAGTAGTTCTCCCACAAAGTAGAAAGCAAGCTGTAAGGTCTATCAGAACTTTTCCTCTGGCTAGGTATTAAGGACGGGGCAGGGGAAGGTGAGGAGAGAAATGCTGCTGAACTTTGCTTGTACCCTACGACATGAACCAGCACATCTTCACATCTCAGTTGTGATTCAAGCAAATATTTCCAAACTTTTTACTTTGAAAACGGTATTAGTTTCTCCACCATCTGCAGTTTTAATTTCATTCCTGCATTGTTCAGCAAAAGCAGCAGATTCACACTTCCAAGAAGACTTCCACTGATGTCAGCAATAAAATGTTTCATTAAGTGGGTGTTTTTTGGGGGGGAAAGGAAGCTATTCCTTAGACCCAGATTAAGTTAATGGCAAGTTGGGAAAATGAAGCTTGCCCAGTGTTAAATAGTTGCACTTTAATAACCATGTGCTTTACATTTTCTAGGCTTGATTAGAAGTCCCAAATTCTCCACTTATATTTTGTAATGAATTTTTAAAGTATTGCTAGCTTTTTACTTTGTCTCATAACAATGGAAACTCAATGAAAGCTTATCAGTTGCTTTATATCACTTCCTTGAACCATTTCAATTTCCTTTAATGGCACTATCATATAGATAAAATATTTAACTGTGGCATACTGTGTTCTTGGCTGTATAGCATGATCTGTGCATTTTGTAGATTGTCCTACCTTGTCGCACACAACTGACAATGACCTTTTGCTTTGTCACATTCATTCATAGTGGTGTTTCTATATTTTATTCATACAACCCATTATATTGGGCTATAAAGCAGTCTTCACATACTGAGTTTAGTCAACTGCAGCATGATCAGTGCTGCTTTTGTGGTTTTTTTGGAAATTAACATTGTAAATGTTAATCTAACAATACCAACAATAGCACCAGGAAGAAATAATGCAAACTTGGAAAGCTTATCTATTGGGATATTCACATTTAATAGGTTTTGGATAATGGAGAAATGGTATGTCATTATTGGTACTGCCTATTTCCAGTTTATTTTATTTCCTGAAGCTAAGATAAGAGAAGCTAATGTGTGATCTCTACTTTCCTACAAGGTCACTTTGGGTGTTTAAAGTTATTCATTCACCTACAGGGTCTAGTAGGTTTAACTTGAAGCAACCTGTTGTAAGAGATACAAGATGAAAGTCTACAATGAATATAAATGTCAAAGGGGCTCTACAAACAAGCAATAACAATAAACTCATAATTTGTTAAATGATAACCTTTATTCTCAAAGCTGCCCAATATTCCTACATTTATATTTCTGCATTTCATTGTATATACTTTGTTGTGTAGTGAACAAGGGGAAGGAAGGAGATTAGCTGCGAGGGCTGCTGCTTGAGAAACACCATCCTAAAGTCTCTTTGGGACTACAGATTCCAAAGTTAAATCCCAGCAACTGTGTTTAAAACAAATAGTCATAAGTAAATGTAACTATTTTATGCATATACAGATACTTCAGCTGCCCATCTACAATAAATATCCTAAAAGGGAGGCTGTAAACTTCCATGCAGCCTGATGAAATAATGATCCATGTACTCTCCAAGTCAGGAGATAGTATCCTTTCAAAACAAGTCCTGGAGCAAGGACAGGCAGCTCAGCTGTACAGATGGCACACACACAATTATTTGCACAAAGCAAGTGATCAAATGAAGAAAATGGAAGCCGGGAGGCTACGTAGTTCTTGTATTTATCTCCTATACTGACAAGTAGAGAAAATAGGGAGAATAAAGTGAACTCCATGGGTAACAATGCAGACATTTCTTCAGTTTGTCCCTGGGGAATGTTTCTGAAGATCTTTATAGCCCATTCATTTTCTAAGAATCCCAAGCACTTGTAGCTCCTAATTCATCCCCAGGCCTGAGATTTACAATAATGCAGTACAAGCTTGCCATCACTTCCAAAACACTGCAACAGAACAAGAAACAGAGGAGTTAAACAAATTTAATATTTAATTAAACCTATAAACTGTTGGGTCGCTATTATACAGCCTAATATACAGTATAAAGTGTCAACATTCTACTGAAGGTTTCTTATGAAATGCTGCCACCTGTTGACAACATACTTTGAAAGTTACATGCAGCATTTGCTACCGCAGACATGGAGTGAAATGGTAATCAAACTGAAACATCTTGCAGAGCAATCCAGACTCCAGAGCAGGCAGTGAGACTCCCTGAACCACTACTGTATTTGGAAGGGCAGGTAAAAGCCTGCTCTGGGCTATGCCAGCCTGAAGCTGGTAAAAGCATTGCACCCTTCATTGGGCCCAAGAAGAGCTGGCTAATGGATTCCAGGCTGGCTCAGCCACATTCCCTCCCTCTCTGGAATACCCTTTTGTGGATTGATACTAGTAGGACTGTCCTTTTAGTGGGTGGAACAGAGAGCTCTGTGCCGGTGCAGTTGTTCTGGGCAGGGCAACCTTTGCCTTATCCAAACAATTGAATGGTGTCCTTAGTTCAGGCATAGGCAAACTCGGCCCTCCAGATGTTTTGAGACTACAATTCCCATCATCCCCGACCACTGGTCCTGTTAGCTAGGGATGATGGGAGTTGTAGTCCCAAAACATCTGGAGGGCCGTGTTTGCCTACGCCTGCCTTAGTTTCTAATGCAAAGAAGAGAAAAGGAAATACTTAGAAGCTGCAAATTACCTCATATAGTGTTCCAACTTCCTGGTCTGGTGAAGGAGCAAAAGACTGATTCACATAAATAAACTGTATGAGAAAGAGATACTTGGTAAGTTTTAGAGGAAGTTACTCTGTTTAAACAGAAAACTTTTATCAGACAATATTCTCTCCCATGTTACCTCAGCATCCTGTCACTGCAATTACAGGGCTAAGAGAAGAACAGTCTACAGCCAGCTATAAGCTGAAGGTTCAACAAGGGCGAAGAACCCAAGAACCATAGAATTGTCAAGTTGGAAGGGACTCTGAGGGTCATCTAGTCCTGCAAAGGCAGGAATCTCAACAAGCTTCCCTCATCCAATTTAAACTATACTGGGCCCTGCTAAGCTTTGCAAATGTGTTAGCAGTTTTATTGCTGCACCACTATGAGGAATAGGTCCATTAGTTTTATTGTTCAAAGGAGGAAGCCAGTCTACCCATATTTACTGGCCTGAGGACTTAAGAGTTGACAGGAGTTTGCTCCTCCTCCAGCCCACCTCCAGCTCATAGCTACTTGAAGTCCTTTGATAACAGGAGTAAAAGAAAAGATAACTTGCTATCAGGATAACTGCTTGGCCACAACCGAAGCTCCTTTATGGATAGTTGCTAAGTGGCTATTTGTTAAAGCTTTGCAGGAAAGCTGGATTGGATATGAGTCCAACTATGTTTGGTGTTCATGGCTCTTGATCAAACATTGTGAGTCGTGATTCAATATTAAAATATTCAGTTTCAACACAACAATCATTTCAGAACTGGGTTAGCATTTGTGAACTAAAACCACTGCTAGTATATAACATGTGGCTACTTTTGCACCCATACAACCATTTCATCTAACATCTGTTTTCTCATAGTTCAAGTTTAATAGCGTCTATATTTCTCTGTCTTTTGTCATTTTTGACAACAGCATAAATGTATAGCTGGAACCGCAATCATTCCCTTGAAGATGCCCACATTACATTTAGTTTCAAGTTACATCCACTCAGGATCTCAGCTCAGCCTAGATTTAATGAAACCGATAGAGGTAATTTAAAATATCTAAAGCCACTATTCTACTACTATGAGAAATAACCTTGGAAAAGCTTACCCATGTGCATAGCAGTAAACTTCCAAATAGATTTGGGGACTCAGAACTCATCAAGTATATATTTTGGAGATAGGTGGGGACAAACTAGAGGGAATATTTGGTGCCTTCAAACCCTGCTTGTAAGCTTCCCAGCAGCATCCTACTCTGATTAGGCTCTTACTGATGACTCTCATATTCCTAAATAGGGAAGTGAGGACGTCACTTACCAGCTGTTCCGAGGCCACTAGTTTGAGAAACTTTTTGATGAAGTCAATAAGGGCTTGGATTGTGCGTGTTCTCTCTACTGCCCATTTCTTGGTTTTCATTATAGGGGTATCCCCAACAGCCTTGAGCAAAACATCAACTAGAAAGCAGAGAACATTGCAAATGAGAACAAATAGAAACACAGCAGAACATGTCACTGAAGTATAGTGAAAGAAAATCAATAAAATGTAGGAAACAAGGAGAAATGCAACAGAATAATTTGCAAAAATCTTATCATTGTAGAATTTATACACCTAAAATACCGCTGCTGAGCCCTTGAGGATATACATACATGGGTGTAGCTGGGGGGGGGGAGCTGTGTTCTCAAATCAAGTAAATAAAAATACTTAACTAAAAGTAGAAATTGTAGATTTGATATTTTTCTGAACATTTGGGGTAAAAAAAGTAATTTAAAACAACTACTGTTGAGACGTTTCGGTCCAAATCTGCTAGACAGAGCCAGAGGGAGGATGGTGACAGGTGGGTGTCCTGCCCACCCCTAACGTAAATAATAATAATAATAATAATAATAATAATTATACCCCGCCCATCTGGCTGGGTTTCCCCAGCCACTCTCGGCGGCTCCCAATCCTGGCTACACCCATGTATACATACAATAAAATTTAGTAATACGGGTGTCATTTATTGGTAGGGAACCAGAAGAAATCATTCGATTCATGGAGGCCTGGGGCGCAGAGCAAGATCAACGGAAGCACAACTGGCAGGTAAGCGGGACAATAGATCGGGACCTTTTAGAAACTTGACAGGACAGCGTGAGCCCTCAGCCGTTCAGGGAGGCCTGCGATACCTGCCTCGGGCGCCCAATACGACCCTCCCTCCCTCCGCCTCTCCCTTTCGGGGCGTCGGCCCTTTCGCCACCCCCCCCCCCGTTTACTTTTCTTCCTGGCGTCTCCCGCAGGTTCCTCGGTCACCGGGGAAACGGCCGAAGCGGGAGCCGACTCCAGCACCCCCAGCGTAGGCCCGGCCCCGCCCTCCGGGGCATCTTCGCCCCCTTCACCCCGGCCGCCCTCCTGAGGAGAAAAAGGAGCGGCGGCGGCGGCAGCACCACAGGGCTGCTCCTGCTCCTCGCCCAGCTCCGACATAGCAACCAAACAGCGGAAGCAGCATCCCCAGCGGCGCTCGCTTTCATAGGCTCCTGCCGGGGGCACGTGACCTTGCCGCGGCCGTTTTGTCCCTCGCGCGCTTCCGTCCTCGTCAGTCAGATGACCGTTTCTCTTCCCCGTTCCCGGCCCTCCTCCCCCCCACTTTCTAATCTTCTCGTCGTCACGTGAGCGAGGAGCGGTTCCAGCGCCTGTGGTGTCTTTCGGTAGAGGCGGGTTTTGAGGGGGCCGGAGTCACCCCCCCCAACCGCCTCTCCCCCCCCCCCGCCTCTCTCTCTCGGCTCTTCAGCAGCAGCTGCTCCTCCCTCACCATGATTAAAGCCATCCTGATATTCAACAACCACGGCAAGCCGCGGCTCTCCAAGTTCTACCAGCGCTATGTGAGTGGGGGCGAGGCGAGGTCGCCGGGAAGGGGCGGGCGGGCGAGCGGGCCGGACTCGGTGGCGTGGCTGTGTGGCGGGGGAGCTCCTTGCGAATGGGGTGGGGCGCCGTCGGTTCCCTTGGCGCCGCGAGGCAGCTGCCCTCTTCCCTCAGGAGGCGCCCTTCGCCCAGGCGGCTCCAGCCCAGAGAGACAAATATTCCTCTCTTCCCCTATGGCTTACTTTCAGGGAAAGCACTCTGCACATGTTCTCTGTGTCGGATTTACGTATAAGCTAATCAAGCTATAGCTTAGGGCTCCACTCTCTTGGCCCCCCCCCAAAAAAAAATAAAGGAAAAAAACTGGATGTATATAAGATAAAAAAACAAATAAAACCTACATACAGCAACAGTGTTTTGTGTTGTGTAGGCTCCTGTGGTGTAAGTAATGGGCTCCACCTGCTAGCCTGCTCCCTAAAATATCACTGGTTTGCTCATTTCTATATCAATTACTTTGATAAAATACGTATTTTGTTATGTGCGGCTTTAGATACCTATTAGGTCCATAAATTACCATATAGCATATATTCAACACAAAAAACAGCGACAATTTGTTGTTGACAAAGGAGAGCTGGACATATAAAGGGCCCCATTACCTTCAGTAGCTGAGGGCCTCATCAAACCTAAATCTGGCCCTGGTTCTCTCACTCCCTTCTTGGCATTTCTTCTCTCCGCCCCCCCCCCCCGGTGTTGGCACTGGCCCTTTCAAGCCGTGCTGCCGACTTGAATAAGATAATGGCAAAACAGACATTGCCATCACCAGAGTTACAACTACCCACCATGAACAACCCAACCAGTGGTTTCATATAGATATTAGATGACACTGGGGACAGTGTTGTCCCTAAAATGGCCTCCACCTATGCTTTTCAGTTCTGCATATCAAGACTAGTCTTAGTCCATGTAAGGGGAACAGCAAGCAGCTCCATCCACCTTGTAGCCATACTGCAGGACTGAAGGCAAGGAATGTTTCAAAAATGTTGCCCATGGATGTGCAGGCACTCCAGAGGCCAAACACAAGTCCTTTGTATTGCTCTGCTTTTCTTTGGACCACATCAGCGAGGCCGAGAGAGGGGAGTCTTGTTATACGGGTGACCCAGAACCTCCATACACACTGCCCAGGCTTGTGCCCCTGGGAGATCACTTCAATGCTGCTACCCAGTGGTTTGACGTTGCCCCCGGAGGCAAACTCCATTGTCTCTTGAGACAGGCAGATGCCAACTACAGCAGCAACAACAATGGGATATTGAATAGTAATGGTGAAGAAAGATAAATGTTGGTGGCACAGGGGGTTGCTTTGCTGTATTTCAGCACATTGGGCTGAGTGGGATGGGTAGGAGGATGGCAGCTCTAACGGTATTTTAGTGGGTAAGATGAGAAGCAGGTGATTATTGTTTGATGCAGAAGAGTTCTTATGTTGCCTGTTAGCTGATGCTTCCTTCTAATTAGTGACATGCGATACTCAGCCAGGCTTTGGGGTTATGGTTGGTATTGATCCTGAACCGTTAGGAATTCCAGGTTTGTAGTGTTTGGCACTATTAAATACACACAGAGAGAAAAGGTACTAAAAACTGGATGTTTGTTAGCAGGACAGAAATGTGTAGGGTATGTCACTTTTAAAGATTGCTTTCCGTATGACAAGAGGAAACATGGTGCTACCATTTCCAATCAGAAAATTTTGAGTATCCTTAAGTCTATTTTGTACTTGTGGTCATTCTGTTTTTGCTGTGTTTGCACATTGAAACTCATGTACATTTGCTATTCATGATGGTGTATTTGCCCAGGTTTTTTTTAATACAAAGAAGTGTACTTGTAGAAAAGTTGTTACATGTCAACCCAAAGTGACTCTGAGTTGGTTCCTTTACTTGGTGATTGTCAGAGGGGAGAAGGATAGGATGAGAACTATGCTGTATAAAAATTGCAGAGCCACCATCCTTAGTAACTCTGAAAGTTCTTATTTTTTTTAGTCACTTTTAAATACTGCAAAAAGGTATGTATTTGCATAAGCAAAGCTCGTTTCTTGTGTTGTGCTAATATAGAAATATTGTAATGTGGTAGAGTTACAGAACAGCTTAGGTGAAGTAAGTGCAAAAAACTTGCCAAGAAGGATTTTTAAATGTACCTTGTGAAAGTTTAAGGGGCTAGGTACAAATCTGATGTTTGTGTCTGTCTTTGTGCACAGCATCTTGCTTGACATGATGATTTGACTATGCTTCAGAGGATGAATCTCTGTTTAGGTAGTCACTCAGCTTTGAGAGTTAAACTAGAGGGATAGCTGTGGTAGCGTTTTGCAGTGACAACAATCTTAAGAGTTTTGTGGCACCTTACACAGACAAATTTATTGAAAGTTGATATAATAAATTAGTCAGTTCATAAGGTGCCACAAAACTCTGATAATGAATTAGAAATGGAAAAAATGTGGCTGTGCAAAATATACTAGTTTTAATGTAGTGATTTACTGGAATTGGATCAATTTGTGTGTAATAAATAATTTAGTTTAAATGCTACTCTTGCCCCAAAGCAAAATCGGAGATGCTAGTTGAATTTTCCCCCTGAAGAAATCAGTTTCAGCATTTCTGTATTACCCATTCAGAATAATAACTTCTTTTCTCTTGCACTAGGAGGGAGATATGTCTGTATGTTGATATTTTGTTTATTTCTGAAACAAAGTGCGGTATGGAACAGTACCAAGGGTGTGTTTGTGTGTGTGTGTGTGTGTGTGTGTACATTATATATCCCTCCTAAAATGTTGCACCAAAATTGTTACTTAGAGAACATAGTACTGGATAGGGATGGATCAGTGCTTATGTTATCCAACTGTATTTAGAAATATAGATTGTTTTACTACCCTAGTCTCTTTTCCTCCCCAGAGTGAAGATACACAGCAACAAATTATCAGAGAAACATTTCATTTAGTCTCAAAACGTGATGAAAATGTCTGTAATTTCCTAGAAGGTGGCTTGTAAGTATCCTGAATTGTATTCAGTTGTTAAAATGAAATATGAAGGTGGTGAAAAGTGTCCCACTTTGAAGACTTGGCATATCAACGTTATTTTGATTTTGTACAAGTCCAACATCAAAACCCATGACATTTCCTGTAAAATGTTTAGGCTTAGAAGACAATGTGCATATTCTGCTGTGATGCCTGATGGTGGCCGGATTTGTCACTGGTGTCATAGGGTATGGAGTGTTAGAGGAAGGGTAATGCCTCTGGTGGGGTACATGTGCTCCTTCTGGGGCAGTTTCTCCACCTTTGCTCCCCATCTTGCACTCAGCTCTCACCTGTGATTCCTAGAAGCTGTCAGCATGCAACAGCAGCCTCACTCTGGGAGATGGCTTTGATTAGCTGGCTAAACCCAGGTGCAGATCTTCTAGGATTCAAGGTCCCTTACTATGTTAGCAAGCACATGTTGTTGTATTAGGACCACCACTCTCAGCTTAATACACTGAGATATGAACGATCCTTTTGTTTGCCTGTCCCTTTGCATATACCCAAAGTAATCCAGTAAGTCTCTACTTAGCTGTAGCTTTCTGTTTTGCCTGAACTGGCAAGCCATGGCTACCAGCTTTAGAAGAAGGCATATGCACATTCTTATCTGGCGTTGTTGTTCATTTGGGTCGTTACCCTTTTCAGTACCAGCGTAGGTCGATGTTTGTACATTATCTGTTATATTGTACGTTACAATGTTTGTACATTTTATATGATATAGTCTTTATTATGAGGAGTCACTGCCTACTGATTTAAATGGTTTTGACTTTAATGTGTGTTTTATTTATTTGACAACATGTGTGTACTGTTTGATTGTAATAAAACCATCAGAGTGGTTTACCAAAATACCCAATACAATTATCAGTAAAAGAAATCAAGAACAAATATTCAAAACATGCACAAAATAATTAAACTCAACAGGAAGCTAAAACCAGATTAAAACACATGACATGGATGCATGTCTGGGTAGGCTTGCCTAAAGTAAAATGTTTGTAGCAGGTGTTGAAAAGACTACAGGGAAGATGCTTGCCCCACGTCAACAGACAGGGAGTTCCAAAGTGTGGGTGTTGCCACACTAAAATACAGATTTCTTATAAGTGCAGAATGAGGGTTATGTGGCATTTGTAACAGCGCTAGTTGTCCAGATTAAAGTGGCTGAGTGGCCCTACATGGTGTAAGGCAGGCTTGCAGGTCTCATAGAATTGGAAGGGATCTCAAGGGTCATCAGCAATGCAGAACACACACAGTCTCGACATAGTTCCCTATCAAATTTGGGACCATACTGGGCCCTGGTTAAGCTTTGCAAAGTGCTAGCAGTATGATTGCTGCACCACTAGGGGGAGCGGTCCCCAATTTTACCTTCTAGTTTAAAAAATGTTGTAGCTGCTAACAAATGCAATTTGGAATGTTGCAGTTAATTGTTAATGTTTATCTTGTTTCGTTTTAGATTAATAGGTGGATCTGACAACAAATTGATATACCGACATTATGCCACATTGTACTTTGTCTTCTGTGTTGATTCTTCAGAAAGTGAACTTGGCATTTTAGATTTAATACAAGTAAGTAATTTATAGAGGATTTTGTATGTTTTTGTGCTGTTGTTTTTCTTTATTTTATCTACTAATAAAGAAGTTTAATCTACAGTGTCCATCTTTAGATGTAAGGTAATGAGATCCTGAAGTGTTTACTGTATTCCACTAAAAATATTTTGGGTGAACTATTGTCTAAACTGACCTGTGTATTTGCTTGCCTGTAAGGCTTGACATGCCTATGTATAATAATACGGACAATATTTCTCAACACTAAGTATTAATACTTATATGGGGAGGAAATTATGTAACAATGGCCACACTATTGTATGTTTTGCTTCCGGTATTGGTGCTAGGAAGCTGATTGTGAGCAAAGTTTCTTACTTTGAACAGAAGCTCACTTGGATTGGGTGCTCTGGAGAACCACTCATAGAACAAAATGTTGCCTGCATGTAACAACAGCTTGGAAAATAAAATATATTTCCACTGGAAATGAGGCACTAGGTTTTCATGATATGCAAAAATAATCATTTCTGAAAGTGTTTCTGTTGCTATTCATTTTGTGTACATATGTAATCTGTGGTAATCAAGTGGCGTGCGTTTTTGTAACTTCTCAAACCTATTCCTAAGGCAACTGTGTGCATGCTTGGGAGCAAGACCTACTGAACTTAGTGGAATGTACTTCTGAATAAACATATATAGAATTGTGCTGCATGCTTATTCTTTTGAAATGTGTTAGATATATAAGAAGTCAGCAGTTCAGGATGTGACTGTTTAACAGGGCTACATGGGTTTTGATAAATGCAATCTGAGTCAGGACCATTCTGGTGATGTGGCTACAGTGGTAGGACATGGGAAACAATTACTGTATTTTTCTCTCTATAAGACGCACCAGACCACAAGAGGAGGAAAACCAAAAAAAATAATATTCTGAATCTCAGAAGCCAGAACAGCAAGAGTGATCACTGCTCAGTGAAAGCAGCAATCCCTCTTGCTGTTCTGCCTTCTGGGATAGCTGCGCCGCCTGCATTCGCTCCATAAGATGCACACACATTTCCCCTTACTTTTTAGGAGGAAAAAGTGAGTCTTATAGAGCAAAAAATACGGTAAATGCTATATTGCTCACTAGGTAGTCTTTGCAAGCCTGTTTTCAGCCTGCAGAGCTGTTATCAGGCTAAAATACCACTTTTTATGCTTAATTTTAATTAAAGGAGGGGCGCGTTCCATTTTGTTCCACAAGAGGGTGTCCTACCACAGCAAAACAAAAGGCTAGCTGTAGTGTGACACTCATTGTCCAAGTTTGAAATGACTCTGGAAATTTTGGTTGTAATACATACCCAGGGAGGCTTGCCTGGCGCCTTCATTACATATCTTTAGGTGCCAGGCAAAAACATTCCCAGGTCTTGGACTTACTAAACAATCTATGATCTTTTAAACTGTGTGTTTGGGGCAGGTTGTTAGGGATTTTTTTTTGTCATTATGGTATGTATTTTTGTGTTCTTACATTGTAAACCACCCTGTGATCTTTGGATGAAGGTCAGCATAGAAATTTAATAAGAATAACTATAACATAACAAAAGTAGTCATAAACAATAAATAAAACATTTAAAAATACAAAACCAAACTGAATAATCTTCACATAAATCACAACAAAATCTAAAATAAAGATACAAAAAGAACATCAGCAACCCTGAACAACAACCCTCCCCCCCAAAAAAACCCAGTCTGCTCATGTTATGATGCTATGTAAGCTTGTACAAACATGTTTTTATTAATTTTAATATTTTGTTAGCAAAGAGAATCCATTCAGTAAACTTGAGTTCAGAAATTTGTTCACTTTATAAAAATATTTATGGGTGTCTCTCAGGAAAAATCCGTATATAGCTGTGCGGGGTAACCTATTGTGCTTACTTAGAAAGGAAAGTCTGGGACTTTTCATATATGAGATGCATTCTAGGATAATCCTCAGGATGGACCTAATCCATCATGCCATATATCCCTGCTCCCATCATGCTTCAAAATGCTTATATTTGGTGAGGCTGAAAGTTGGGGGTGAGCTAGGAAAGGACGCAAGGGCAGTGTTGTTGATGGGCAAAACTAAAACCTTAACCCATTACTTCCAGGTCTACCCATTACTTAACCCATTACTTCCAGGTGTAGCTCCTAAAAATGGTTCATGCAGCCTGTCAGTGCAGATGGTTTAACTGATAGGAATAAAGAGTTTATAGCAATAGAGAATGAAGTAAAGTTCCACTGAACTCTAGGGGATCATATGATCATTTCTATTTACCTAGATTGTTTTAATTGTAAGGAATGCAATCAGTGCTGTTTTTCTAGAAACAGAGGTGCCAGAACTCACTAGAAACACCTCCCTTGTTCTCTTATAATAGCAATGGCACTCACCTGAAAGGTGCCGGAACTGAGTTCTGGCGAGTTCTGGCTGAAAGAAAGCCCTGGTTGTAATATACCTTGAAGCCTGGTAACCCCAACTTCCTCTTTTTGGTGCATATATAATGCATTTTCCCCCTCACCGCTTTCCCCTTGTACTGAAGGTTTGTATATTTTACTATTAAAACATTCTGGTAGAATCTTAAATGGCAATATTTGAAAGCAGGAAGAAAATCATTTTGATAGGTGCCACCCTGGTCCACTAGGAGACATTTAGTGATTTCAGGGGGAAATATTTTCTACCTAAAATTGTTCCCTTATGTTTGGGAGTCCAGTTGAGGCAAATGTCTAGCTTTAATGAACTCTGTTGCTCTTTCCCAGAACATTTTTATATGTTTTGGTTGTATATAGTCAGTATAAATGCTGCTTTTAGTAATAGCCTTACGTAGTCATGAATTAAATAAAGTAAGTTTCTGTCTCCTTTTAAATGGATTAATCTGCGTGCATTACTGCGTGTTTGTGGCAGAACATCATAGCTCCTAAATAGAAGCAGTATGAGGCTGCTGCTTGTATACTACAAATGGCTCTAGCTTTAGCAGATAATAAAGCAACTGTCTAGAAATTTTAATGCGATGTTCAGGCAATGCCTGTCTCTTCGGGCAGATGAGATTAAATGTTAAATTGGTTAGTCCGCTCTCAAATCTGTTTTGTTGTTGTTGTCAGGTTAAGCATTTCAGCATGTCTGTGTAAACTGTGCCACAAAAATTTGATAGTAAAGCTTTCAGACCATAGTAACAGACACAGTGTGAAGTATTTAAAGTAATAAAGTGTGAATTTTGTTTGAAGCGTGCTATATTTGGCTAAGGAACAGGAATGTCAAGCTGTCACATTAGTGAAGTTTGATCTTCAATAATGTACTTGGGATCTGCCAAGAGAATCCGCTGTGTTAACCCCACATGTTATACAGATACATTAAACTTCCATAATTCTTGATGGTCTTCTGTGTTCTGATTGCCACATTTACAGTTTGTCCATAATGGAATGATGGAGTTGCTATAAAACTTTGACCCCTTGCAAATTTTCTCCCCACAGGTATTCGTAGAAACGCTAGACAAGTGCTTTGAGAATGTCTGTGAACTGGATTTAATTTTCCATGTGGATAAGGTAGTGTGGTGAGCTGCTGTAACATGAATTCAAAGTATTCTGTTGACCAGAAAATCACATTCTTGTATCTGTCAGAATGGTAAACAGTCCCTTTCCTTGTTCAAATGTCATTTGATATTAGCTAGTCACTTCTTAACTGAATAAATATACCCTGAAAAATGAATAGTAAAATTCACATGTATTTTCGAAAACATAATTGCAGCATTGCTTTTGTCAAGTCAAAACTCCTGACCTCCATTTTACTGATCTGCTATCCTACACATGGTTTCCTTGCCTTGAATACTGCAGGATTAACTTCTGAGACTTAACAATGCATACAATTGTGCTATAAAAAAAAACTGGTGGTATGCAGAAAACCCCTTGATTCCCTTGGCATATAGTCTTAATTCAGAATTGTAAGTTGCTTTTGACGTTTTCCTATCTGGTAGCTGCAGAAAAGCATGACTCAGGCTAGTGTATTGTCCATGGGAAGATAATTTTCCATGCAGAGAAGAACATATTGCTTAGGCAGTAAAAACAAAAAAATTATAAGAAAATTGTGTGGGTTGAAAACTTAAAAGTACTTGCCCCACTCCTCTCCCCCCCCCCCAAGTTGTAGAGCAGCTTGATGCTTGTTGAGAGAATGAGGCAGTGGAGGGAATAAGCTGCTTAATTCTTCCATTAGGGAAAGAAACAACAGGCCAGAAGTTTCTGTAAAGAACATAAAATTGCTTTAAATGATTGTCAAGATTTCTTCCACATGAGCATGACTTGTATCTGCACTGCCAAGTTTATAATAACTTGCAGCGGAAAGGCAGTTGGTTAAAGATACTAGAAAACAACTTTTCTGAGCGCCTGAACTGAACTTGCTCCCTTGTATAGGGAATTTTTCCCCACCCTCCGGCTTCACTGTTTGACACCTCTTATAGTTCCTCTGAGGCTATTGTTACTTCTTCCAAGAAATTAGATGTGGACTAGAACAGTAAATGTCTGTTTATGAAGACTAGCCAGCTCCCCCCACCTTTTTCCTATGGGAAGTATTCCTCCTTACTAACAGTTGCTAATTTGTCTCTACATCTGGGTTTGAAGGAGGATGAAAAAAATTGCCCTTCCAATTTTTAAGAACATTTTTTTAAACACTCTTCCACCCTGAAGCCGAAATGTTTTCAGTGATGTGATTTCTGAGCAATCTAATATTTCTTTGCTTCCTAGGCTAAGTCTTATTCCCCCATGGCTTATGCCTTCCCTCTTTTGTTGATTTCTGCAAATCTGTTCCTTGCCAAGGTATTTTGAAATAGGCAGAAAAACAGCTATTGGGATAAATCATGTAAACTAAGTGCACTTATCCTGATTTGCGCAACTTCAGCGCATAGAGCCCTCACTGGAAATCATTGTCCTGGAATGTTCTGTGTAACTTATATACAGGCAGCTCCCCATTTATGCGGGGATTGAGTCCCGCCCTGCCCCCTTGCGGTGTCGAAAATGGTGTACGTATCAAGTGTCACACACGGGCCGCTTGCGTGCAAATGGGGACTTCCCTATACTGCATTTGAAATGCCAGAGTAGTTGCATATGTTGCACAGTTATGCTTGAAGCAGATACAATACCTGAAATATTGGTAACTGCAAAAAATTATTCAGCTGCATGCAATGTATGTTAGCCTGCAGCCAAAGCACCTGAAGGTTCTTGATTTTAATGATTTAATTTCAAATATTTTTGGACTATACAAGTGTGAGACTCCGTGTCTCATTTTACTGGAAAATTTTCAATGCGGCAGCTCCCTGAACTGGAGGATAGTATTTTATTTTTTAAAAAATCAGTTCTACTTTACACTGTGTTACGAGTTAAAAACATGTGCTGACAGTGTTCTGCAAACGTGGAAGCTTTTATAGATGAGGAAGAAATATCCAGTATGGAAAGCTGGTAAACATAGGCTATATAGGCATCAATATGTAATCTTTATGCAACACTTGCAAACAATATTTATTTGAAGGGCCTCATAAAGGAGGTGTGCAGTTTTGTGTTGGATGATCTGGCAATCACACATTTTCTATGCGTCTTTAACATTAAGTCCATAATATTTTAGCTGCATCTTATGAGCAACCAGTGTTGCAGCTCTAACTTAAATGTTTGCTATGTTACTAATTTTACAAAGAAGAAAGGAATTTAAGAGCCTAACCCCCTGCAATGCAGGAATCTCAACTAGATAATGCATGACAGATGGCCATCCAACCACCAAGGAAGGAGAGTCCACCACCTCTTGTAGGAGTCTGTTCCACTGTCAAACAGCTCTTACTGCCAGAAAGTTCTTCCTGATGTTGAGTCAGAATCAGTGGCGTAGCGTGGGGGGTGCAGGGGGGGCCGGCCGCACCGGGCGCAACATCGGGGGGGGGGGCGCGCTCGCACTCGCAGCTCTCTGCCCCTGCCTGGCTCACTCACTCTCTCTCACTGCAGTGCTGGCTGTGCGAATCCGATCCGAGCCGCTGGGTCGCCGCCCACTGTGGAGGGGGTGGATGCCAGGCGTGCGGTGCGGAGAGAGAGCGAGGGACTATCTGGGGGAGGGACAGTGCAGCGGCCGCCCAGCGCAGCGCTGAGCGCGGGAGAGAACCACACCAGACCAGCCCAGGCAGCAGCAAGAAGAAGCTGGCAGCGGCGGCAGGTTAGGGGTTAGGGGGCGCAAATTACTTGCCTTGCCCCGGGTGCTGACAACCCACGCTACGCCGCTGGTCAGAATCTCCTTTCTTGTAACTTTAATCCATTGGTTCGAGTCCTGCCCTCCAGAGCAGGAGAAAACAAGCTTGCTCCACCCTCCATGTGACAGTCCTTTAAATGTTTGAAGATGGCTATCATATCTCCTCTTAGTCTTCTCTTTACTATGTGAAACATACTCGGTTACCTCAACTGTTCCTCATAAAGTTTGGTTTCCAGACCCTTTATCGTTTTAGTTCCCTTCTCTGCACATGTTCCAGTTTGTCAATATTCTTCTTATATTTGTGAAGCTGGTTCTTCCTGCCTAAGTGCAGAACTGTACATTTGTCTCTGTTGAAATTCGTTTTGTTAGGTTGGGCCCAGTTCTCCAATCTATCAAGGTCATCTTGAAACCCAATTCTGTCTTCAGTGTCAATGGCTACCCCTCCCAGTTTGGTGTCGCCTGCAAATTTGATTAGCATCACCTCAGTTTCTTTCTCCTAATTGTTTATAAAGAATTTGAACAACAACAGCCCAGTACAGAACCCCACGGTAACCCATTTGCTACTTTTTTCCAGAATGATGAGGAACCATTAGTGAGCACTTTTTGGGTTCGGTCAGACAGTCGGCTACAAAGCTGCCTAATAGTTTCCTCGTCCAGTCCACATTTCACCACCTCTCCACAATAATATTTGATTAATTTGCTTGCCTTTGTTTCTTTTGTCATTTTTTTTTTTTTAGGTCCATAATATTTTGGCTGAAATGGTGATGGGCGGAATGGTTTTGGAGACCAATATGAATGAAATTGTCACCCAAATTGATGCTCAAAATAAATTGGAAAAGTCTGAGGTAAGAATGGAAAGAATTGAAGCCAATTGGAGCATGGTCACACAACCTGCATGATTTGAAACTGTCATGTATTGTTTAGTATTGCCTTATACTTAGCTACATGTACTGTTACAAAGAAGCATTTAGTATGTAGCATGTTGAAGCCTTTGTTGATTGCTGAAATAGCTGAACATCCCCTTTTCCTTCTACTGAACTCCCATCTGCCATTGGCATCTGTGTATCGAAAGATTTCTGAGCTTCCTTCAGTCAAGGCTTAATTTTGTGTTGATTTTTTAGAACACCCTATTGAAGGGTGTGTGCATGTTAAACAGAAATGAAACCTGTTAATAAAATGAGATGCTAGAGATTGCTAACCTGCATCCCGCCAGATGCAACTGAACTGCAGCTTCCATGATCTCTGACCATGAGCTGGTGCCAGTTCAGTAACATCTGGAGGGTCACTGTGGCCAAAGCGGCCAAAGAAGCTCGAGCAAGAAACAGATTAGCATGGCTAATCCTAGATTCTGAAGTGCTATGTAGTTCCACACTATAGAACTTGGTGAATTTGACATCTAGCGCCACTTCATCCTAGGAACGATTTCTTTTCCTTCCCAACAATGTAAGCCAGTATGTCTGGAGTTACACAACCAGAGTGTTAAACCAGTGGGCACCTAGAAATTGATATGGTATCTTGCCTTTCCCACAAATAATGATCTGGGAATATAAAAGGCATAAACAGAAAAAAAAATCAGGAATTCTTATAGTCAAGCTAAATGACTGCATTTCAGTCTTTTTTAATTATTATTTTTAAAAATCAGTTCTGGAGAACATCGCTTTAATGCTTTCCCCATGCTGTTCCTCCCCACTCCCCCACTACTGGAGGAGGAAAGTTGCTTTGAGGGCAAATCCCTTCCCTTCCAGGGCAAATAGCTTCAGTCATGCATAAATGTCTCATCTAGTTTCAATTCTTAGTCTTTTGTATATAAACAGGTATGGCACACATTATTCTTCCTTGTGTTACCTAAAAATTAAACTCATTTTGCAACTAGTTTGCTCATAAAATTGAGAGGTGAGTTTCCTAACAGTTTGTATTGACCCTTCACATAGCTTTTGCAATTTGGTTGGACATTTTCCGTCCCTTTGCCCATCTTACGTACATTTAACATGAGCAGTAGAGCATTGGCTGAGAAGCACAGAAATTTGGTAGGTCATGAAGCAGTGCATGGCACTATGCTAGTACAAGAATATCAGCAAAGATCCAATCAGTGAAAACTAGAATCTGACTTTAAATTATCCAGAACTGAGTTTCTACAGATGGTTCAAGAGAACTTGCCTAAATAAGTTGTTCATCCTTTTTTGAAGCACAATTTAAAACAAAAGCCGAGGTTTAAATTATTGATCTGTAACTTGGACTGTCAAATAATTCTCTCGAAGCAGGCCACTTAAGTGAAGTGGACAAGTTTAACCTCAATTTCCATTGTTTCATCTACTCAGCTTCTATTTTCTGTATAAAACTTGACAGGTAAATAATGGAAAAGTAATTAGATCATAGTGGCTTTATCTTCACTTAGAACCACTTCTTGTTACAACAAACACCAATTAAAAGAGTGGATTAAAAAAGGCAACGTAATCTCTGGAGGGACTAATTGGTCCTTTTTAAGCTACCTGGTATATTCTTTTGAAGATCTACTTGTTAACATATCAACTCCTACTTCAACTAATCCAAAATATTCGCTTTGATCCAAAGTGCCCCTTCTGCTTGTGTGTAGGGTGTGTGTGTGTGTGTGTGTGTGTGTGTGTGTGTGTGTCTGATTCCTCTCAGCTCCAGCACCCCATGCTATTCTGGAGTGTCCTCTGACCCTCGGGTGCATTTTTAGGAAGTGTGAGTTGCAGTGGGAATAGGCGGAAGGGAAAGCCCTGGCGTGTGCTCAGAGCACTGCATGTGGCTCTTTGGATCCAAGTCATTAGTTCACCTATTTGTTTATCTTAATTGGTGTACAAAGCTCATTTTCCAAAAGTGAACAGAATTGGTTCTGGAAGCTGTAGATTTAATCTTCCTAGCACAGAACTTGGAAGACAATCCAAAGCAGTGTCAAGTTTGTTCAGCTTTTAAACAGTTTAGCCTCCACTGCACAGCCCATTTCCCCCGGATGGTTTTGTTACAAGTGAATAAGGCTGTTCCAGAGTAAATGGGTGCATTATTGCCTCGGAAATCAATGATTTTTAAAAACATGATAATGTTTGTCAGCTGAATTTGTAGGGCAGGATATGGAACAACAGCACCTTCTGCTTCTCTCTTTGCAAGCTATAAACAATTTTAGTTGTTAGTTTCTGATACCTGTTCACAGAAGCAGAAGGTGTGCCATTCACTCCAAAAGTTAGTAAGACTTCATTCAAGCCTTTGGTAAGAGAGTTTAGGATAAGGATTTGTCAGGCACTATCAGTGACATGGAAGGTGTCCTATATAAAAACTGGGATACTTGTGGTGTACTTGCAGTGTTCAGCTGGGTGTAAATTTGGTCGTTTAAGTCACTCCTCATTTTTTCCAAACCACCTGATCTTTTCTAGTTCTTTCCATTCTTCTCTTTACAGACCTTTATCTTTCAGTCTCCCAGACAGGACAGGTAGATCCAGGTATTGCCAATTTTCAGAAAAAAAATGTGCTTCTATAAAATAAAGGGAAAGCAAAATGATGTCAAAGGCAATAACTAAATTAGGCCAGACTCAAAAATTATGTGTTGATAAACCCATATTAGTCTTTGTAGCCTACTTTTTGTGCTAGTTTCCCTCATCTTTTATTGCCTGTAGTGTATTTACTAGATTGTCATTGACTTCATATATTTTTATTTTTACTTTCCCCTTTCATTAGTGTTCAACTTTAGAATTTATAATTTTTTTAATGTAGCTTTATTATTTGTATGCTCACATTACAAAGCAATCTGATTGTGCTAGTGCAAATGTAATGCTTCTGATTGCTTATGCAATCAGAAGCAGAAATTAGGGTTGTGTGTTTCCTCTTCTCTGCTCCCATTTGTTCCTTCTGGAGCATGGGTTTTACCATCTGGCTTAACCACAGCATAACTCTTAGGTCAGCTATTAAGTAAGGCTGTTTAGGCTTTCTGCTGAATGAGAATCTGAAACTAAGGTTCCGGGCAGATTTAAAATTCTGGATAAAGAGGAACCCTGGCTATCTTCAGTTATAATTAACATCACTGGTGATGTAACACTTAAACATGGAGAATGCCACAAGGACTTCATACTCTTGAAAGGAGGCAGAGTAGCAGCACATCATCTCATAAACCACTTCCAATTGCTTTAAAAAAGTTTGCAAGGACTATTGATCCCCAATTACAAATGCAGTAATACAAATTGAATATTTTAAGTTTTGCAGAATAAACTTTATTGGTGTGGAAGCATGGATAATCCCAAGGGTAGGGTTTGAATTTAGTGGAGCTTCTGCTCACACTTGCAGATGGCGACTTGGATTTTTGCCATCGTGTGGCATTGAGAACTATCCTAGAGGGTTGTCTGACCCTTGGGAATGACTTTTAGGGGGCTGCAAAAGGAAGGAGGTAGGTAGGTAAGCCACAGTCCATGGTCAGAATGTTCTTCTTAAGTAAGTGTGATGCTCCAGGGAAGGAATTTTCCATTTTTAACTTGTGAGGTAATAGTGTTAGAGATGAAGTGCTACCAGATGAAGCTTTCAAAATTAGCTTCTTGTGTATTTTCAAGCTAATGCCAAAAATGAATCTTAGAAGTGCGTGTTTTTAAAAGGTAGCTGAGATTCAGGAAACAAAAATCAACCCCACGCTGTATTGTGGATGGATGCATGAATTAAATAAATAGCCCCACTGCCAGTCGAATTGAGCTGTAATGGTACATATTGCAAACATAGTGCATCTAATTTGTATTATTTTAATTTACACAGAGATATTCTGTGATTCTGTGCTTTAACTGAGATTCCTGCATTGCAGTGGGTTGGACTAGATGACTCTTGGGGTCCCTTCCAACTCTGCAATTCTATGAGTCTTACGATTTTGAGGACTCAAATTTTAAAAGCAGTCAAAACTTGTGGAAATTAAAAACCAGTCAGAGTAATAATGTACAGATGAGGAGAATCTTTTTTTAGAACTCAGTGAATTGAAATAACTTCCACAGAAAGGGAAAATTGCACACAATAAGCTTCAGGACGGAGATATTTCTGGGTAGACTTCTCTTCCAGAGAAGAAAAAAAGCTGCAATCGTAGTTCTGTATACGCTAAATGTCAGGCGGACCCTTGACCCTGTTGGTTACAAGTAAAATCCTATTATGATATCTTACTTGTACCATTATTATATTTGAAAGGAAACTTCAGATATTTGTTCTAATTGTTTTAGAAGATGAAAAATTCTCTATAGAACTGGTTCTTAGCTAATTTTAAAATGTTATAAGTAGCTAAATGTGTCTTCATTCAGTTAAACTGTGGGTGGGAGCAATAGCTTAAAGTGGCCATATTGGACAGGATTCAAACTAAAAGTGACCAAAATCATGGAATAATTTTGTATATTGTGAAGCATAATTTAGATCATAAGTAATCCAGCCAGTTAAGTTTGATTTAATTCCCCCAAACCACAGAAAACATTCTACAATTAAGAAAAGGGGTTTTAATTAGTGTGTGTTTTCTTTTTATGTAGTATTGCTCTATTTTACTTTCTGCTTGTATATGTTGTTTTTTATTTTTGGGTCTGGCAATTTTTAAAGGAGATGACAAACAAACAAAATTTTAAAAAACCATGCCCATCCATTACTATCGCTGTGATCCAAGTGCTTGAAATTTCCAAGAGTATGTCTAAGTCTTCTATCTGTTTGGCATTTTGATATACTTGCAGACTTCATTTTGTTTTTTCTCTAATTCTGTTCATTTATTTAACCTCATGAGAAGAGAACATGACCATTCTTTTATATTCTGTAGTGCATCCTTCCATCCTATTCATAACCCTGCTGCTTTGAATCATACTTGTTCTGGGAAGAAGGGTTAATGCAGAACACCAGCAGCTGTGATATCCAAGTTTCAAACATGTGGGAGGAGTCACTTCCAAGAAAGGTGCATATAAAAGGACTCCCCTTTTATAATGAGCACAAGCTCTTGGGACGCTAACCTGTCCATATGTCTTCCAAGGAAGTATTGGAAGGTAGCTGATAGAATCCTCCTATTCTGGAGATAATACAGATTTAAAGTGATCATCGTTACACACTTTTGATGTTAATTAAACGCATGTAATGTGCTACAAAAGATGAAAAAAATGCACAACTTCCATATTACTAAATAGTGTCCTGAAAGTTCTATTATTTTCTGCTGAAAGGGAAATGGCTTTCCTAGTTGTGTGAACTGGGTGAGTGTACTTAATTGTGTCACCTCAGCCTTTTTACCGTGCTCAGTTTATAGCCACAAGCCAGTATTTTAAGTTCTGTGTCTATCCAGTGGCTTTTGACGAAGAACTGAAATGCCAAACTGCTGTGTGCTCATTTAATTTGAGATTATAAAGCAGCTGGGGGAATGTGTTGCCTGGTTAGTTGCAATTTGAGCTGTCTGTAAGTTCATACTGTACTTCTGAAACTCTGTGGAAACGCTTAAACATAAATGTGTAGACGGGATATACAGTCTGTCCTTAGCAGTAAAAGGAGCACACAGATGAAGGGTGCTGAATCCTTCCTTTGTGCCTCATCTGCCTTCATTGCTCTAGCCACTCCCTTTCCAGCTCTGATACCAGGAGCGAGACGGGAATGGGTTTAGGAGGTAAGATGAATAAACAGGTCTCTCCCTAAGGTCCCTTTCCTTTGACAGACGCCATCCCATCTGTCTTATGTGAACTGGATGGGCTCACAAAAAGCAATGCATGTTTGCCACAATCTTCTGTAATTCGTTCCCAATATTTGATGTGTTTTAGGTAAAGCATCCAAGTATTTATAAACATTATTCCAAAACTGTTCACATTGTCTCAGAAGTACTGTGTGACCTGTATCCCATGCTTAAAGTGATGTATGTTAAATCCAGCATTCTAGTTTAAATTGGCAGATGTCAATTCACCAAATTAAATATAAGGTCCTGGTCCTCTTCTCTTATAGTGGTGTATGGGTAAATATGTTGTCTTGTCTGTTCTGGCATCTGCCCAGCATTTATGGATGGGAATAACCCCAAATGTACATATTTCCCCCCCTAAGGTCTGCTTATGGAAATCATATAAAACAAAGTTGGTGTCTTTAATAGATGGTAGCCAGTCGTGGTATACATGAATACTGACATTCCCAAATGACTTTATTATTTTGGGTGTAGAAGAGTGTTTTTATGAGGTTAATAACAACAGTTTCAGGTTGGTTAAAAGAGGGTTTTTTTCTTTTTCTGTTCAAAGTAAAGTAGGGTGAAGGGATACCGGAATGTTTGACAGGAATAAAAAAAGGAATAAAAAGCTGCCATGTTAATCAACATAAAGCTAGAAATGTGTGTTTTCTTTTGTATGCTGCTTTGAAGTGGGGTGCCAAGGTCATTCACATTAAATCAGTTCAACTAACTGGCTGGATATGAAGGAGTTCCCAGGGCAAGGGATGAGTTCACACACTAGTCCAGTGTTTGTAATGGACATTGGCAGGGCACAAAAATGGTGCCACCTTGCAAATGATATCATGCCATCAAGTTCTGCACCGAAACATCCAGTGAGCATCTCTGCTCATTCTAGCTCTAATGTATAACCCAAATTTACAAAAGCTGCTTAAGAAGTTATGTTCACAGTCAAAGCCATTTCCTAGGCATCTGATCTTGGAACTTAATCAGCTGTTCCACCTGGCCTTTGAATGCCTATAATTTTTAACCCATTCCTCTCCCTAATAAATAGGTTGCTTTTTTAAAAAAAAACAACACTCATTGAGCTCTGCCTACTCCTGACTTTCAGCTGATAGGCACTTTGTCCCCAAGACTTTGGGAGGCAAAATTGCTCTGTTTGAAGTTTCCTGCATCTTCAGTCTTAGACATCTTCGGGAAGACATCTGAAGGCAGCCCTGTTTAGGGAAGCATTTAATGTTTGATGTTCTATTGTGCTTTTAATTCTGTTGGGAGCCGCCCAGAGTGACTGGGGAAACCCAGCCAGATGGGCAGGGTATTAATAATAATAATAATAAATAATAATAATAATAATAATAATAATAATAATAATAATAATTTACTTAAGGCCATATCTGCATACTTTTGATTCCATGAAATCCCAAGGCTGAGAACATGTGAGTGGATGCATGTTACAGCAGTTATCTAATTTAGACCATTTATAGGTGGAAAATCATGAGTTTGCCAGGGCTTAATCAGCCATTAGATGAGGCTATCACAAGATTTAGGACTTGTGAGCAAATAAACATTGCCAGAGAGGCTGTTTACACTACATTTCTTCTGCTTTTGATATAAATAATAAACAAACAAACAAATAAATAAATAAATTTGTATTCTGCTCTTCATTTGAAGATCCCAGTGTGGTTCACAGCAGAAAAATACAAAATGAGAATACAAAATACATAACAAAAAACAAACAAACCTGGAAGAATTTTGAGGGATGATCAGAAGTTATGCATATTTTCATGTGATTATATTGGGATTCCAGGGTTCTGGCCAGTTCACAAGGGCATGTCCTGGTTTTCCAATATGGTACCTACTTAAGCTAACCTGTCTTAAACATTCCGATTCAATAGGTGAACATGTGTAATAAATCTAGCCTTTCTAACCTCCCCCCCCCAATTCAGTTGAAAGGAACTTTGAAAAATTGCAGGAGCTTTTATGTGAAGTTATCTTCTGCTCTAAGGCTGTGCATGCATACTTGGGAGTAAGTGATGTTTAACTTGGTAGAGTTTAACTTAGCAGTAAATACCTATGGTGTATTATATTTCCTTTTTTGCTAATTTGGTGCCCTAATTGTATTTTCAACAATTAAGTCAGCATTTATTACTATTCTGCCTTTTTTGCATCTTTGTAATAAAACGACATATAAATCCTGATTCAAGCTTCCTAATTTTGGAAGCTAAGCCCTTTCTCTTAAAAGTGTGTGTTGGGAAGGAGAAGACCAGAAGTGTCAGTTGTCAAAAAAAGCACTGACTGGATTTTGTTGGGTGACAGTCAGTTAAAGGTTAACTAGATTAGGAATGCTGTCTTCCTCTGTATCCATCCCTGTTGAAATTTGGGCAGTGCAATGTGACTTTCATGCATTTTTGCAAGGGATACTAGTAATGACTAAACATTATTGCCAAACTGAGTATTTAGTGGAGTGGGGTATAAGTTGGGTTAGGAGGAAGAATTTAATGGCAGAAGATGAAACAGGTGGATTCTTTTTTCCTTTGCTGCCATTCTGATCCCAAGCATACTCAGAAATAAGACTCATAGAACTCAGTGGGGCTTGTGTTCAAGCATGCTTGGTTGGCATATGTCATGTAGGTTGTAACACATTTCAGATATATTTCCTTGTGAAAAGATTGCTGGAGTTTGAAATAGTTTTTGTTCCATTGTATAAATACTTAAAGGGTATTTAGAAATATTGCAGATTAAGAGGATAATGGTTCTGGTGATCATTTAACAAGCTTTTTGAAAGTAGTGAACTTCTGATATGGACAAATGCTTGTACTAGAAAAAACACAGTAGCCCTGTATTTTAGGTAGCTCTAATGAAGGCCAGGGGAAGCCTGAACCCTTAAACAAAATGCTTATAGCACAGCTAGGGACACTGTAATGCTGCTGAGACCCCAGTTACCCACCATCTTAGTATCCCAGAAGCAATTGCCGTATTTTTCGCACCATAGGACGCACCGGACAATAGGACGCACTTTGTTTTAGAGGGGGGAGAACAAGAAAAAAAAATTCTCCCCCTCTCTGCCCAGCGCCCCTTCAGCGAAGTGGCAGGAGGCGCTGTGCAGAGAGGGGAGAACTTTCCCCCTCTTGTTTTCCCGCTCTAAAACAAGGTGCCGTTTAAGGTGCGTTCAGGCGGCTACCTTGGAAGCCTGGAGAGCGAGAGGGGTCGGTGTGCACTGACCCCTCTCACTCTCCAGGCTTCAGGTTCCTTTCGACCTGCTCTTTGGGGCTGGCGGGGGGAAGCCCACCACCAGCCCCAAAGAGCAGTTCAGGGAGCAGCGGAGAGGCTCCTGCCATAGCCGTGCATCACCTCTCCAGCCGGGAGAGGGTCGCGGGGCTATGGCTTCTTTAGCCCCGCGCACGCTCTCCCGGCTGGAGAGGTGACGCACAGCTATGGCAAGAGCCTCAATAGCCACGTCACCTCTCCAGCCGGGAGAGGGTCGCGGGTGCTTCTTAGCCCGCGCGCGCTCTCCCGGCTGGAGAGGTGACGCGGGGCTGTAGAGGCTCCTGCCATAGCCGCGCGTCACCTCTCCAGCCGGGAGAGGGTCGCGGGGCTATGGCGTCTTCGCTCCATAGGACGCACACACATTTTCCCTTCATTTTTGAAGGGAAAAAAGTGCGTCCTATGGAGCGAAAAATACAGTATACATTTAAATTAACATAGGCAAAGTTTCTTTCATGACTCCCACGGCACCTAGCAAAAGCCCTTGACTAAGGGTGCTTCTGCAGTAAGCAGCTTCTCCCTGTCTAAAGGAAGAATGCAATAAACTAGTATATGAAGCAAAATATTAAGCCAACCTTCCAGGCAAGAAGTATACTGGCTTGCCTGTACTTTGTCACAGAACAGCTTGGTGTGAGCCCGGAAAGTTTTCTGCCAGAAGGAATTGTTCTCTACCCTGGATTAATTTCAAGGGAGTGTGGAACCTTAAAATTAAGAACGTAGTTAGACAAATTTATGTGACTATTAATGTTCATTTGTGAATCAAAGTATGTAAGAGCTAAGCCTAGCCTTGTAAAGCAGGACTGCAAGCCATAAACATCTTGGTTAATTAAATTCATTCATCTGTGCTGGCAAGCATTTTGTACATTTCTCTTAAAGAACAATGCACCACAATAGTGATTTGAAGATTTAAGTCTTAACAGTTTTCTTTGAAGTAACTGGCAGTCCTCCATAACCCTGGCTTGCTCTTGAATTTACTAGTTTGAAATACCAAGATGCAGTTGGGGGAGCTATGCAGATATATTAGCAAAGCTTCCAAAATCTGCATCCCTTAAACAGGGTGGGTAATGTGTATATAATACGTTTCTAGAAATGGAGAGGATTTCTTGCATATTTTGCAAGAAGGCAGGCTACAGGTAGTAGTAACCTCTGAATCATACAGACAACTTTTGCACACATTGGAGCGGCAACCTTTATGTTGTCAATCTATCCTGAACATAGTTGCTTAGTTTTAATCCTTACTATATTTGTTTAAAGATCGGTTGTAACTACTTGTCTTCTGTGTAGATAATAATTCTGAACACAGGGATTTTTCCTTCATAGATAAATTATGTTGAACTCAGAAGTCTTGGCTCAGAAGCATTTTTCTCTAAACCTTACAAATGGAAAGGGAAGACCCAATAAGTCAGGGATGGGAGGGACTAGTCATGTTTATATTTAGCATCTGAGTTGCCAAAATCAATTATTTAGTGTAAGCCTATGTTCTTTTGAAGGATCAACAGCCATGTAGCAGGCAGGCTCTTGTTTTTTAAGTGTTTTGGATTTCATTCTTGGAACGTCCCCATAGCCTTTGAAGTGAGGTGGAATGGAAAAAAGATATAGAGGTCATTCATTATTCAGCACTACTAAATGAATGATTAGATATAAAATCAGTGTAAAGCTTCTTCATATTTTTTGCATATGATTTTAGTTTTCAGCATTTGATTAAATGCTAAAGCCATAAGAGAAATAAACATATTAGAGGTAATACAAATCAATAAAAAATGGCTGATTATCAAGATTGGTCACCAACTGAAGGTGTCAGAACACTGGTGCAGGTTGCGTGCTGCAATGCCTGGAAACAGTAAAAATCAAAGACAGCATGAGCTTTAACTTTTATTAACCTCAATCTGGTTGTTTTACAGACTCTACATTAATTTTTTCCATCAAGTCGCCATTGCACGTGTTAACCATGTTTTAGAGTTTGTGTGAACTGCTTTTTTTCTCGTTAAATACTTCAGAGTAGTCCATTTCATTCCAATCCAAAATACCATCTGGTTTTTCTAATCTTGAGTCTTGGTGTCTGTGTATAATTATTTATGGTAATAAAATCATCCTTGTGGTATGTGACTGAGTGTAATGTGCGCCATCTTAGTGATATCTTTTTCTTCTGTATACAGGCTGGTTTAGCAGGAGCCCCAGCCCGGGCTGTGTCAGCTGTAAAGAATATGAATCTTCCAGAGATCCCAAGAAATATAAATATTGGTGACATCAGTATAAAAGTGCCAAACCTTCCCTCTTTTAAATAAATTGTGCACTCCAGGTAAAAATGAAGAACAAATAGAAGTTGATCGCAAATGTTTACCAAACCAATGTTTTGCTGTTTAAATAAAAGGTCATGTTACCCTGTAGAAATCCTTTATAAAATTATGTGAAGTTGATTGTGCTTTGCTTAGTGAATTTAAAGAGAGTGGGTGGTTTGTGATTTCCAAATAAAATTCCTGTGCCCATCTAAAGCAAGCATATAATGTTCTGGAAAAATAATTCAAACTGTTTATTTACTTTGTATGACTTTTTTTGTATAGACTAAGCTCTGTAATTAGTACAGCAGTCCTGTATACATTCCTTCAAGTTATTTAAGATCCTGATTTAAATGTTGCATGAAAGCAATTCAGCTGTATCTTCTTTTGCTTTTTAAATAAAGTCATAACTATGTGGACTGCAATCATTTGTTTGTTACCTTTGTGGATAGCAATAAATGACTGTTCCATACTGTGTTAACCTTAAAGTCTAGTGTATATGTCACTTGAGATGAACTCTGACCACAGATATGCTAGTTTTCAGTCAGAAATCTTGACTTAAATTCAGTGTAGAAGTTCTGTTGCAGAATCTGGGTTCCTACAGTAATAACAGCACATAATATCAAACTGCATTAAAATTGGATCATATAAACCATTTGCAATTGTGCAGTGTAGGGAGGAATTCAATGTAGTGCTAAATTAAAGTTCCTTAGCAGTATACTAGTTGCACTAGCAGAATGACTTGCACGAGAGGAGGCACAGGAAGCCAGCATGGTTCTTGTGGCTGGCTGCGTAACAGATTGCTGTAGCCCCAATACTTCCTGTTGCACAAGCTTTCACTAGCACAGCTGCTGCACTGTACAATCATTCAAACTGTACGATCATTATTCTTGCCTTTACACTAGTGCAACATCCCTTACACTGGCAGCCAGAGAACAGTAAAGGAAAACACCCTGGAGCCTGACATTTAATAGGACTCTGGAACCTCCTTTTCATAATTTTTACTTAAAATGAAATAACTATAGGCATTAAGGGTTGGAATTTTTAAAAAACTGAATAGCTTTTGTATCTGGTTAGCCAAACCAAAAAGTGACAAACATATTTATTTGGAAAGAAGCTTAAGATTCTTAAAATTCAGAGTTCTCTGAGCCTGTTTCAAATAAAGCTTCTTGGCTGGATTTTTATTGCATGCAAGGACCTAATGAAAGCTCTTGCTTTTTTCTTTCCACACCCATGTAATCAAACATATTCTCCCTAGAACCAGAAGCTCACTTAGATAATTGGTATTGAGCAATAGGTTGCATGAGAGATTTTGAGGATTTGAGTACGTAAGGCATTGTTTTCAGATAGATTTTCCACAACAAATACTGGAACAATTTAATGAAGGAGCACCTGTATTTTGGGGTATTCAGTTGAAATATTGCAGGCATATCAGCATAACCATCTGCATTGGGAGCAAGGTGATTAGTTTTGAAGTATGAAAATTATTGTTGAGCACACGTCTGAATAGAACTGGAAGGAAAACAGTTACACTTGTATATCTGGAAACTAATTGGGTCTGGAAACAAGCCTTTCCATGTTATGGAAGGCTTTATAATATGTTTGTAAAGCTGGTGGTTGTTTTTTAATTCATGGATGAAAGGGACCTAATTTCAAGTGAACATGTTCCAAAAGACACTGTCTTCTAATTTTCAGTTATTTTAAAACTTTCTGTAGGAAAAAAAAATGGTTCTCAGTTGTCCCAGTTTTCTCAGATGACATAACTCATCAATAACGTTGTTTGAGCTCTCTGGTGTAAGGGAATACACAGGCAGCTTTGTTCTCTGGGGTACCCTATGTGGATCCTCCAGATACTGCCAGATACTACTCCCATATTTCTGACAATTGACCATAATGGCTAGGGCTATGGGAGTTAAGTCTACAAACACATTGAAGGCACAGTGTTGACTAGAAAGGTCACTATGGAAAGGTTAGGGGGAGGTAAACTTGGAGAGTTCTTGAACGTGTGTATTTTGGGGTGAAAAATAAAAGCACCCTTCCTATCGCTAGGCTGCGTGTGGGTAATACCTAGAATGGCTGAGCACTTAGGAAGGCAGTGAGCCTGGGTTTTGGGAACCTGGGACAGATAAGGCTGGCCCAAAGCTGGGTACTGAAGACAACCAGTGCCAACTTCAGAGATCCAGGAGGATATCAAAGTTTATTAAGAAGCCCAGAAGAGTTAGTGAGGGAACATATCTGCTCTCTGTTCACTTCTGCCTTGTCCACCAAGCCCAAAAAACATTGACAGCCAGAAATAAAACTCTTGTAAAAGCTTTAAGCATATGTTGGATGCTGTCCTCAGTTTCATAAATGTAGTCCTAGGGTCTAAATGTAGATAAAGACCAGTTAAAGTTTATTGACGAGCTGATTCTGAAAGAATAGGAACCCTGCAAATATGGTTTTTGGTTTAAATGCAGGAACCCGGCTTTGTAGCTGGCACAACGTATCTTTTTTATTTTTACATGGAATATTTTTAAGTCTTGTTCATACTTAATGTTTATTAAAAATACTCTGAAGGCATAGGGTGCTTTCTGACTTCATTACACTAGCATTCTCTAATTCAGCAAAGATGTTGGTCTTCATTCTTTCGCAAACAATAAAAGCAGGGCGTACAGGGACAAGCCACAGGAATTGGGGGAGAGGTGCTATCAAGGCTTGAATGAAAGAAGTGATTGATCAGAAGGTCGGCGGTTCGAATCCCCGCAACGGGGTAAGCTCCCGTTGTTCGGTCCCAGCTCCTGCCCACCTAGCAGTTTGAAAGCACTATGGAGCAGTTTGCGTACAACCCCTACAAATGTGTTCCAACATCTCATATTGGGTGGCTTCTCTGATTTTGTTTTCTAGGCTGTTGCCAGAACATTTCACTGACCACTTCTTATTCAGTGTATTAATTGCTTCCTGCCTTGTCCCTAACCATTTCTGTTAAGATTTTCATAAACTCTATAATCACTAAGTGGGTGGCCATAATCTCAAGCCTAGCTAGAAAAACAGATACACAATATCGTCAATCTTTGTTTGGTTTCCTTTTACTATATACACCATGGTTAAGATTGCTCTTCTTGTTTTCAAAGTTCCTTAAGGACTTCTTTCACATCTTTCCTTTGCTTCCCCATCTCTTGGGGGGGGGGGAAGGAATGCAGAATTACTTAATCATTCCTCAGGCTAAATTCAGATTTATGCTATCCTGTCCATGGGATTTTCTGTTCCCTTCCGCAATAACTGCATCGAGATTTTTAAAAGTTCAAATTCTTTGCAAGCTAAGAAGATGGGCTAAGTTGAACTATTGAACTAGAACCAACTATAGGAACTGGGATGTAGGGGATTCTTGGAGTCTGTGAACTTTAAATTTAATTCGTATTCTAGCTTATCCATGATTATATGAAAATTCTATATAATTCTAACATGGCATACATTTAAATGTTTCAGCATGTCTTTTTAGGAAACAGCTTTATTCTTTTAATGTACAGAGAGGTGATGACATATAATCCAATGAAGATGCAAAATGTACCTGTGGAAGCCAACTTTATGCTGTGCCTATATAAATAGGATTTCCTCTAAGTTGCTGCTCCACTCCAGACCTGTTTTTCATGCCAGTGCCAAGCTCCAATGTGTCTGGAAAAAATAGAGAAAATCTCTAGTGTCAGGTCCTGGCTTCTCAGGATGCATTTGCACAATGTGCACAAAGAAACTTGTAACAATTGGTTTTATTCTGTTTTTTTTAAAAAAAATAGGTTTAGAAAAGGTAAAAAAAGATGACTAATATACTTCAAAGTAGTTCAGTGTGTTTTCATTTCCATTTCTTTGCATTCAAAAAGAGAGCCAAACATGCATACAGCTCTTGGATTTCCTATGAGTCATTGAGGTTAATGACTTCAATACAGAAAACTGAAAGGTTGCTTCTACGTTATTTGCAAATGCTCACATTCTTATCCTAATCTTGTGGGTTTTGGACATTTTTTTTAAAACATCATATGTGCTTGGTTATGGAAAACACAGTCTAACCTGCTATTTGCAAATGATAGAACAATCTGTTTGCATTAGATTAGAGGTTAAGTTTGATTATCTTGATTACCTATGTGCTTCAAGAACTTCTTGTTGGCTGCAAAATTCTGTTACATGGCAGATGTCTCCAGACACCTGAAGGTTCTCATAAAGATAAGAATGTGCTAGCAGATTCCAAAAGAGGTTAAGCTAGAATCCGATGGATATAACCAACAAGACTTATTTAGACTGGGTTGTATCCAACCAAGTTCTTCTGAGAGTAGAATCTACTCAGTAGATCCCCTGACTAGACCTGCTAATACTGCCTATGAATTTCAGTGGGCTAATATTGTCCATTAATTTCAGGTTGTTTTCCATCTGCATTAAAGGCTGCCTTACAGGTGAGTACATGAAGCGTTTAAGTGTTGCAGGAAACGCTGCAATTTTGGAGTTGGTGTATTTTGAAATTGTTTTATGCAGTGCCGTAGCAAAGTTCTCCTAAATATAATATAAACAAGACAATCCACAATGGCTCAGTTCACCACCTTGACTATCCCTTAAAAATAGAAATAATGCATTTCTGAATATTCATCTGCAAATAATCATAGCTGGAACAGCACACTCCCAGCTGGAAAAATAAGCCTGGCAAGATCACAAGCATCTGCCTATTTCTTTTTATCATGTGCTTTTAATTCAAACCAAAGAAAGGAGGACTGTTGATTCATTAGTCAAGATTTAACTCTGCTCATCCTGAACTACATAGCTCATGCAGAATTTACTCAACAGTTACTGAATCTAGAAAATGGTTTCCCTTACTGCTCCCCGCCCGCCCACCAATGGTTTATAAAAATAGAAAAATGGGAATGGAGGTAACAGAGGGATTTGCATCATCAACATTAATACTTTTAACAAATCTGGTGGCAACAGATCCGAGAAGTGAGATAATATGGGGCTTCTTGAGAAAAATGATCTAAGAACAGCAGGGAAGGATGAGATGGGTGTGCAGAAAATAAGCTGAAATGCAAGCCAGAAGCCTTCTCTCAGGTCTATGCAGATGAGCATCATCTGCACTGTAAATTATCATAATACAATTATGCCATCAATCCCCATTCGCTGAAGCCATCTTACTACAACAATGTCACAGCAGGCTTACTCATTGTTATCTAAGAACGTTCCTTCCCAATAGGTCCTTGGGGACAGAGTCCTTCACATGATTCATAAGTCATTCATCTTCATTCTAATACGGAGACTCCCTGTGAGTAGCCATCAGAGTTGCAAAAGTGAGGGGGAAAGTTATTTCAACAGAAAAACAATCAGAACAAGCCAAATCTGCCTTAATATTTTCCTTAAATAATTACCCCTGCCAGCCTCACTTCCAGGAACATAAATGAGCTACAGAATTCTGCTTTCTGATTTTTGTGATACATTTCACTTTTTGCCACTCCTGCAGAAACTGTGAAT